TTGATCAATGCGCATCCAAGTGTAGTGTTGGCAAATTCATAAAATCCTTAATAACCAAACATCGTAAAATGCATTACTGCCTGAGCACATACATTTATTTACACAATTTGATACATGTTCAGCATGTGGCATACATGTATACATGTACATGTACATGCATTTTCTTATATTCTAGTATCTTCATTTTACTAAAATTTCTGGCATTTTATTGAAGTGTAGTCTACCAATAAGTGTGCGCATTGGTAAATCAACAAAATCTACAATTAAACATTGTTAAAGAAAATGCATGTCTTAGACACCATATGCTCTCTCCACCGTTCTAAAATTAGCATCTTCATCCTTTTTTTTTTGCCTCGAGGCATACGCTCGACCAGAAACCGTCTCCATCATAATGAGCAGCACGTCACCTGGGCTGTCAGTGTGCGCTGCACAATAAAAGGATTGATTATAACTAAGGCTGTGTCCGAATTACCAGGTGATTCTCAAGGAAGAGTCTCTCTTCACTTAACTCTGAAAAGGGGATGGTCCATGTAATCTTATTGATTAGGGATTCCATCAGCGTTTCAACCTTTTAAGGGTGTAGTAATGGCCTTAGCTTCTATTGAAGAGTCGTCTTGTCTTAATGACAGGGATGTGTTTTGAACAAGGAGTTTTATCTCCGGCAATGGAATTTTGAGTGTTATCCAGTAAAACAAAATTAATTATTGTACAAGGTTTTAAGTGTTCAAGCATTTTGTAAAGTACATGTATGTACATGTTTGTACATTGACAATTGTTGTACATTGCTACAAATTCTTCTGGCAACAAAACTAGTTGTGCACAGATCATGTATAATTTATTCTTGAACAGAATTTTTAGGGTCAGGGTTCCCATGGCCAGCCAGCGTATTTGTTTTCCTTGGAGGGTTGGAGGTAATGTCATGCATAATTCAGTTTTGATTTTGAATCATTGCAAGACACTTACCGTACATGTAGGTTCTCGTTCACTTTTTTCCAGTCGGGGAAAAGTTGAACTCAGGGAATTTGGGGGGAAAAGCCAAAATCTAGGAAAACTGAGGGGAATTTGACAGTGACCCAGAAGGGAAAGGTTTTTGCCAGTTTGGCGTACATATGTACATACATATAGTGCGTCTTGAGCCATGTGTCCGAATTGTGTCCATTGATTGGCTGGATTACAGTGTGAATATTAGTTAATATATTACACACCTCTCTAGACAATAACTACTAGCTGTGTGCTACCCAGCAATCATTATCTCGATAAAATAAAAATATTTCTAAAGAATTTTGGAAATTTTATATCAGGGTTAACATCTATAGGAATTTTGTTTTCATACATGTCATAAAGTGGTGGGAAATCTGAGGATTGAATGCCATTATCTGATTATTTTTCCCAGAATGTCGAACTGACTGTAAAGTAAGGGATTTTTTTGGCTCTTCACCAATGTAAAGTACAGTGTACATTTGTACATTGTACACATTGCACGTACATACATGACATATGACCCATCTCATTCCAATGTTATACAAAAATTTATTCATTTATGATTTACATGTACTACAAGAAATATTATTTCTTATATTCTTAAATATTGACAACCCTTTTTATGTGCACACAATACAACCCATCGTAGCCCAAAGGAAAAGTATGCATATTAGCTTAATATATATCCCCCTCATTCATAATATCCCACGCATATAATTCCTTCTACTGCCCATCTGTGGAATATGAAATGAGACGTGGCCTTGTGCGATATGTGAATATCGTTGGGGGAAGCTCGCAAATTATTGATTTCAGATGCTGTTGGCAGAATGGATTGAGCTCTGTATACACACACAAATGAGCATAGAGCTTAAGCATGATTGAGTTTGATGCAAATAGATGGTTGAACATTAAAGATAATATACATGTACATGTGTAATGTACATGTACACTACACTGTTACTGTATTGTATTCCACCCATGATTCCACGTGTTCATGTTATACAGTACAAGTGAACATGTGTACGTACATGTACATGTACATGTACATGTTAACATACATGTACATTCCCATGTACAGTGTACTTCTTACTTGAAGGTGCAAACCGAAATAAATAAGCTGCCATAACCACATAAGATAAATACCTTTTCCTAAAAATTGAAAAAAAATCAGGAAAAATATTCGGAACTCTCTAAGTTGTTCAAGACATAGTACTGAAATAATTTAAAGCCCAAATTTAAAGGGAAAATACAACATTTGCAAACATCAAAAAATAAAACTACCAAATCATTTTGAAATACCTTGCTGGACTGTTAGTGAATGACAGTGTAAAGCATCCTGTAAAATCATGGCACCTGGTATACTGTCATTTTCAAGAAAAGTGCTATTTTTGTACCAATTTCCAACGCTGATCGGCCGATCAGCGTTGGAAAAAACTGGCTTTTTTTCAAATACTGGCCCCAATTGACCATCGCACTTGTTTGCAATCGATTACACACCTATGAACGGGTACAAGCCAGCTAGACTGGTTCCCTGACCTTACAATTCCCCAATGTATGTAAACTGCTCTGTTTCTTCTTATATGGAGTCAGGGAACCAGACTACAGGAAAATGATTGTTTTTCTTGGTTTTTATAGCATTTTCGAACCCAAAACCTCAAAAAAGTCAGTGTAACTATATTTGCTATATATTTCCAACCCCCCAATTCCATCCATTTCTGAAAATTACAGCAAAAGCAAATGATGTATATTCCCTTTAATTACCCTGTTGGGTTGGGGGTGTTTTTTTGCGGGTGGATTTTTTTTGCGGTACATTTACGTGTTTTTTTTTTTAATTATTGTTTGCTTTTTGCACACTTTTTGGGTGGCTTTTTGAGCTCACCACCCCCCTCTCAAAAAAAACTCTTCAATTTTCAATTCGTGGTACATGTATATTTTTAGCAAATGATCACCTACATTGCAGCATCTTCCCAGCAATAGCTGTACATTTTCCTCACGTGTACGGTACATGCACATCATTATTTACAGAATATTCGTGTCTCCCAAATTTTCGGTATTTACCAAATTACCGCTCGTCGATTAAATAAACGTGACTCCCAGTGCTTGTGTGTGCACACATATCATGTCGTAGATTATGTACAAGAGGATCTTGTTAGGTTAAGATTTGATTAACATTTGGAGGGTTATTTGTTGCCGGGTATCAGTGTTTGTGCATGGTTGGCCTACTGATTATGGATGGGGCACGGTTGTAAAATTGTGTGGGTGGTATATTTTTTATGGACAGGATGGTGTATTTCCATGAAGTATTTTTGTCTAGACTCACTTGTAGTGGCAGTATTTTTTGTTATTAACCCTAACCCCATAGGCCTAGGAACCATCCTCAATCCTCCCAAATCCTCAAAAATGTTGAACTTTATGTTCAAATGAAGGATACCCAGTGCCTAGGTAATCCTTCAAAATCCTCAGACAGACCTGCCTCTCAAAATGCATTCATCCTCAATCCTCCAAAATTCTCCTCAATCCTTCTCTTTTTCAAACACCATTCATCCTCAATCCTCCAAAATTCTCCTCAATCCTTCGATCTCTTCTTCAAACACCATTCATCCTCAATCCTCCAAAATTCTCCTCAATCCTTCTCTTCTTCAAACACCATTCATCCTCAATCCTCCAAAATTCTCCTCAATCCTTCTCTTCTTCAAACACCATTCATCCTCAATCCTCCAAAATTCTCCTCAATCCTTCTCTTCTTCAAACACCATTCATCCTCAATCCTCCAAAATTCTCCTCAATCCTTCTCTTCTTCAAACACCATTCATCCTCAATCCTCCAAAATTCTCCTCAATCCTTCTCTTCTTCAAACACCATTCATCCTCAATCCTCCAAAATCCTCATGTGCTTCAACATCATTAATCCCAAATCCTCCAAAATTGTACTTTGCATTCACCCACAATCCTCGAAAATCCTCCAAAACTGCCAGGAGGAGTTTGGAAGATTGAGGAGGATTGAGATTAATGCTCAAACTGGGCATAAAATAATTGAATTTTCCTAGTGAAATGGAACTCAGTTGAAATAGAAATGTATAGTTTTAATTAAAGGAACAAAATCTTTAGGGATTTTCTGGGACACAACCTGAAAAAAGTAATTATTTAAAGAGAAGTATAATGCAGCATTTGACAAATTTCCTTTCATTTTCCAATGAAATATTGCGCACAAAATATAAGTGTTTAAGACAAGCAGCAGATGTAAATAATTTTGAATTAAGGTGGTCTGCCCTTTGAAAAGTTTATCAATTCCTTGTAAACAGTGCAAATTATTGGAAAGAAATGTGAACAACTTTTAGTTGATATCCAACACTTCACACATATATTATTGATTTTCTTTTTCCTGTTTAAAAGGTGAAAATAAAATACATTTTGGAAACAAAATCATTGGCTTAGTAATTGAAGTGGGAGTTGTTTTTTCATTTTCTATCTATTCCATTTAGAGTAGGCTTATTGGTTTTTTTCCAGTCAATTTCCACTTTTTTTCTGAAAAGAAAATGTAAGTCAACAAAATGGTAAACATGTACATATGGCAGGCATGTTGGTTTGAGCTGTGTGACATACACTGACATCACCACCGGTAGTTCTATAGCTGACATGCACTTTTAACCCCCCTATGCAAACATAGATTCTGTGCCAAGTTGTCCTTTCAGTCAAAATCAATCAAGTGACTGTTTTCAACAGTAAAGAATTCCCGGCCTACATAAAGCAGGATTGACTGGCTGTGACTGTTTATGTAACTTGATACACCTTTGCTTTGACTGTGGGAGATTGATAAGCCAGGTGTGCCCACAACTTGCCTGCTTTGTCTGTTCATGGTCTGTTGACTGAGTTTGACTAGTCACAGTGCCTGCTTGATATGATCCAGACTGCCTGTGTTAAAAGTCTAGCAGGAAAGGTGGATGGAAAATTTGGGGTCTGTGACTGTTTGTGGGTTAATTGACTCTGTGTTTTATTTTGACAATTTTATTTTCCCCACAGGGATCATTGACAAGCCAGAAGCCATGGTGGAAAGCCAACTTCTTCGTCAGGGAGCCGGTTCTCTTCGGTACGTGGGACGGCGTCTTCACGTCGTGTATGATCAACATCTTCGGTGTGGTCATCTTCTTGAGAACCGGTTGGGTTGTGGTAAGCAAAAAAAACATTCCGAAAGATTTGCATGGCAAATTTATATGCTTAGCGAATATCAGCGGGAACCAGCCAAAGCACTACATGCATGTATATGATGCTTAGCAGATTAGCTTAGCTGCCCCAATAAGCTGACGGCAGAGCCTTGGAATACCGGGTATTCTCGAATCTTGGAGCTAGTAAATGTCGTCCTCAATAGCTTATGCACAGAGGCATTGAGCTACATGTATGTTGATCTAATTTAAGGCATGTACCTTTTCCTCGGATTCGCTGATATCCTTGTTTTTTACTTCTCATGAATGCCATTACAAATTGAAAAACACTGTAAAAAGTCTTGTGTGGTTTTGAATTTCCTTGTTTTTCTAAATTCCCAGTTGCATGCCTAGATTTGCTTAGGATAATTTATAATATTGGTTCAATATTTGAATATTTTTCCCTTTTCCAAAGGAATTTCATAAACATTGTACATGCATGTATTCAGTGCTGTCTTAGCTCGCGAGAAAGTCACAAACTTACTCAGGTGGGACTCTAACCCATGACCCCTGCTTACTTGTGCAGCCATTGGCGTCTGCAAAATTGCACCCACACTCGCTTGTGCACACATGTGATAAACACTGATGAAAACTTTGTGTTGCTCTTCTTTTTCCACAGGGTAATGCTGGTATCGGCCTATCTTGCCTCATAGTTGTACTTACCGTCATAGTAGCCCTCGTGGCAGCTCTAGCGGCCATTGGTGTCTGTGAGAGATGCCATATAGAGAGCGGCGGCGTCTATTTCTTAGTTTCCAAAGTTCTAGGAGCCAGGATAGGGGGAGCTATCGGGATGTTATATGTATTTGGACAGGTAAGATGATTGACTTGATAATGACTTGTGATGGACTTGTGATGGATGGCTTGTGGTTGGAATTATGATGGACTTGTTATTGACTTGTGATTGACTTATGATTGACTTGTGATTGACTTGTGATTGACTTATGATTGACATGTGATTGACTTGAGATTGGTTTGTGATTGACTTGTGGTTGGACTAGTAATGGACTTGTGATGGACTTGTGATGGACTTGTGATGGATGGCTTGTGGTTGGACTTATGATGGACTTTTGATTGACTTGTGATTGACTTGTGATTGACTTATGATTGACATGTGATTGACTTGAGATTGGTTTGTGATTGACTTGTGGTTGGACTAGTAATGGACTTGTGATTGGCTTGTGATGGACTTAAGTCTTACGATTGACTTGTGATTGCCTTTGATTGACTTATGATTGACTTGTGATACACTTGAAAGTTCTTATCCATCCATTGATGTTACTGCTTACCAGGGAAAATACAGTTAAGCAAAGTAAGCTGGAAAGATCATGTTTCTGGTAGAATCTCAAAGTTTCACCAAAACCCGTTTTTTTTTCTTCAAAATAACCAACCTACCCTTAATTGTGCACGGTATCTTTTTCTCTCATTTTTCTGAAACGTGCAGACCGTAGCATGCGCCCTCTACTGCACAGGGTTCGGCGAGTCCGTCGCGGAGACCTTCCAATGGGACAACACGTGGGCCGTCCGCGGGGTGGGCATTGCCACGATCCTGCTGCTACTGGCCGTCAACATTGCCGGGGTCAAATGGGTGATCAAGATGCAGCTGATCCTGCTGGCCGTGCTGGGGATCGCCACGCTGGACTTCCTGGTGGGGACATTCGCCCAGTCGGACCGGGGTAATAAAAACAGTAATAACGTTAAAGCTATAGTCCATCATTTGCAGCCATCCAAAAAGTAACTGGCGTAATTATTGTTGAAAAACAAACTTGGTTGAAAGATAATAAGGGAACTAAACTCCCTGTGAAATTATTCTTTCTGGGAAACTGTCATTTTGAAGTAATCAACGAAAGAAGGCATTTCCAACGGTGATTCTTAAGAAGCACCGTAGGAAAATTTAAATTAGTTGTCCGTTTTGTTATTCAGCGCAGCGCGCACAAGTATTGGAACGACGCACCTGCGCGCGCGGTTGTTATAATTCGTCGGATCAGTGCGCTACGTCGCGTATAGCTGCAATTCAAAGCATGATTCAGTAACTTTTGATTTGAAATTGAGATCTTAGAATGCTGTTTTTCTCGGAATTTACAGCTGAAGCTTAGCTGAAACTTCATCAGGTTAGTTGCTCAGTATCCTTCATTAGATTTTGAACTCTTTTGTTGCTTCAAACGAACAAAATGCACAAATTACAAATGATGGACTGTAGTTTTAACTTACCGAGCATTCGTATCCACTACTACCGTTTACTTTTTGAGTGGAAAGAAGTAATTTAAAGGGGCCATGACATAAGTTTTTCTTGGGAACTTTCAGGGTGAGTCAAAAACAAATGAAACCAAATGCAGGGGTGTGATTTTTCCGGATTTTTCCGGATTTCCGGATTTTTATCTAACGTCTGCGGAATTGTTTTGCGGATTCCGGATTTTTAACGTTTTCTGTTTCCGTAATAATATCGCCCAAAAACTTCTGGCGAAATATAGGCTCTAATTTACGATAATGGATGGACTGGTGACAAGTCTAATGCAGTGCGGTCAAGAACCTAATAGACATTAATGCAGTATGCGCAGTGGAGTACTTGAGGACCAGACTAAAAATAATTTTTGCAGCACCTCGTGTTTGTATATCGCGTGTGGATGTACTATGTGTGTGTGTATTGTGCATGTAGTGTGCAGTGCAGTGACTAGCAATTCGCAAACACATTGGTGTCAATATTGCCGCGATTTTGTCAAGGAATTCAAGAGTATGGCTGGAAGAACTGGTAATAAAGTGTCACTGTCGATGGAAATCAGTTTGAGCTGCAGTAGTGCTTTGAAAAATAGCCACCACCAACACAAAATTTCAAAAATGTTTTGGAAGCCTGGGGCTGGGACTGGAGTTTAAAGTAAGATTAAACTTTTTTCAGCACCGTTCAAATTGTTTTGTGTGAATCGTTTCTCTCTGCAACATGCAAATGTAAAAACATCACACACAGAAAAAGCCTTTATGAATCAATCACATATGGATTATATTATTTAATGACCAGACGTTTTTTCTTAATTTTTCCCCCATTTGTTTTCTTTACTGAAGCGACAAAATTTGCTAACATTACAGAAATTACAGTACATAAAATGTACATGCCCTAGGCCTATATATGGACATACGTGCATGCATAATGTATACATGTACATCTATACAAGTACATGTACAATAATACATGTACATGTACATGTACATGTACATGTATATTACATGTCAACCGAAGTTCGTGGATTTTTCATTTTTGTCCAATCACACCCCTGCAAATGACAGGACCAATTTTGAATGAAGGTTTGCCTGCAGCACTTTCAAAATCTAGGATATGAAAGCCCAATCAATGAGCTTTCTTTTAGTACAAGAATCATTCAAATCATTGGTCATTTTGCTGAAAGAAGACTTACTTTTTTTTTGTGATCCGCGGGCGGAACTTTAGAACGGTGTTTGTGTTCAAAATTCTGTTAACTTAAAGTACATGAGATATTTGAATGATTCTTGCACTAAAAGAAAGCCTAACGACGGGGCTTTTATTTCCTAGATTTTGAAAGTGCTACAGGCAAAACTTCATTCAAAAAATGGTCCTGCATGTGTTGAAACAACAAAGAATCACCTAAAGCAGAATATTTAAGACGGCAAAATATCCAAAATTCTGGTAACTTTTGGTGCTGATATAACGTAGCTGTAACACTGAGGTTCGTGACTAAATGACATCACACTTTTGCTCACGAATTTAGATTTGCATTAAACCTTGAAAATGGCAAATTGTAAAAGTGCGCTTTCAAAAACTGCATTATAAAAACTATATTACATGGGTTCTTGAAGATTTTTGTTGGTAACGTTCCTTTCATCATCTAGAAAATGGCGTCCTAGGCTTCAACAGCCTCGCCTTCACCAACAACTCGGGCCCCTCCTACTTAGAAGGCGAGAACTTCTTCACGGTCTTCGGCGTCTTCTTCCCGACGGCGACCGGCGTGATGGCGGGCATCAACATGAGCGGGGACCTGAAGAATCCCAAGAAGAGCATCCCGTACGGCACGCTGTCGGCGCTGGGCGTGACGACTATACTATACTTGCTTTTTGTGTTGCTACTCGGGGCGACGTGCGCTCGTTATGCATTGCAGGAAGACTACATGATTGCAGAAAAGGTACTAAGAACATTCAGTTTCCGACTTACTTTGTTTCTGTCAGTTTTGTACCAAGGCAGTAGTGGACCAATTTCACAGCTCTGCAAAGCACAGAAATCTGCTCAACATAAAATATATTTGCTTAGCAAAAAGTGGTTACCAGCCAAAATCTCATGTGATTGTATATTGCTTGTGACTGGTTCTCAGACAAAGGTTTTTGAACCAGATAAATAAATAGGCTAAGCATACATTGTAGAAAATATTGCTTAGCAACAAAACAGGTTACCAGCCCAAATCTCATGTGATTGTATATTGCTCCTGGCTGGTACTCATCCAAGTTTTTCTAAGCACATACATTTTCTGAGAAATATGCTTAGCGTAGAAATATTGCTTAGCAAAAACTGGTATCCAGCCAAAATCTCATGTGATTGTATATTGCTTGTGGCTGGTTCTCAGCCAACTTTTACTATTAAAGCACATAAATAAATATGCTAAGCATAGAAAATAATGCTTAGCAACAAAGCAGGTTACCAGCTAAATTCTCATGTGATTGTATACTGCTTGTAACTGGTTCTCAGCAAATGTTTTCTGAGCACATAAATAGATATGCTAAGCATAGAAAATACTGCTTAGCAAAAACTGGTTACCAGCCAAAATATCATGTGATTGTATAGTTCTTTTGACTGGTTCTCAGCCAAGGAATTGATACATTTCTTTCACTTGTTTTGTGTAGGTATCTCTGGTAGGGTTCCTATGGCTGATGGGCCTGTACATCTCCAGTTTGTCCTCCTGTCTAGGGGGTCTATACGGAGCCCCTCGCATCCTTCAATGCATCGCTAACGAGAACGTCATCCCCATCATCAAAGTGCTGGGCCACGGGGTAGGTAGAGGGTAAAACCTGAAACGTCCTGCAGCCGATTTCAAAAAAAGTTTAGGCAGCGGCGTATCTCCACTTACAGTATGACTGTTTTGTGACAAAAGCAAAAAAATTTACACAGGCAGCCATATGAAATATCTTGCAAGATGTTTTGTTATTTGAAATGTTGCGCAAGTTGTGTGAAATCGATCATAAATTATTTCGCAGCTGTGTAACAAAGGTTTCGTGTGAATCCTACGCATGGCATAAGTTATGCAGTGTTTTGTGAAATGGCTACTGGGAATAAACCTTGCCCATGTAGATTAACGTGCGCACACACTCACTCACACAGAAAAGCCTTTGTAGCACAGCGGCCTGATTTGCGTAAGCAACTGATGAACACGTTCATAACTTGCTTTATAGCATAGCAGTTATTGTTATTATTGAATCCTGAACAAAGAAATTGACTGGAGCAGAGTTTGAACCTGCGACCTCCGGATTGCCGTTCCAGAGCTCTAGCAACTGAGCTATCCAGCCCTATGTTGGTGATTCCCCATTTTGTTAAAGAGGTTGTGGAATGTTCGAAGACATTTCCGTCATTTTTGGGTATATGTAGCCTGAGGTGTGATGAAATAAAAACGACTATTGTTTCTGTCATGAAATTAGTACAAAGGTTACTTTTGAGAGCTATCTTTCAGGTCCTGTTTCGACCCGAACGTGCAATTTGTGTAAAAGTCGTCGTTGCGGGCAGCAAACAAAACACAGTAAATCGTGACGTAATAAACAGGACTCGTTTATGCTACTCTGCATCGGGAGTCCTGTTTATTACGTCATGATTTACTGTGTTTTGTTTGCTGCCCGCAACGACGACTTTTACACAAATTGCACGTTCGGGTCGAAACAGGCATGACAGGACTTGAAAAACAGCTCTCAAAAGTACCTTTTGTACTCATTTTATGACAGAAACAATAGTCGTTTTTATTTCATCACACCTTAGGCTACATATACCCGAAAAATGACGGAAATGTCTTCGAGCATTCCACAACCTCTTGAATGTCTTTGGTCAAGGGGTGCTAGTCGGAAGCCTTAAACCCATAGCAATGCTGCAAACCAGGAAAACGACAAACGGGATCACAGATATTATTAATTTCTGGGTTTTTTCTTGTGCTGCTTTTTCAATTTGCAGAAAGGGCCCAACAAGGAGCCAATCTTTGCCTCGCTAGTCGTTTGTTTCGTCGCCATCCTCTTCATCTTCATCGGTCACGTGAACGAGTTGGGCCCCATCGTCACCATGCCGTTTCTTGTCACTTACGCAGGTACGAAGAATTCTTTGAGACCTTAAAGACATTATAGGATCATTTGCTGTTCATGTGTTATTTCCAATAATTACACCACTCAAAGTCCAAAGAAGAAGCAAACTAATTCAAGAGTTGAGACCGGTTCGTACTCGGCACAAAAAGCGAATGCCAACTCAAATTTGTGACATCACGTCCAGTTTTCATGCCGCAAATTCACAAAGCGGAACACATTTCAACTGTGGTGATTTCATTGCAAACTTTCTGCTGGCATTAGCGTGATGTATGAACATTTAGCCTAAACTTTTCTGCAAATTGTTAAAGGGACACTAGGTCCTGGAACAGCCTAATTGGGCTACAAAACGCGCTTTGCACGAGATGATGTTAATCGGAAATAACATTTAAAAGTAGGATATAAACATTCACACAACTATCCTTTCAAAACTGGGCGTTTTTGTGTTATTCCTGTATTATGCGTGCGAGAACGAATTTCGGGGTCCACTTTTGCGACCCCATAAATTCGAGCTGTTTGGATGCTAGTTGTGATTTCATTCGTAAGGTGTTCGCCTTTTGCGGACGTTGAAGAAACCATTTTTTTTTGCATTGGTGATTGGTCACCACTGTTCCTGAGACACACAATGTGTATATTGTACACTGAGAACGACATGAAAAACGTATTCGTACTCCGTCATGTCCGATGTAAACAAGCGGTTTTTTTTCGTCTTTTATCGGGAACGGTAAGACATTAGGTTGGTTTCCTTTCAACCAGATGTTTGAAATAGGCTAAGTAAACAATCCAAAACATAACATTTTCAGGGATTTCTGGAATCCTTTCTTTAATCCACGCCATTAAATTGGCTCTAATGTTTTCTGTAAATTTGTCACCGCCAGCCATGGACTATGCCTACTTCTCCCTGGCCATGAGCTACGACAAGGAAAAAAGCGCCAAGTCCAAGAAAGAGAAGGACAGCCTCCTGGCGCACGTCCTGAACAAGAGCGACGACAAGACGTATGGCGCCCTCAAGAGTGACGTCTTACCCAAGGACGACCCCTTGCACGAGTTCAAAGAGGACATCGAAAAGGCCGAGAAGATGTTTCCCAAGAAGGACGAGGAGAAGACGGGAGGACAGCCCGCGGGTGAGGACTACGACGGATGGGAGAAGAACCGAGGGGGCGGTGACGGACCGGTGGACGTCAGCGACAAGGAAGGGCTGATTGATTCGAGCGATGGGCAAGATAAGCAAGGTGAGAAGCTTTCAGATATAGTACTGAGACAAAGTATCTAACATTTGAAACAAAGAATCTGTCAGATTTTAGAAACAATAAATAATTTTGAATTCCAATAGGTGTACACCTGCCATCAACTCGGTCATTTTCATCCTTAAAAACTAAAGCTTGCTTTAAAATTTATGGGGGCAGAAGGAATTGAAATGGTGGTTTTAGACAAAGTTAAAAGTTGGCGGAGCTCTTCTGTCAGGTTTGAGGAAATATAAAACTAGGACTCTCATCAAGATTAAGTTTTGTAACAGCATCAAATTTGCAGGTAGGGGCGGTACTTGTTTGTTTGTGGTTTTTCGCCAATTGGCCGGTATAGCCCATGAAAGTCTCTCGACCTTTTTCAAGTGGGGTCCCTTGGTAGAAAATGCTGAAGGAAATTACAGTTTTAGCGGTGGGAGGAAAATCCAGATTGACATTCTAGGGAAACCCACGGAATCAGGTAGGGACTGAAAACCCAATCCAAATATTGGCGCAGGCGGGATTCGAACCCGAGTCACAGCAGTGGAAGGCGAGGAGAGTACCGCTACGCAAACATGGGGTCCTTATTTTCTGGAGTGGGTACTAAATTTGTTTTGTCATAGTTTCAAGGAATACAAAGCTTTTTTTGTTACTCCTGCCCTGAGCAGGGGAACAGGAGGGAGGGACATGCTGAAATCATTTTTATAACATTTTGTTTTCTTTGGTCTCTACAGATAACAACAGACCATTTGGCACCGTCGATCGCATGCCAGCATCGTGGTATTCTAGGTTCTGCAATCGATGGGTGTCTTTTCTTGGAGTGAGTAAAGCCTATAAATTATTCATTGTGAATTTCACATATTTTTGAGTGTCATCCCAAAAAGTAGATTCTTTTCTTCTACATTGCTATTTTTCTAGCAGTACAAAAGTTTTTCACTTTCGAACAAGACATCGACCAGAAAAATCGGCCCACTCTTAGTTATCGAATTTCCGAATTACTTGCAGCCCGACAGTAATTCTGTACTCACGGGTTGGGCTGGTTCCCGACCCTACAATCAGTATTGATAATGCACGGACTGGAAACCGGTCTGCTCCGGTTGGGCTGATTCCCGACCCTACAATCAGTATCGATAATGCACGGACCGGAAACCGGTCTGCTCCGGTTGGGCTGATTCCTGACCCTACAATCAGTATTGATAATGTACGGACTGGAAACCGGTCTGCTCTGGTTGGGCTGCTTCCTGACCCTTCAATCAGTATCGATAATGTACGGACCGGAAACCGGTCTGCTCTGGTTGGGCTGGTTCCTGACCCTTCAATCAGTATTGATAATGTACGGACCGGAAACCGGTCTGCTCTGGTTGGGCTGATTCCTGACCCTACAATCAGTATCGATAATGTACGGACCGGAAACTGGTCTGCTCCGGTTGGGCTGGTTCCTGACCCTTCAATCAGTATTGATAATGTACGGACCGGAAACCGGTCTGCTCTGGTTGGGCTGATTCCTGACCCTACAATCAGTATCGATAGTGTACAGACCGGAAAACCGGTCTGCTCCAAAAGGGGATCTGTTTGTGCCCAAACTGAAAACCTTGTTTCAAAGGGTTGCAGACTCCCCAAAAAGAATTTCAAAAAGGAATTTTTTTGGGTTGGAATAAAGCATACGAGTTGAACATTTATTAAGGGAAAACAAATCAAACTTTTTGAAGAGCATGGGTGATGCAACTTTAATATTGTACATGTATGTCCCACCCTAGCTCCAAGTTAACCCATATTTATCTCAGCTTTTCCTCTAAACTCCACATCTAAACACTTCTTCATCACAAGATTTCCATGTTTGAAAGGTGCAGCACCATGGGTGCTTTCAACTTTTCATTACCCGTATACCAATTGTAATACTTAATATATCGCCCTCTTTCCACAGATCCTAGCTTCGTTTGTCATCATGTTTGCCATCCAGTGGGGCTACGCTCTTGCCAACGTCTCCGTCTACTTAATCCTCTACATCTACATCGGCCAGGCCAACCCCGGGGTGACTCCGGGCATCTCAGAGTTCAAATTCTTCCAGTGGATCAAGTCGCTCTTCAACAGGCTATGCAGGTAAGTTTCCACCAATCTTTTGCAATCTCATGGATAGCTCAGTTGCTAGAGCTTTCAGTATGATACTCCGGAAGTTGCGGGTATATTCCACTTCAGTAAATTGTAAACTCCTTCATCCATTTTTTCTCTCAGCTTTTTGGGGTTCTTTTCCTGTTTTTGTATTTTTGCACATTGTGGGGTTGTGTTTGTGCTTTGATTTTTCTGCATGTGTAGTCAACGTGTGTTGGTATTGTGAGTCAGTCCTTTTTTGTGTGTGGAAAACTTTGTTATCATGTGTGCACTTTCATGTCTGAAAATGTGCTGCAATTTCCTGAAACTCAAATCAAAAGAAACCAAACTGTCCGGTCTTGTTAAGAATTTTCCAGTCACCTGACACATTTTGGTAAATGGCGGTACACAGTTCACTAACTCGTGAGTCATCATCCACGCCATAACAGGTCCACGACTAATCACAATATTTTACTGCAAAAAAAAGTTACTACTATTTGGGTGTAATCCTCTGTCAACCACAAAACTAATACATCTAGTTTTTATGTAAATAAACAATAATTTGTATGTACTTTTGTAACATATTCCGTGCTAATATAATAATAAAGGTCATATCATAACCGAAAATGATAACCTTAGGGAAACGTTCCCATAGACTTGGGCACACATTTTTCCCGACTTTCCTGACCCCTAACACCAATTTTCCCTGATCCTACCCCCACAAAGTTTGGTATTTTTACTAACTGGACGACGAGCAATTGATCCAGCCTATTTGCGACACTAAAATTTTGCCTCTAAATAGGAGCTGAGGCATTAGGGAGACATTGAAATGTCTTTCTAATTCCACATGTCCCCCAAAGGTATAATTTCTGACGCCAAGGTGTCTCCCTAATGGTACTATTTACCATAGTAATAACTAATTCTAATAATAAGGATTTTAAACCATACTTAAAATAATGTGATAAATACCGGTACTTCATATGTGTTAAAGGGAATATACATCATTTGCTTTTGCTGTAATTTTCAGAAATGGATGGAATTGGGGGGGTTGGAAATATATAGCAAATATAGTTACACTGACTTTTTTGAGGTTTTGGGTTCGAAAATGCTATAAAAACCAAGAAAAACCATCATTTTCCTGTAGTCTGGTTCCCTGACTCCATATAAGAAGAAACAGAGCAGTTTACATACATTGGGGAATTGTAAGGTCAGGGAACCAGTCTAGCTGGCTCGTACCCGTTCATAGGTTTGTAATCGATTGCGATGGTCAATTGGGGCCAGTATTTGAAAAAAAACCCAGTTTTTTCCAACGCTGATCGGCCGATCAGCGTTGGAAATTGATACAAAAATACCACTTTTCTTGAAAATGACAGTATACCAGGTGCCATGATTTTACAGGATGCTTTACACTGTCATTCACTAACAGTCCAGCAAGGTATTTCAAAATGATTTGGTAGTTTTATTTTTTGATGTTTGCAAATGTTGTATTTTCCCTTTAACCAACAAACACCATTTTTGAAGTTCAACAAATGAATAATTAGATTACCCATGATTGCCTAATCCTAATAATAGCCACATTACTTCAATTGAAAAATAACGTGAGAAGAACAGTTAAAGAATACACTAGAAAGGCACCGGTAGAATTGTTCAAGGTCAACCGAGGTCAGCATGAGGTCAGAGGGTCAACTCTTCCCGACATCATCAGCATCTCTCTCTGGTTCTTCTGGAACTCTCTGCATGCCTTTCTGCCATCTTTGGTGTTGGAACTTTCACGTGCTTGGGTTGGTCATATGTTTCTCTTAAAAACTCGTTTTCACTTGATGTTGGATCAATGCGCTTAGGCTCCATGCATGAACTACAGAGGGCAGTGTTTAGCCTAGCAATGTAACCGAGTGAAGAGCACTTAAAGTTTCATTGTTCTCTTTAGTTTGCATTGCAGAATACATACCAGGAATGGCAGATTTTTGCCCACTTCTGACTGGATAGTGCATTAAGATCAAAGGCTGAAGTCACTAGTGCGCCATCTTGAGAGGCCTAAAATGTATACGAATTCTGCCTAAGACTTTGATTCAACATCTTGTATTGAATTTTAAAAAGAAATTAAATATGTAAATTCTCATTAAAGAGAAATAAAACTTATGGTGTTAGTGATGGTGGTGGTGGTGGAGGGGGCGGTGGTGGTGAGGTGAATAAACAATCCCAAATTATTTAAATATAAACCACTTTTAATATTCCAAAATAATTTCTTCAACTGTTGCTTCATGCAAATCTTGTTATGTTTTAATAACACATATTTTCCAATGTGTGCAATACAGACATGGGACAAAAAAATGAAAATGTATGTTCTAATTATTCAGAAACATTGAAACGGTGGTGGTCCAAATGAAAAACTACATCAAAATTTCCCCACTAAAGTCGGCTTGAATTTCTTCCCTCCCCCCGCCCTGAAAAACCACCACCACCTGTTTCCTACCCTCCTCAACTCATCCGCACCCCCATCTCCAACCCTGTCCCCCACTCTATCACCCATCCCCTCTACCACCCCCTCCCCCTCCCCCACCCAATCCCCATCCCCCACCCTGTCCCCCAACTTATCCCTATCTCCACCCTGTCCCCCATCCTGTCTTCCATCCCCTCTCCCACAACATTACCCACCACCCTTTCCCAAACCCCATCCCCCATCCCGTCCCCCACCCCATCTCACCACCGCCATCGGTAAACCACAGATCAGGCCCTCCCCCACCGGACCAATACGTCCTGACCCCGCTCCTCTCGACCCCGGGGATGGTCGAAGAGACGCAGGTGACGGAGGAAAACGGGGACTTTGCGGAGCGGAGCCGCTACCACCACTCGCGCTTGATGAATCCCACGGGGGGAAGCGGGGATCAGATGGAATGGGAATACGAACCGGCGGGACTTTTGGACGAAGGGGAACAGTTGGCGAACAGACCAGAGCCATAACACAGGAGAATTAGCTATGGGGTGGGTGGGGAGGGTCAGTGTAAGGGGGTTTATTTAATATTTGTCCAAGACTCGATTTTGATTTTGTTCGCCTATTACATAAGCTTTTGAGGTGAAGAGGATCTGTTTGAAGACAGTATATCCTAAGTGGAGCCAGTCCTAATACATTTGGGAGATCAGTGTTAAGTGGCTTGCCCATGGACACACAGTGCTTGATTTGAATCGCTGACCCTCTGGTCATGAGTCACAAAGCCTGATTACTAAACCACACTCTCTACACAGGGTGTCCCAAAAAAATGTCATTTATGCAGATATCCTTTAATTTTGCAGAAACTACTTTACATGAGTATTTCATCTTGATGGAGCATATTAATTATACTCTTGTGTATAACCAGTTGAAATACCATGGAAATCCACAGATCTAACAGATTATGAAAGGCTATGGTTTTTTTTACCCATTCCAATGGGATTTACACAGTTAGTGATATCAGTGCATCAGGTTGTCATGGGCCTTTTCACTCTTATGTAAATTAAGTTAACTGTGTAAATCCCATCACATTGGAATGGGTGAAAAAAAACCCATAGCCTTTTATAATCTATTAGATCTCTGGTTTGCATGAACGGATTTCCATGGCATTTTATCTGATTAATGTGCTCCAACAAGATGAAAATGCTCATGTTAAGTAGTTTTTGAGAAATTAAAGGATATCTGCTTGCACAACTTTATTGGGACACCCTGTATACGAGGACAATAGTAGTTGTTACATGAAGAACAGAAATAGTTGTGTGCTGTAACGGATGGTAGTTTTACTTTGGAGGTAAAAGTTGTGCAGATAAGCAGGGATGTGTGAGGTTTTGAGATATGAAAAGTGTCTGTTACTGCAATAGTGACAGAAATTACACCAAACTTACCAAAAGGTCACAAATTGTTCAGTTTTGTTTTATTGTTTACATACATGTACCGATAGGTTGAAGACATTCCAGCCATGTTGTTGTTGTTTTACATGTAGTATTTGAGTTGTCATCGTGAAATATCTTAGTTTTGAAATCTGAAATGAATTTATGCAGTGTAGTAAAGACAGTTTGTATCTGAACAGGTACTTAAAACTTGCAAATGAGCCAACACCCTTCAGCTGCTAAGCACAGTAATGTTTGGCTAAGCAGAAACAGGTTACCAGCCAAAGTTATATAGGGTATATATCACTTGTGACTGGTTCACAGCCACTTCTTGCTAAGCATTTTGATTTGCTAAGCAGTGTTCTGCAATTGATGAAATTGGGGCAAGGTCATTTTTATGTTATTTCATGCATGTGTAGTGATTTCTTTTTAAATTGAAATTGTAATTGTAAAGCATGAGTGGTCATTTGTATTCTTATTTATTTATTTAACCCATTGTACATGACAAGATTGTATACAAAGTGCTATTGACTTAAAATACATGTTGCAATATGTACAACAAAATTCTAGCTATTAATTAATTTATAAAAAGTCCTTATATTCCCCTTCACCTTTCCTTTTTTTCATTTTCAACTTAGTGAGACAACTCCTTGAAAAAAAACATCTGAAGTGTTGACTTAAAGTAATACCAAAATTTCTTAGTGGAACATTTGTGTTCTTTTAACTTGTTGGTTTTTGTTTTTTGTTTTGTATATTTCAAGGAAATCGGGAAATAGAAATAATCACTGGTCACATATTATATATCGTACTCATGGCGTGTTAACATATATTTATTACATGGTTTACCAAAACATGAAGTGTCTTTGTCTGGTTTAACATATATAATGGAACAAAGGTTGCTCATGAAAATCAGCTGAATCGGTGCGAAGTGGCCACCCATGAAAGCGGCCACAATGGACAGGTTGCCAACACCCTTAAAGAGGTTGTGGAATGCTCGAAGACATTTCCGTCATTTTTTGGGTATATGTAGCCTAAGATGTGATGAAATAAAAACGACTATTGTTTCTGTCATGAAATGAGTACAAAGGGTACTTTTAAGAGCTACGGTATTTTTCAGGTCCTGTTTCGACCCGAACGTGCAATTTGTGTAAAAGTCGTCGTTGCGGGCAGCAAACAAAACACAGTAAATCGTGACGTAATAAACAGGACTCTTTTATGCTACTCTGCATCGGGAGTCCTGTTTATTACGTCACGAATTACTGTGTTTTGTTTGCTGCCCGCAACGACGACTTTTACACAAATTGCACGTTCGGGTCGAAACAGGCATGACAGGACTTGAAAAACAGCTCTCAAAAGTACCTTTTGTACTCATTTTATGACAGAAACAATAGTCGTTTTTATTTCATCACACCTTGGGCTACATACCCGAAAAATGACGGAAATGTCTTTGAGCATTCCACAACCTCTTTAAGCTATGACATGTGCAATAAAGAATTCGCAGTGGGTTCACTAATTTCATTTACACTTGCACATATTATCGTTTATACCGAAATTCTGTGTGGGGATTTGTTACTTTTGTTTTGTTTCTTCCATTTATAAGTGTGCAATTTGTTTAGTGCCAGTTAAATTTTTGAGCGCCAAATCCGTAAACTGAGTGTGATTCACTGTCCACAATGGATGTTGTTTCTTTTAATTGATGACCGTGCATTGACTGTGTGAAAAGGTGGTTTTCAAACCTTGGTTTCATCGCCAGGTTTGGCATCATCTCTAAAATTCTTCTAAAGCCGAGCTTGAAGGCATAGCCGAGATTTCAAAAACTCCATGTGTTCTTGTTTATGAATGGGCTCTTAACATGTGTATGCCTAACTTAACTTACAGATATAGGGTTCAAAGTTATATTAATATATTATTCATATGTAAATGTACATTGAACTTGTATTTAAAAAAATGTACATTAAACTTGTATTTATAGGCCAAATAAATGATGATAATCCTTACATTGAAGCATACATGTATAGTGTTTTGCTTGTAGAAATGTCTTCCAAATATTTAGTGTCAAAATTGTTCTTGTCAGATTTATGTGTTGAAAAGTAGATATTGCGGTTGTTATTTATTATGGAATTTCCACGTCATCATGTACATGTGTATGTCAAATTCTTGTATTTCTTTTGTTTTGTCATCAGATGCATGCACTTTTAAAATGGTTCTTTCCTTATTTTCAATTTCTTCTGAGAAGAGTGAGCTAGACCAAGCAATCTATCATAGATTTCTGGAAGATTTGAGGAAAGAAGGGCCCCAAAAAGAAAACAAAATGGTCATCTTCAATTTTTCTGTCCCCCGCTTTTGTTTTTAATTTCCACTTGAAAATCAAAAACTTCAACTTGAAATTTTTTTTGACAGTGCTATTTTCCTAGCGATACAAGAGTTATTCGCTTTCAAACGAGACATCAAAAAAAAAAGAATCTGCCCACATTTAAAGGGAATATACATCATTTGCTTTTGCTGTAATTTTCAAAAATGGATGGAATTGGGGGGTTGGAAATATATAGCAAATATAGTTACACTGACTTTTTTGAGGTTTTGGGTTCGAAAATGCTATAAAAACCAAGAAAAACGATCATTTTCCTGTAGTCTGGTTCCCTGACTCCGTATAAGAAGAAACAGAGCAGTTTACATACATGGGGGAATTGTAAGGTCAGGGAACCAGTCTAGCTGGCTCGTACCCGTTCATAGGTTTGAATTCGATTGCAAACAAGTGCGATGGTCAATTGGGGCCAGTATTTGAAAAAAAGCCAGTTGTTTCCAACGCTGATCGGCCGATCAGCGTTGGAAATTGATACAAAAATACCACTTTTCTTGAAAATGACAGTATACCAGGTGCCATGATTTTACAGGATGCTTTACACTGTCATTCACTAACAGTCCAGCAAGGTATTTCAAAATGATTTGGTAGTTTTATTTTTTGATGTTTGCAAATGTTGTATTTTCCCTTTAATTCTGGAATAATTTCTTCACAAATTTTGAACATAGACAAAAATTCAGGTGGATCTTTTTCGAGGTGTTAGAGGTGAAAAGAAGTTCAAAATAAAAGCCTTTTTTTCCAGGTTGCAATTTTCCGAATGTCACAAATGTCTTTTGTTAAAATACAATTTCAAACAGAAATTTTGTTCGGACGGAAAATAAATGCATAAGAATGGGTTCAGTATGCAGCAATAATGAATGAATATTTTTCTTTCAGATTTAAATTCATTCTTTGTTTCTCTCTGACCTTTCAACTTTCCCTCCCCCACCCCCGTGAGCAGAAGGACCCCACCCCCAGAGGAGCAGATGGTGGTCCACTCCTCTCAGAACTTTGCGCCGCAGATCACCACGGAGCAGCTTACAGAGGACAACCAGGACTTCGCCTCAAGAGGGCGCTATCACCAGTCCATGGTCAACGACGCCAACTTCGACGATTTTGAGTACGGTCAGGAACAGTAGCGCCGCAAAATGTATTATACACACATTTACACATAAGGTTCACATACCGATAGTCTTTTTCAAAATATGGCCGACACAACATGAAGGCGCTATTCGGAGTGGGTAAATTTGCCAAAGAGTAACTTTTCAAGAGTTTACCCGCAATCAAATAGCGCCCTCGTATTGTGTCCAAATCTCAAAAAGTGAATTTTCTTGAACCTACTTCACTTTTCTACAGTCCTTGTGGTCACAAATCTCTTTCTCTGAGAAAAAATTGCGAAAGGAAATAAGGAATTAAGAGTAGCTTGATGCCATGCAAATGACCTCAGGTCAAAGGTTACACAAAAATCTATCCAATCATGACACCAGAGGGCAGTATTACATACTTGTTGTCAACAAAATCAGCTGTTTAAGTCAGTTTTCAAAACATTTGAAGAACTTTCGATGACTTTTTTTTTGTGTTTTAAAATTGGCTTTTAAAGTTAGTGGTCTTAGCAATTTGATGGTCACAGTTTCAAACTTTGCGGTCAGTAACTATTCCATTCATTATTAAAACGGGTTTGGTATGAATTTACCAAGTTTTTTGTTAAGGTTGTCACACTAATGTTTTATTTTAAACTAAAGACCAAATTTACCACAAATCCTTCAGACATAGCAACAAAACAAATCAACATGTAGTCAAATGTCAAACATTTCTTGTCCAAAGATTTTCGGTTGTTTTTCTTCGAATGGAAACTTTTTTTGCAAATTGTTTGAGTTCATGCTGTTATTTTCATGAGGTTGAGTTGCATGTAAAAACCTAGTATTCAGTTTATTGTCTGCACTCATAGAGGTATTTATCTCGAGTATAAAATCAAAATGATAATATGTTTCATTGTTTTAGAGACAGTGTCAGAATAATAAGTTATTGGTCGTGTAAACTGTGCTAAGTTGTATATTACTTGTGTATGATAGTGAAAATGAGTTGTACATAGATGAAATTACATAGCATGCTGCAAAGTTAGCGTTACATTGTAATTTTTAAACTGGTCCAACATTTGTTTATTTTCCAATGATCGCATTTTGTTTTAAAAAACAATTTACTCCCAGTTGCACGACCACTTCATTTTCTTAATTCAAAAGAGTGTAAAAAAGTGAAGTGTGAAGCAATTTTGTGGAGCTTAAAAACAAAACAGGAATTTGCTAAGCACAAAAATATTTGCTTACTAAAAACAGTTTTCCAGCCAAAATGTTGTGTTGATTGGGACTCTTTCTCAGCTGAATATGCTAAGCGCAAAACAAATGGTACTGGGTAATTGTTATTTTCATTTTGGTGGAAATTGTTTGAATTTTGTTGAATTCGGGAGGGTTTGGGATAACACTGAGCTTTCAGAAAATGTTTACAAGAAAAACTAAAAAAAAAAAATTAAGAAACAAACAAATAGGCATTTTAATATTTTTTTTTTTAAAATTGTAGGTAAATAATTTCTGTGACTTTTTGCAGAACTTCATTAAAAGCCAAAAAAAGTGAGTACACACAATTTGCTGCTTAGCAGGAAAAAAAGGTTTTGCTTAGCAAAAACTGGTCACCAGCCAAAGTGCCATGTGAAGTATAATGAGAGTGACCGGTTCACAGCTGATTTGTGCTTAGCAAGAAAAGGTACTTAGCACTAACTTATGCTGATGTGGCTTTCCTAAGCATTGAAGCCTGCAAGGCAATTACTTGGGTACATTTTAAAATTACACATGAGTCTATGGTAGTCGCTGTAGCCACTTCACATACACTCGTGTGTAATTTCAAGGCGTAGCCAGTAAGTCAGACATCGCCTGACTTGCTTAGCAAGAAGGGGCTGTCATTTGTACCCCCGAACTAATGGGTTTGTCCATAGAGGGCTCTCACGATTGTATTTATTGTTAAACAGGGTGCATATATTGTACATGTTACACGTATGTGGTTGTTCAGTACTAAGATTGTGTTGTAATTGTTTTGCCAAAGATTAGTTTTGTGATTCTGTGTTAAACAGGACCAATTTTTTTCGTGAAGGAAAAAATAATGATCATATTCCTTTCCAACCAAAAAGGTGTTCCGAAATTAATTCGAAAGCTAAGATGTGCTTTTCAGACCCAAATATTTTTGAAATCTAAGACAAATTTTTAATTCTTTTTTCTTCAATATTGTTTAACGTTAAAAGCTGAAATAATTTGAGATGTTTTACTTTGTATTGTTTGGTACAATAAAAGTGTAACCTATTCAGGAATATAAAATTTGACAAGTGACACACAAATTCTTCCAAACAAATATATTTAGAATTATAAATAAATGCATGTATAAAAATATGTTTAATTGTATGTGGAAAATATATGCCTAAATATACCGTATACATAGAGATGTGTACAAAAAAAGTCTAGTAGATGTATTATGTGGTGTATGTAAAAACACAGCTTATTGGCCATTGTACTTAGTAAGTATTTAGTGATCAATACTGAAATTGTGATTGGACAGTTCAGCAAAGCATCAGAATTCAGTATTATGCAAATTCTATATTCCTGATTGACCAATGGGAGTGTGTTTTTCAAGACTGTTCACCTGTGCGGAAGAGAGTCACACTTTTATTGGTCAGTTGTTATACATGTTTCAACCAATGAGAATGTGTGTTTCAAGACTATCTACCAATGCAGATAAGACCGTATTGGTCAATTATTGTACATTCCTCAATGGAAAAAAAATAATACTCAAAATGTATTAGGACAATAGAATACACTGATACAGTACAGTGTTTTGTGCTTGTGATTTAAAAAGTGGCAATAGGTATATGGAAAATATATTCATTATTGGGATAGTAAATGTAAACATATGATTTAGATTCTATTTGTTGATATGTAGTTAGAAGACTATTTCATGAAGTGCACATAAGAGTTATATTGATGTACAGAATAGCAGTAGGGTTTTATTCACGTGTGGAATATTTTAGTGCAATGTTTTAGCTTCAGTTTAAAATTACAAAGTTGAGATTTAGTAACATATAAAAACAAAAACAACACATTCCTGTTTTTTTAATTTAAACACTGGTATTCTTTCGGGTGTTTTCATTGATTCAGTCATCGACTTGAAATTCAGGGAATATTTTAAATCACAGTAGATTTCAATGATTTAGCGTGATAATTTCATGAATATGTATTCAATGACTATTTGTGACTTGGCGTGTCAAAGTTTGACAACAAAGTAAACTTGAGTTTGTGGCCAAGTAGCCTATTACTGAGATACTCTAACGAAGGGCATGTGCAGGTGCACACATTCTTGTTCCGTAGTTGTGGGGACTACACACGAGTTGTCCCATGGTTCAAGACGCTGTGGGGACAGCAGAAAGTCCTCACAACTCGGTCCTAATTTACCCAACAATAAAAAAAACTTCCCCATAACGCGGTGACGGCCTACCCACCCACACTTGTTCCATAGTTGTGGGGACTACACACGAGTTGTCCCATGGTACAAGACGCTGTGGGGACAGCAGAAAGTCCTCACAACTCGGTCCTTAAATTTGCCCAACAATAAAAAAAACTTCCCCTTAACGCAGTGACGGCCTACCCACCCATACTTGTTCCGTAGTTGTGGGGACTACACACGAGTTGTCCCATGGTACAAGACACTGTGGGGACAGCAGAAAGTCCTCACAACTCGGTCCTAATTTGCCCAACAATAAGAAAAACTTCCCCATAACGCGGTGACGGCCTACCATCCATACTTGTTCTGTAGTTGTGGGGACAACACACGAGTTGTCCCATGGTACAAGATGCTGTGGGGACAGCAGAAAGTCCTCACAAGTCGGTCCTAATTTGCCCAACAATAAAAAAAAACTTCCCCATAACGCGCCTGCACCAGTTCGCCTATGGCACACACACACAGAGTCATACTTTCATAACCGTCGAGGACAAGGCATTGTCTTTCCCTTTGTCCCTATAGTATAACACTCTCCCATAGACTAAGCACACAAACTCACGATCGAGGACTGTCTTCAACAAAAGATGAAGTCTCGAGGACAACAAAGAATCTGTTGTTCTCCCTTTGTCTGTCTGTCCTCGTGTATAAAGTACACTGCCAGGTACATGGTGACAATGGCATTCAAGGGCCACCATATCTCTCTGTCACTGTTAAGAGCGCCCTCATTAGCATGCACTTGGCAGGCAAATGCCGATCTAGTCTTGTGCTGTATCATTTATGTAATGCCAAAACTGAATAAATGTTATGAATGTCTTACAATATTGTAGTGTGTATCTTTTTTTTTATTCAAATTGGTCTTTGAAATTATACCTGCTAAAAAAAGGACAAAATTAACAAATTAATGCAATTTGTCTTTTCACATCATGAATTTTAATTCATCTCAACCAAATCACAACTAGAAAGCAGATCACATCAAATTGTTTCACAATTTGGGGAAAAAAACAGCTTATTGATAAATATTCTGAAAAAAAAATTAAATTAAAGAGGGCCAATCTTTAATCAATTCTAAGCAAATCTGATGGAGTCTCTGAGCTCAGATATTTGCTTAGTGCAACAAAAATCTGCTAAGCAAAAACAGGTTACCAGCCAAAATGTGTGATGTTTACAACTACTGACTGGTTCCCACCAGACTTTTTCTGCTAAGCATAAAAATGTTGCTAAGCAGGGAGCAGTGAACCAGCCAAAATTACACATTACATGTCATTTTGGCAGTTCAAATTAGTACCCAGTTTTTACTAAAATAATTGTAAAATTATTATTGAGGTAATAAGTGCTTTTTTTGGAAATTTCTGGGAAAGGGTGTGTTTCAGCCATTTCAATTCTCATTCATTTCGTAATCATTTAAGGCAATTTTAGGCAAATCTCAGAATTCAAACTTTTAAGTTTACAAAAGCTATCGAATATGACTTACAGTGAGTTGAGTCGCCAAACTTACTTCAAATTACTAAAGCTTGCACAAACTCAGTATTTTTTTTGTCGACATACACAATCTATATCAGCGTGTCCAACTGGGTGCAATATCAAAATGAAAAACAAAGCATGCTGTTCCTAATGCACAAAGAAAACCAACAAGCGATTAAAAATGTTACAGCCCAACTAGACTATCGGCCCAACTCAAGTTGGGGCCGTCCCACCTAGTGTTTCAACTGGAATTATTCTTCAGTTGGGACCAATGGTTTACTTGGGTGTAAGAAAAACATTGACTTCATTTTAAGCTGAAATTGAAACACACATTTATGTATTATCGGCTATGGAATTTGAAATGAAAGTTTTGATATTTAGAACACACCCATTTTTTTTATATTTTTTTTTTTTAACCTCGCTTTGACTCTCCAATTTCCCGAAACTCAAGCACACTTTTGTTATAAGGTGACCCAGACCGAAAATTTGGGACTCTCAATACTGTGTATGAAAATCCCAAAACTTAAGGTATTGAAAACATGCAACACAAGAAAATAGACTGGCACTTAAAACAACCAGTCCAACACCATTTTACAATATGTTTTAGTACTGCATCAATCAACTGTGTCAAAAGAAACATCTGGTACCTAGTCTCTATTTCTACACACTGCCTATTTCTACACACACATGTAGTCATGCCACCAGACTACTGAAGGGTCAATCTTTTCATAAAGTTGGACATGTACCAGTCTAGTCTTAGGCTTCAAATTGAAATCACTTTGCATCACTCTCAGGTGCAAAATGTTGAAGAAAAGTCTCTTTTAATAACTGAATTGAGACCTCAAGCTTGCCTGGTGTAATACTGAGGACCTTGTCTTTGCCTCGTGAAAATTTTTGGAGAATTTTGTCAGCTAAAAGAGGGAGTAAAGTTGGCCTGATTTTGTTATGCATGTTTTTCTACACACAAGGTCCCAGTCTGGGGTAACCTTTTTGTTCCCTTATTAAAATCTCTGTTGTATATGCACTTAAAGATGGGTAGCACAAAATTTGACCAAAACTCACAGCAAATTTGATATTTCTACTCTACTGCAAACACAGTTTCTTTTGTTTTTGTTAAAGCACAAATCATAACTATGAATAAAACACATAAAATTGATGTCAAACATTTGGAATCTATAACACACTGTCCAAATTGTACATCATTTCCTGTTTAAATTTTGTCACAAATTCAAGAAAATATATCACAAAGTTTTTATAATGTCATGCAGATTACAAACCACTCTGGGAGTTTTCCCTGATTTAAATAATTTTGGTGGAAATTTGGTGGAAATTGGAATAATCTTACATCATAAAAGAAAAATAGCTACCTATAACAAGGGCAACAAAGATTTCTTAATGTTACATTGAAGAGTTGTTTTTATACATAAATTCAAATTATACATACCCTGCCATGCAAAATTACACTGTACGTGTGCTAGTCATGAATTCATTCATAAAATAACATTTAAATTCCAAAATTGGCACAAATGGTTTATCAATTGTCATACAGAGCCAAACTTTGCAGCATTTTCAATTCCAAACTTATCTTCAAAATACCACCAATTCCTTGTATTTCATCACATGAATTTCATTTTAAAAACTGAATTTCTGTCCGTCCTATGGCTCTGTTCCTTTTTTTCCCCCTCATTTTTAACTTTGTTCACCAATGAAAATTTGAAATATCCCTTTCAATGTAGGCTATTTCCCTGGTATGCAATTTTGTTTTCTTTCTTTAATTGGTAATAATAGCACACGTGAACCAGTGAGGTGAATTCTAGACTGGTTTCTGCCCCATATTCACAAAGTCTACAATATGGCGAGACTGTAAACCAGACTATCAAATTGACTCATTCAGTGACGATTAACCCTTCTTCCCTGGTATGCATCGACCCCAATGTCAAAGAAAACAGAACAGCGCATGTGAACCAGTGAAATTATTCAGCATCAAAGCGCCCTCTTTACATGTACTTCATGCACAGAGCCATTAGAAAACGGACAACACAAGAACCATTCATTTCTTTTGATTTAATGCAACCAATTTTTAATTGGGTTGGAAATATTATAAAACCTTTAAAAGTGAAAAAAAAAAAATTACTCCTTTCAAAACTCTTTGGGGTGGCGGACGGTTTAGTCGATCTTTTTGGATGAGACTCCTCCGATGACCTTCTTACGCTGACGAATCATGTGCGAGTACAAACGCGGGAAAACTGTCACAGACAATACAGAAAAAAATTAGTACATTTGCATAAGTGAATGAATAAGAAACGGATAAACCAAAGCGAACGACTGGCATAGAAGTATCCCTATTAACATCTATGGTTTCAATGTATAGAGCAATCCGGGCACGTTATCAATTCCATCACGAAGGCCCCCTTCAATGGCGAAAGCATTGTGCTAGCTATTGTTCAGATAATCCATCACAGGGCCGTTGCTTTGTACAAAAGCACACACAATGGTTTCTCCATTGAAGGGGGGCCTCGTGCGTGTTCAGTGACCACGTGCACGTATTCGCCTATAGTACTCCGAAGCATAAAGCCCAGTTATGATGACATTAAAAACGATGACAAGCCCTACTGCTGTCTGAACAGTCACAGACAGTCAAAAACTTAATCCTCTTCCCCTGCCATGCCTTTTACACAGGCTAGTCACAGGAACGAATGTTGCATCCTGATGCTACCTTTTTCATGATATATATCATCTCAGTGGAGGTCAGTCATTGTAAAAATGTTGAAAAAGACATGAATCTGGGACTGAGAAACATTTCCCATTTTGTTAGAAAATACTTTGAAATTCTTGACTCTCCATAGACTTTGTACACATCCAACAAAGTGGCGTCTGGATAGTACATTCTTTTCTAGTCACCAGCAGTTGGATCATATTTCAAGCAAGGACTGTGACTAGTCAAATTCAGTCAACCGACAAAAAGCAGGCATAACCAGGCACAACTGTCTTATCAATCACCTACAGTCAAAGCATAGCTGTATCAAGTTCCATAAACAGTCACAGCCAGTCAATCTTAATCTGCTGTATGTAGGCTAGGAGCTCTTAACTGTTTGGGAAAACAGTCACTTGACTGATTTTTACAGGAAGGACAACTTTGCACAGAGCGTATGTTTGCATAGGAGGGTTAAAATTGGATACCTACTTGGTATGTACAACAGCATGATGACTATAAGAAAGCTATAGTAATCAAATGACACGTTGAGATCGTTGGGTAGCGTGAATGAGAACAGGCCGCTTTCCTTGACGTGGGGGAGTGCTGCATAGATGGTCAAAAGCTCACCCTGCCAAAAAAAAAGTAAGTTTTTCATTTTATTCTATTAACCCTAACCTTCGCAAATGCTTCAAAATCCTCTTTGCAAAATTGCAGGATTGAGGCTATATGGCAAAAATGTGTGGCTGATTTTGGAGGATGCACTGTGTCAAGGTTTTGGGCCGGACCTTGTGTTGTTTATGCTCAGCCGTGCATAAATTTAGGCCTAGATTATACTTGAAATCTGCCACACTGCTCCAGGATGTCACTGGCTCTACCTTAACATATACTGACAGTGATTGCTGGAGGATTTTGCAGGATTGAGGCAGTGGTCACCCCTCCAAGGACCACATTCAAGAAATAACTGAGGATTTCACATGCAAATTTTTACACGGAGGCAGTTGGAGCATTTTGCATGTAGAGGTTGCATCCTGGCAAAAATGCCTAGGGAGTAAGGGTTAACATTTCTTTGTGGTTACAAAGTTACACGTGCCTTTCATTTGTCTTTGGCCGTATCCGAATTTTCTTGTCTACGGCTTGAAATTATGCATGCGCCTATGGAAGTGGCTGAAGTCATTGCCCATAGACACGTGTGTTACTGCTAGCCACAGTCTCAGATTTTGTCCGGTTTTGGAAACTTACAGTAACTCCGAGAGGGTACAGCACGATGAACAGCGTGTATCTGCACCACGTCAGCGCATACGGCAGTCGGTTCAGTAGACCCAGCGTGTAGAAGGCATACCGCATGATTTCCGTCACCGTCCACGCTGCGATGTAGAGCGGTACGCTAATCTCGTCTTGAACCTGAAGTTATGAAAAAAGGGAAACAAACAGTCAAGTTACACAAAGCTTTTGGTACAGCATGTATGATTGGCCACATTGCACCCAATTTTATTTATATTTCAGTCTCCTATTGGTCCATTCTTTTGTCACCGATTATACAGCCTTTGTGATTGGCTAAATCAATGTGGCTTGTTTGAATGAAGTTTCTGATTGGTTTTAAAAGTCATCCCAACCTCAAGTACAGCATTTGTGATTGGCCACATGCCACTCATATTTTATTTATATGTCAGTCTCTCATTGGTCCAATCTTTCCTTAGCTTTGGTTACAGCCAGCATGATTGGCTAAACCACTAATTTGTTTAATTCCCATGAATATTATTGGTTGTTATCCTTAGCTGTTGTCTGATTTATGTGATTGGCCACACACCACTGGTATTTACTTATGCTGCTCTCATTGGTCCACCCTTTTCTTAGCTGTGGTACAGCATGTATGATTGGCCAAGTTTCACTCATGTTTATTCATGCCACTCTCTCATTGGTCCAAAGTTGTCTTACCTGTGGTACAGCGTGTGTGATTGGCCAGAGCAGCATCACCCTGGAGAACACCTGGAATGCTGTGATCATCACAGAAGAAGGCACAATCCCAATGGCACAGTGAAATATCTAAGAAATGAACAAAATAAATTAAGAGGATTTTTAGGTTGTAAATTATCAAACTCTGTGACTTTTTCCTGCATCTAAGGGCCCAGGCAATGTAATTGTATGAATACAATCCTTGAAAATGCACCTTTGTGTCCCATTTAAACCTTATTTTCACTTTTTGTTTTGCCATTTTCAAGGGTATTTTGGTGCCTTTTTGGTTTTTAAGCTAATGCCAATTTCCATATTCATGAGCAAAACTGTGATGTCATTCCGAGCAGAAACCTCAAAGTTACAGCTATTTCAGCAAAAAAAATGTTGCTAGAATTTTGCATATTTTGCTGTCATACATTTTCTTTTCTTTGGTGAGTCGTTGTTGTGCCCTTACATGGCAGTAAAGCCAATGAGCAAACCTTTCTCAAAAATGTTTTCAATGAGCAAAATATTTGGTTCACAATTTGAACAGAAAACCCCTAAACTGAAGAGTGTCTTCATGAAATGACATCATGGCAACAGTGCCCTCAGTTCTCCAGAAAAGCATGGAAAATGTTTAAATGTTAAAAAAAGTGCACTTTTCAATAAAATTAACCAAATAGGGGTGTCAAATCGTTTTCATACATTTCAGAGGAGTAGAAAGTTTCACAAAGTGTGTTCCTAAGAAAAAATCATCGCATTGACCCTTTAACTGAATGGATAAAGATGGCACCTAATTAGATTGGGGTCAAAGGTCACAGTGTTTGTTTACCTCCAAGACAGCTGCCGTTTGAAACACCTTCAGCGGGACCTCCACAGTGTCATAGATGCCAATGTTGGTTTTGGTTTGTAAGTAATGACGGACCGCCATCACTCCTACGGCTGTCCATCTGAAATAAACAAAATTTTGTTGTGGAAAGTGTGTGAACATGGTGAAGACGTCTCTCTGTCATCATTTTATGAAGAGTAAAAACGCAGTGGCTGTTGTTACAGTAGTCCACCATCTGGTTCCCTGACCTAAGTATATTCAACATCGGGATCTTTGGCTCTTGGATTTTTGGAACCAGACTATCAACCGAATGGTTCTCGGACTTTATTCCTTAAAATAAATCCTCCAAACCAACAAATTATGCAGAAGAAAATGAAATCTACTTCACAATAAAACATAGGATTTGATTAAAAACATAACAATATTAATGAAATATTAATTAAAAGGGAAAAAAAGAGGGGAAAAAAGGTGTGGCACACAGATTTGATCCCGGGACCTTGGTTGTCCAGCATTTATTAATGATAGTGGATATTTTGCCGGAGGTAATGACGGCAAACTAACGATTACTAAAGGTTTGCCGGCGGCAATCCATATCAACAGAGGGCGCTGTACTCTTTAAAATAGGGCTGAATTATAAGATGTATTAAATTCCCACCAAGAGTTGTGTAGCACGTTTGGTGTAATGGTCAAGATAAGGCTCTAGTAAGCAGGATGACTCGCGTTCAATTCCAACAGCACCATATTTTAAAGGTTTTTTTTTCTCATCCCCAAATAAATAAGAATATTCTTCTTTTATCATTTTAACATGTCTCAAACATTTTTTGCAGAGTATTACATTTTCTTTTTCAGATTTGTGGCTCTGGAGGATTTTTTTTTTAAAAGGGAAATAAAGTCCGAAATTATGGTCTGAATCCCATCTTGTGAATACGAGGTAACAACGATAATTTTGGCATGGAGCCAGACTAAAACTTGTCACCGGAAAATGTTTAAGTACAAAAAAACAGTAACTGCGCATGTCATGCATGTTCAGTGCATATCCGGCAAACTAACGTTTACTAAAGGTTTGCCGTCTCCGGCAAAATATACGCTGCCTATTTTTTATATTAGTATACAGATAGCATGATCCTCTGATGTTACTACGAACTTACTTGACCTAATGACAATGTCATAAACAATAGTAAAACTTCAGGAAACCCTTAATTGAATATGGGTTGGCGTTGAGGGCGCTATGCATTCTTATCCAATACTCTCAACTCCAGCATAATTTGATGCCAGCCTTGCGACTGCGAGCCAGGATTTCCCAAACTTGGCCCAAAATTAACGATCACCCTCAAGCAAAATTAAGAGGAGATATTCTCAGTTTACCCTGCACATAAGACGACATTATAGATGACCAAATATGCTGTCGCCAGGCCAGAGACTGGTCGAGATTTGGCCCCTTGTTTCAGGTCCCCAGATGCCTGTCCAGTCGCCATGCTTGCTGCGCTTGATCGTACGATCACGGAACACAATCAGATACCCATTACATCAATGTGTCTACATCATGTAAAACAGACTAGGTGCTAGACAAGTACTAAACTTATTTCAGTCGCTTGAGTGTCACATCCATGTCTCGTCACTGGGGGCAAGTCTACTATCCAGCGAGTGATAAGTAGTCTGGCTCCAGCCCACTCGATGCATGAATAATTCGAGTCCCAAACTAGGTTTACTTAAAAGGTGGTTTCCTGCCGGGAATAATTGTTTTGTCAATGTAAACCGTGATTACCAGCCAAGTTAAATGAAAATCACATGATACCGTTTGTGCATGCGGGAATGTACATGCAGGTACGGGATATACAGGTACGGTACGCAAATCCTGCCTGCAGTGTGTACTATACTTTTTGCAAACTTTTGAGACTCTTTGGAACCGAAAAGGATTAATTTCAGTCCAATTAATTCCGCTATGCGGACACTCAGAATTTGTGCCGGCCTACTATCAATTAATACTCGGTAGATATTACTGTTTGCAGGCAGACTTTTACGGAATTTCACTTTCATATCTGTTAAAACGTGAAGATTAAAGCCGGCGAAGTTTTCAAGTGAAAATTTTCAGCAGTCAGCGTTGACCACTCAGCACAGGTCGGGGATTCCACAGGTCAGCACGACAGCAGCAGACGATTGTTCGTACGGGTGCTGGACTTCATTTCAAAGCATGGTGAGTAAACGCACTGCACATGTACTGTATGAACGCTATGCTCTTTCTGATTTTACGTGTCAGTGGTTTTGGCTATGGTCCAACCCAAGTTGGGTTGGACTAGACTGGGCATACATGTACTTCTTAAGTTAAACTTAAAGTTTAAAATACACACTAGGGTGGGCGTGGCTAGCTACAGCATGAGGGGGCGTGGACCTACAAATGTCAAAACATTTGTAAATTGTACAGTAAAAGTTGGAATTAATGACAGATCATCATGATTGAGTGTGTACAAAGTTTTACATTTTCTCTGCCAATATTTTTTTCTTTTACATTTATTATATTCTCATATGAATTAGGCCTATGAGTTTGATTTCATTTTTGAATCAGTTATAAATGGCTGCATGCTTAACTTGTTGACTGACTAGTGACTGGTCCTATTTATTTTCTAGCTCTGAATTGTAGTGTAGAGATGGAATTTAGAGGTCTTTCCCAATAAAGGGAGCTACATGTACAGTTTACATGCATCCCTATGAATGACTATGAGAATTGTTGGAAAGAGTGTTGCTGCCTGACGCTACTTCGGCGGTTGTGTACAAAGTCTATGGAGAGTCAAGAAAATTTTCTAAGTGTTTCCCAACAAAATTGGAGAAAAGATTTCCACATACGAAGTTCACTAATTTTCCTCTGTACTGACTAACAAGTCCCCAGATAGCAATTTCATGTCATCAAAGTCAATTTGAGCAGTGAGAAAATACAAGCATTTTCTTAGAAAACACTTGAAATTTTTCAGTCCAATCTCATAGGGTTTGTACACAGGGTGTTGAGTGAATTCGTATATGGAAATCTTTCCGAATTGGAAATGTTTCTCAGTCCCAGATTCGTGTCTTATCATTTTTGCAACGACTGACCTTCATTGAGATGATATATGAAGAAAAAAGCAGCGTCAGGTTGCAACATTCTTTCCGAATTGTTTTCATTTTGCTGAAAGACCACTTGCTTTTTTTTCCGATCCGTGTGTAACGTGCGTCTCCTAGTAGGTCCCTTGCCTCTCTGGCCCAGTCCCAATGGAGTTGAAGCGCCTGCGGTTGGAGGCCACAGCACCAAGTGACGAACAGCACTCCCAAATCTGCTCCACCAGGGGAAAGCACTAACTCAACTAGTGTTTGGGATTTAGGGGATTGGGTGGATTAACCTGTGGTTTTGGGTGGATTAGCCTGTGTGGTTTGGGTGGTTGACCGGTGGCTCTGGGTGGCTGACCGGTGGCTGTGTGTGGCTGACCAGTGGCTCAAGTGGCTAAGTGGGGGAGACTTACGGGTACACACCGGTAAATCGATCCGCCAAGCTCATGAATAAAAGTTATACCCTCAAAATATTCTATATTAGAGAGTTCTGAGCGCCGTAAAATTGGGGAATTGAAGAGATATGGTAGTGAACCTCTGGCCCGGACTTGGGGCTTCCAATTCTGAGCATTTTGGATGCTATTGGGCTCGAAAGTGGCGCTATTTTGCCATGTTGTGGAGGGATCGTTTTTCAAGATGGCTACTTTTCCGCTTTGGGGAAAATAGGGGTCGTCTTCTTTGCGTGAAAATATCTCGAAAAGTCAATGGTCAACCCACCATAAATTGAAAAGAAAATGAAAGACGACACATTGATCATCATTTTTCTGTGCAGCTTGAATACCTGTGAGAGTTTTGAGTATTTTTAAAAGAATTTTGAAGTACGGGCATTTAGCACTAGTGTCTATGGGAGTTTATTTGCAGGTATGCACCCTTACAGTTTTGTACACCCTATTTAGTGACAATTAGACAACAAAACAGAGACAGGAGACTTCTTTGACTTCTTTGGTCCCACCAGGCGAAGAAGTGAGATTTATTGCTTAGTAGATAAGCAATAAACTAGTAGACTTAAGCCACGCCCACTAACAGCGCTGGCCAATTAAATGCTGATGTTCTAGTATGAGTGACTGGGCACTAAAGAAAAGTCACTATACAGTTCATGTTAATGTATAAAACGTATAGTTGATGATTCATCACACGTGGAATGAACTTTAGTACTTCAGAAGTGAGTGTTGTCCAAATTTCGTGTTTAAACCAAACTTTTCCTTTATCATGTTTATTTTGCCAAAAATTACATTTCGAACCATTGCGCAAGTATTTGTTTAGATTACAAATAAAAAGTGTTCAGAATGCTAAACACTTTTGTAAGGAAGTGAAACCAAGCCAATACTAACATGGCTAATGTGTCACGTGCCCAACCCCGACCCAACCTTCAACAAAGGGGAAATTATGATCACATAGTCATGGGGGTGTGTTGTATAGTGCAGGGCATAAAAGCCGCTAAGTTACACAACAGAAAGTGGAAAATCCCCTACATGAAGAATTCCCCACATCTGTGAGAGCCATACAAAACTTGTATGGGCATATTGCCTTCCAATTGAAATTGAAGGTGCTTTTTCATACAAATGCAGTTTCCTCTGTGGGTTGGACAGGGTGGTTAAAATGGTTAAAAACACTCATTTAAATTGAGGCCAGTTTATTTTTCGGTAAATTTTCAAAGTATCAATAAAATTGTCAAATCTACCCTACCCTTTTTTGTTGAAAATTTGTTAATTAGGGCCCTGGTTTGTGTACAAGGCAGAAAATCATGTTCAGCCAATTTTATGTGCTAAGCAATAATCAGCAGGGAACCAGTCAAATGTAATGTACACTGACAATTTCGGTTGGTAACCTGTTTTGCTAAGCTTTGCTTGGCACACTTCTATGCTTAGCTCTATGAACTTGATAGCAGATTGTGTATTGAGATTAAACTGAAGTCAATTTTCTAAAGCCGGGCTTTGCCATGTGATGTTACAGGGCCGGTTGAGACTTTAATTCACACGAAAGCGAATCGAATTTCACAACTGAAGTTCCATTGTCACTTTGTGACATTCACCGATACTCTAACGAATTGGCTTCGCAGTTCGCACTGACATTTGCTGAGACCAACAGAAGCTTGAATCTCACAAAATGACAGCAACAATCAATGTACATGTACCAGTGGTTTTGAAAGTTGGGTTTCCAGACATTGTGTTATCGTCTTGTTAGATAAAAGGACAGGATACTTCAATGCACTCGGAACTTCCTAAACTTTTCTGTTTATATTCTGAGTATCAAAGGCTGTACAAACTACAGGATGTACATTGTACATGTACATGTACATGTAGGTTTGCCAAACTACATGTACATGTACATGTATGACCTTAAGTGACCTTTCCTGCAATCTGCATACATGTCCTACCAGTGATATTCAACAGTTTACAATAATAGAGACAAGTTATACACATTCAGTGTTGTGTAATATCATTGTGTGTACAACTACAAGCCCTTTGCAGTGTGCACAACAGTTCACCGTGTGCCTAAGAATTGTTGACACACGCAAATATTTTGTATACAATAATTGTATATTGCCGTGGGCAAATTTGCCAAAAATCCAGTTCGATAAACAAGACGTGCATTCCTTTTTTTCCTCTCTATTTTCACAAAAATAGGGCCTAAATAAAACCGGCTAGATTGTACATGTACATTGTCAAAAGGGGTACCTGAATCAAGCAAATAGACTGTAGGCCCCTGAATGTAGTGTACAATTCTACAAAGAGGTTGAAATTATGGATAGATGAAAGACATTTCACCTCTTGACACATTTTATTCATCCGTGCAGTTGGGACTCTGCTATGATCAATACAGCTGAAGAAGTCACTATACATTTACATGTTTTGTAAATTGTAAGTCCAAAAAAACTGCTTTAAAAAAAAATCAAGTTTCATGCTTCAGGAGGGCTCTGTGCAAGCTACAATTAAAATGAAATCTAATAAGTTTTGGAATTTGTTTTTGTATATTTTTTTCAACAAAAGAAAATTTGAAGAGTTTTTCCCACCATGGCTTGAATACACTGTATAGGCCTACAATGATGTGCATAGCATTTCAAATAAAGTCCAGTAGCATTTTTTTTTTCTTCATTTTTTGGCTTGAATTGTATTATCTGTGTGGATGTAATCTGACTCGATCCAACGCTGACCTTTAGTCCGTCATTACCCCCAGTGCAAAGTTCAGGGATTTTTATCTTCAAAAAGCACACATCCCATCAAGTAACGATAATATTTCAAGCTAAATGTTATAAATTGCTCACCTCACTTCCTTCCAGGTAAAAGGTTATAAAGTTCGTAGTTTTTTATCTCCACATGCCAAAAAAGATATTTTGTAATATGTGTGTCCATTTTTTGTATTCGTCCTCTTAAATTGTTGAGTGCAGTATATGTGTTTGAGACCATTCCGTTGCCTATACCTCTTAGGTTGTATTCCTCCTCAAAACAAACTTTTTAGAAGGTTACAGAAATCCAAAAAAAGAAAGAAAATAACATAACAAGATCAACATTAAATGTTAGCAAAAACTGGTATTGGTTGAAGTGCACGAGAACGCAATTTTTAAATTTGTTTTTACTTTCAGTTCTTTTAAAGTGGTTTCAACAGAGTAGCCTATAGATAAAATGTCAAGATGCATTCCCATGCATACATGTTTCTGTACAAGGAAATTGTAACTAATGGAAAGTAAATACATATTTCAAGGTCAATCGTCAACCCTAACTCCCTAGGCATTTTTGCCAGGATGTAACCTCAATCCTGCAAAATCCTCCAACTGCCTCCATGTAAAAATAACATACAGCCTCAATCCTCCAAAATCCTCTGTTAGTTCTTGAATGTGGTCCTTGGAGGGGTGACCACTGCCTCAATCCTGCAAAATCCTCTGGCAATCACTGTCAATATGTTGAGGCTGAGCCAGTGACATCCTGGAGCAGTGCAGAGGATTTCAAGTATAATTTAGGCCTAAATTTATGCCCAGCTGAGCATTTAAATAACAACAGAAGGTCTGGCCCAAAGACCTTGACACAGTGCATCCTCCAAAATCAGCCATGTGCACATTTTTGCCATGGAGCCTCGCTCACTGCAAAATGCTGCATTTTGCAAAGAAAATTTTGGAGGATTTGGGAAGGTTAGGTTAAATTAATATCATTTGCATTTGATGTTTTTAAATTTTTTTCAAGGAAACAGCAGTCCTCAAAATCTAACATCTAAAATCTAAAAAAACAACAGATGTTGTGAAAATTAATTTGTTAAAGATTCAGCTTGTTCTTCAAATGAAATTTTGTTTGAATTTTGGAAATTACACTGAGCCCCACGTTCGGCACCGAAAAGCAGAACTAAACCAATAAGAATCACATTCATGAATTGGGCACAAGACTTGTGACTTGTTCGTGTTGTGCTAGAAACAAGGGCCAGGTTCAATGTGATTATAGAGGGTATACTACAGTGCATGAACTTAACGCACTTTTATCACATACACATGTACAATGTACATGTAGATATCTGGCAAGTTTCCGGGTACTTGCAAATTATCTGATGGGCCTCAGTTCAGAAGCTTGGAAACACAATGGCAGGACCATGTGCACTTTTTCTGGGCAGTACAGTGTGTACACTGAGAGACGTTTTTATTGACACGTAAATTATACACAAGTATGTACACTGTAAACACTATGAGTTTAAAAGTTACCCACGCATACAGGAACTTAACAAGTAAACAAAGTTCTTCAGTAATAAATGTATTCAATGTTTTTATTATCGTGAAATTTAGCAATTGTTGTAGTTTTGAAAGATGAGATCTAATATCTGGCCATTGTTTCCATAGATCGACCAATCAGGCTCAAGGATTTAAAGTTGCTGAAAGACAATAGCAAACAAACATTTACTGCTTCGAGTGGTGTAGTAAAACTTACCTCCCGACATGATGCATTGAGCATACTACAGTCGAGTCTCGTTAATACAAACTCGTTCGGACCTAGTCAAATTGTTTGTTATATCAGAATTTTGTATTAAGAGGAACATAAGTCCCATTCATTGTGCACATAAACTTTTATGCACAGTCGGGACTAAGGCTTTGTGTTTGTTATAACCAGAATTTTGTATTAACAGAGTTTGTACTAACGAGATCCGACTGTAATACATGTATTTTTCCCGTAAAATAGTGAATGCCACGTGACTACCGGTAGCTTTCGGCAAATCAAAATACAGAATCTGCGTGAGGTGTTATAATACACCCTGATGGATATTTGATTTCGTTTATGAATTTCTCTTTTCATTCTCTCCCCCCCCCCCAACCAAACCACTTTTGCCCCGCCCACCAGTCGGCAACAGGAGAGAAGCGGGAACACCTATACAAGGTCTTGGTCATAGGGGACCTTGGCGTGGGTAAGACCAGCGTCATCAAGAGATACGTACACCAATTCTTCTCACAACACTACAGGGCGACCGTATCCTTTTACCAAAAAAAATTCTCAAACTCAAAAGAAATTTTTGCTGCCAGGACGCTTTCGAAATTCTCAATATGTTTTTTTTAATTCATTATTTATGTAATAATAACTCAATGGCATACTGTTTGTAATATTGTTGACATTTAGCTTGGAGCTCCTTATCGCCGAAATTTGCTTAGCACGGAAACTAATTGCTTAGCAAAAACAGGTAAGTTTATGCCGTACCCGCTGCTATGTACATCAGATTCGAACCCGGCCAACCAATCCTGTTAGCTTGGTGGTCGATTGGTAAGACATCTGCACTGGAGGGCAGGAGGTCGTGGGTTCCAGTCCCACCCAAGTGATTTTTTCCAACTGGAGGTAGCACACTGAATATACAGTGTTTTAACATCGGTGAAGGGCAAAACCTAGTTTGATTCAAAAACAGGTTACCAGCCGAAATTCCAATATTGCTTGTGACCAGTGACTGGTACCCTGCAGATTTCTGCTTAGCACGCAAATTTGCTAAGCAGAAAATGGGATGATAAACTGGGGGTTTTTTTGTGTGTTTTTTTTTTTTTTCGTTTTCTGTTTTAGATTTGTAATTAACAACTCCCATAAATGCTTCAAATTTCTCCCTTGAAAACATTGCTTAAAAATTTTGAATTTTGTTATATAGTGAAGGTTTAATTAAAGATATATTGGAAAGCATTTTTACATTCTGCAATTAGTACAAGTGTGTTCTAGTTCACTTTTTTGTTATTAATCTCCAAATGTTTTTTTTTTCACATGACAATGTAGTGCACAATTGGAAAGTGTAGCAAAATTCATTTGAATAAAATATCTCGAAACTCTTCTGTTTTTGTCTTGGCACCCTGACTTTACACCAGTACATGTACATGTACATGTGTTCAACAGCATCCAAAAATTAGAGAAAATGTTTTCCATTTTTCATTTCTCATCAACAAAATCTGTCTCAAATTTCTCTCTCCCCCCCCCCCCCCCACATGCAATGTTGATACTGAATTCAGCAGGGTTGAAAAGCTTGAGGTTGTGAGGTCAGGACCTTGGAGCAAACTCTAGACTGAGGGCCTGCCAGTCACTTGTGATCCAGACACTGTTTATCAACACCTGATTATTGGGTAATTGAGCGGCCATAAACACCCCCAGACTTTGTGTAATGGATCTGTCAGCTGTTAAAATGACCTGTCAAGGCTGAAAGAACCTTGTTGTAAATTCCAGAAGGCCCATGGTAAATCACAAAGGCTCAATCTTGGTTAAAAACAATGTTCAGTGTTGTTTTAATATTCATGTACATGTACATGTTCACAACAAGATGTGACTGTTTTGTAACTTTGGGATAAACAAAGCAACTGAATGCAATTTTTTTATGCAATCAATAAAACAAAGAAGACAGCTTTTGTTTGCACAAAAGTTTGAAGTTGAACATGTACAACCACCTAAAAACAAGGTTCTGTAAAAAGTTATTGAAATAAGTTTTTAATTCAGGACACTAATTTACATGTTATTGGCACCGGCTGTAATTCACACGTATACAGCAAATGGTGTCTCTTGCTAATATATACATACCGGTACATGCACATGTTAAACATGGGCAATTTGAATACAGAACGTGCTGTTTGAACACATCAAATAAAACTCTAAACTAAACAGAAATGTAGGTCACACTTTGTGTACAACAATGAATTTAAAGGGAATATACAACATTTGCAAACATCGACAAATAAAACAACCAAGTTTTTACGAAATACCTCACTAGGATGTTGGTAAATGACAGTCTAAAGCATCCTGTAAAATTATGGCACTTGGTGTGAAGTCATTTTCAAGAAAATTGTATTTTTAACGGTGGTCGGCCGACCACCGTTGGAAAAACCTAACTATTTTTCAACTACTGCTCCAAATTTACCATTTTGTTCAGTCAAAATTGTGTTTGCTATTGGTTACATGTTCATTAACGGGTGCAGGCCAGCTAGACTGGTTCCCTGACCTAACAATTTTCCGGCATCTATAAATTGATCCATTTCATCTTTAGTGGAGTCAGGGAACCAGACTACTTGAACGTTTTTGTGTTTCTTGGCTTTTCCAGCATTTTCGAACACAAAACTTCAAACATGTCAGTGTAACAATATTTGATCTATTATACTAACCCCTCAAATACTTCATTTTAAAAATAACAGCAAAAGCCAATGATGTACATTCCCTTTAAGGGCTTTTTAAAAGTAATTTTTTGAAAGGCCATACATTGTATACAGTAAACGTACTGAATTCTTTTTTAGTTGGGCTTGGCTGGGCTGGGCAGACTTGGGTTGAGTTTCCTTGCATTATTTTTTTTTAAGCACCCAGGAATAAAAGATACGATACGGTAACTGCAATTTGGCTGTATTCCAGAAGCTTACAACTTACAAGATTCACACAGGTCATATTTAATACCATGACATATATGTACATGTAAAGCCATTACACCCAGTAATTTAACAAACTTTGCTTAGATTTTTTTTTCCAGCATAGAAAATAACATGAAATGGTCACGTGTGCAACAATGTCTTTCCCAAATGGTAATAATACCAGTACTTAAATGAGATTTATTTAAGTAGAAACCCTTGAATGTTTCTGTGCAATACATATAACATCCAGCTCAATGTTTGTATTTAACATTTGTGAGCTGACTTTTCCAGACCCCTTTTCCTTGACCCTAGTGCCTTTGTAGATTGGTGTTGATTTTGCTCTGAAAGTCATCAACTGGGATGCAGACACGCTCATACGTCTGCAGTTATGGGATATTGCTGGTAAGTTCTATCACAGCCCAATTGTAACTTACACAACAACAAGCACGCAGTTGTGAATTTCTGTACGCCCGAGGACAATGCTTTGTGTTTTCCTTTATCCCTGTAATATAACACTCTCCCATAGACTAAGCACATAACTGTATGATCGAGGAGTTTTTTCAACAAAAGACCCTGCATTGCTCGCGGACTGAAAGGATCTTTTGTTCTCCTATATGTGTCTGTCCTCTATCGTAAAGCATGTATATTCTCACCAGAGAAGACTGCACAAGGCCAAGAAAGAAAAAAAATAGTTTGGAAACAAATAAAAAGGCAAAATATTTGCAAATATATAATTAACCAGGTCGCGTCGGAGGACGTGATAACACGCACTGGCTGTTTTTATACATGGGCACGGCTGACAGGTTAAGACGTCAAGATAGCCTCGACTCGCCTCCGGGTGACGTCTAAACACGCTAATCCCTCGTGCCTTTTGTACACATACATGTACACCCAAAGTCTTTGAAATCTGAGGAGGCGGACTGTGTATTGATCTTGAATTGGATGTTGTGCAGGGCTTATTATCGTACAATGTGCACTCCAGTGCCCATCCCGGAGTATTGAAACATGAGGTTTTGGCAAGAAATATCATACAAATACTGTTGAAATAACTCTTGCTAATCAGTGTTTGTGGCGTTTGGCTGTATCTGAAGTTGGCTGGAAAATTTTGGCTTTTGCGAAATCGAAATTTTCGGCAAAACTAAACCCGGCGCAAAGTGGTTAACAATAAAACCATTAAAAAAAGAAAGTTGGCGGGGATGAGAAACTGGTTTGTTATTTTACTTGGCCCAATCTTTAACCTTTCACCTTTGACCTCTGGACAGGTCAGGAAAGATTCGGCAACATGACGCGGGTGTATTACAAGGAGGCGGTCGGCGCGTTCATCGTCTTTGACGTGACGAGAGTCTCGACGTTCGAGGCCGTCGCGAAATGGAAACACGACCTTGACAGCAAAGTGCAGCTCGCCAACGGCAACAATATACCAGTAGTGCTACTAGCCAATAAGGTAAGACAACAACTTCGAATAAGCAGACAATATTTCTAATGGGTTACTCACTAAAAGTACTTCTCCAAGTAAGGTACGGTACATTAGTCCAAGTGTGAGCCAGAGCCGTGCTCTCTTTAATAGGCATGGGAGGGATTACATCAGCCGGTGAAAACATCCATTCATTTGCACACAAATTTTCACCGGTTGCCACATGTATGTGTTACCATTGAGCACTCCAGACTCCGTTTTCATTACAAACAAGCAGTAACAGCACAAACTGCTACTGCTTGTTTTTCATTGCCCGCATGATTCAGCTCCTGAATACAACATAGACCTATTAACTCCATACAATCCATCCAGGCGATTGAGATCTTCTGATGCTTCTTTGCTGGTTGTCCCTCGCACTCACAAATCTTGGGGTGATCGATCATTTTCTCACACAGGTCCTCATCTTTGGAACAAACTACCCCTCGCCATTCGCAATATCTCATCGCTTTCTGAATTTAAAGTGGCCCTGAAGACCTATTTGTTTCAGACCACTCAGAATATTCTTGTTTAGTTAAATTTAATTGTTTTGTTATTTCTGATTTGATCTAATTTTTGTATTGCACCATGAGCGTCATTTATGGCGGATACCGGTGCGTTATAAATTGCCGTTATTATTATTATTGAGTTTCAAGAAAATGCGTCTGGAAGCTAGATGAGTCAATATACATTCATGGATGTCCACGTCTGCCTATTCAGACTTTTGATGTTCGGTTTAGGATGAAGTAGCAGTAATTTCAAAGTTTCGGGAAAGTTTTTGGGAATAGAAGAGCTTCTCAAGACATCACATGAAGGGCCACGTGCATGAACAGTACATCACGGTTTTTACAATGTATTTTTTTCTGACCCCTGAACTTTGACCTGACCGCCGTCCTTTGAACTCTCACCTTTGACCTACAGTGTGACCAAGCCAAGGAAGGGTTAGTCAACAACAGTGCCCAGATGGACGAGTACTGCAAAGACAAAGGCTTCATCGGTTGGTACGAGACCTCGGCCAAAGAGAACATCAACATCGACGAGAGTGCCAGATTCCTTGTCACCTCGGTAGGACTTATTTCCATCTAAAGTCCTTTTTTTTTCCTTTTACGAAATACCTTAATAGGATGTTGGTAAATGACAGTCTAAAGCATCCTGTAAAGTTATGGCACCTGGTGTGAAGTCATTTTCAAGAAAATGATATTTTTGTAAAACTTTCCAGCGGTGGTCGGCCGACCACCGTTGGAAAAACCTAACTATTTTTCAACTACTGCTCCAAATTAACCATTAATTCAGTCCAAATTGTGTTTGCTATTGGTTACATGTTCGTTCGTGGGTGCAAGCCAGCTAGACTGGTATCCTTACCCTTACAATTTTCCGGCATCTGTAAATTGATCCATTTTATATTTAGAGGAGTCAGGGAACCAGACTTCTTGAACAGTTTTGTTTTTCTTGGTTTTTCCAGCATTTTCGAACACAAAACTTCAAACATGTCAGTGTAACAATATTTGATCTATTATACTAACCCCTGAAATAGTTCATTTCTGAAAATTACAGCAAAAGCCAATGATGTATATTCCCTTTAACACTCCCAAATTTTAGAGCCCCGAATCAATTGAAAAAGGTCACTTCATGCATGCTCTAGGCAAGAGCGGATTCGAGGGGGGATAGTGGGGGTGGCCAACCGGCCAGCCCTCTAAAAAAAAAAAAGCGTTTATGTAACAGATTTAAACAAATTCCTGAATGTCCTTCAGTTCCCTGAATAACGTCATCACTCAATATCGTAAATCGTATTTCATCGCTTCAGGCCTTGGTCTTTTTATTCATTGATTTCAAGGCCTCCCACGCCCCCCCCCCCAAAAAAAGGATAAAATAAAATAAATACATAATTATATAAATACTGGACTTCTACACTCCGCCACCTTCCTTTAGACAATCCTGGATCCGCCACTGCTAGGGTAGTGCTTTAGATAGATCTAGACACATGTAAAATTTAAAATTATTCAGGAAGTGATAGGTAAAGAACTGGCTATATTCTGCCTCTCTATGGCCAAATCTCTTGAATTATTCATCATAGCCTATTTAGTATTGCAGGACTCAATTGTACAAATGAGGAATTCCATGCCAGCCAACTAAAATACCGTCATAGTAGCCTACTTTGACATTTTCTGGTTTGTGTTTTCTGATCAATCTCAGATCCTAGCAAACGACAAATCAATCAGCCACGATGACAGAGATGGTGACGCTGACAAGTTGACGTTAGATCCAACCCAGGAAGGAGGAAATGAAGGCAAAGGGTCATGTTGCTGACGGCCACGCCTCCTTTGCCACGCCCTCCTTAAGCTCCTCCCACCGCCCTCCCCCCTTCAGGTGCCTCCATTATCCCCACCCACCATCAGGTACCAATCACCCTTAGCCCCACCCACTTCCCACAGAGGCACTCACATCATGCAGGAATGTAAGCAATTTTTACTGAAGGTCATTTGTCAAAGTTGTAGCCACACCCCCTTTGCTAAGCCCCTCCTTAAGCCCCTCCACTATCAGGTACCAGTCACTATTAGCCCCGCCCACTTCCCTCAGAGGCACTCACAAAATGCAGGATTTTAAACTTGTTTGATATGAAGGCACTTTGTTAAAGTGATGGCCCCGCCCCCTTTACCAAGCCCCTCCTTAAGCCCTTCCCATTATCTGGTGGCAATCACCCCTAGCCCCTCCCACTTCCCACAGAGGCACTCACAAAATGCAGGAATGTAAGCAGTTTTTACTGAAGGTCATATTTCAAAGTTGTTGCCACACCCCCTTTGCTAAGCCCCTCCTTAAGCCCTCCACTATCATGTACCAATCACCATTAGCCCCGCCCACTTCCCTCAGAGGCACTCACAAAATGCAGGATTTTAAACTGTTTTGATATGAAGGCACTTTGTTAAAGTGATGGCCCCGCCCCCTTTGCCAAGCCCCTCCTTAAGCCCCTCCCATTATCTGGTGGCAATCACCCCTAGCCCCTCCCACTTCCCACAGAGGAGACACAAAATGCAGGACTGTAAAGATTTCATGCTGAAAGTCACTGTGCCAAAGTTACAAAACCCCTGCATGTGGCGCTCCTCCCAAAAGCTATGCAAATTAGATGATTTACATAAATGTGTTATGTATGCACGGTCTTTCATACATGTATGAGTTTGCATACAGCATGCCTCTAGTATCCTGAAATCTGTGGTATTTTACTGCGATATAATTATTCACCTAGCGTAAGTTAGTTGTTTTTAACTTTTAAATGTGTTGTACCCGACCGGTAGGACAAAAATCAAAAGCTTCAAACTTTCAAAAGGCATCTGTTATTAAAATGAAAAGATCCTTGTTTACGATTGAAAGGAAAATTGGCAAAAACTACAGCAACTTTGTAGAAACACACTGTCTTTTTTTATCTCTCTATATTGTAATTGACTTGGGTGTGTGTTTTTACAGGTGTTAGTACACAAACAGTTGAACAAACTAGATTCTTTAGAAAAACAAGCCAGATTTAGCTGTTGAAGGTGTAGCTTTATGGGCAAAGTTAGTTTGCATAGTGAATTTTGTTTTATGAAATATCCATAATTTCCATTTTTTTGTTTGTAAAAAAAACAAACAAAAAATCACATTATTTGTAAAATGGGAGTCATTCTCCAAAAATAGCCAAGGCATGTATGATATAAACAAAAAAAATAACTAAAATATGTAAATGCAATTCTATGGACTGAAGAATTAAAGTAATATACAAGTAATGTTTTATTTTGGTAAGCACATGTACATGAATCATGTAAATATTTGTTTTGCATGAATGTATCAAGCAAGTGAATGAAATTCAAATTTTGTTACGTGTGCGTCATGTTTTGCATGCCATAATGTAAATTCCCATTCACTCTTAATAAGTTAAGAAAAATAGCTTGCTGTTGCTGTATTGTACAGATTGTCCCACAAAAAGAAAAACAGTCAAATCGGGCATGATTTCAGAAAAGTGGGGGTTGTATTCAAAATCGTGTCTAATGTATTGCCGAGTAGAATATCTGGTTTTGCAAATGCTTTTTAGTTGGTTTCATTAGGATGTTTTGTTCAAAAGATACAGCAATCACAATAAGGACTTGGAAAACTTGGGCCACTTTGTTTATTTATATCTCCTGGTCTTCCAAAAAAAACTCTTTGTGCAAATGGTAACGTAATAAGCTGCACTAACACTTTTGACCCATCCTTTGTGTGTTTCTCTAACTGCGCTTTCTCATTTTCAAGGAAAGTGGCCCAAGACGATTTTCAACCCCTGAGTTCGATGAAGCATTGCGTTTCTTTCCAATGCATCGATTTGAATGAAATAAAATTTGTATGGTAGATTGGTTTAAGAGGTAATTTAAAAATATACCAAAACTCACATGCAGTACACCTTTATTAAATTGGTTTTCGACTGTTAAGTTCTTTGTGGGACAAGCTGTATGCACTGCATATTTTGGCAGCCATATTGGGAGGCCCAAAATGTGACTCACGATGGCTTCACTTTGTGCATGGCTTTGGGCACTTGCACTATGTTGTTAATACTTGTATACGCAAATCACTGGGAATGCGGACTTTCTACATGGTGCTTAAATTTTGCTTCCGCTTTGCATTTTGTCAATGTTAAATGTTGTGGAGTTCTTTGACGATTTGTAAAAATATCCTTGTCAATTATACTAAAGATTAAGATGACTATTTTGTTTTTTTAATATACAATATTTCCATTATTAGGAGTGCATGAAATGTGGAGCAAAATCCACAGAATTTACAACTTATTATGTATAATTCTTAGTGATATTTTCAGTGTATGAAGGAGTTGGATGGCAAACAAACTGGTCAATTTTATGACAAAAAAAATCATCTGCTTACTCCCCCCCCCCCCCACCCCCCAAATTAACATTTTTAATAACTTGGTTTGGACTTTTGAAATATAAACCATATATCTTATATAAGTTAAAGAAAAAACAAATGCATTTTAAAAGGCATAAGTAAACTGGGTGAAAAACAATTAATACTAATCCATAATTGAATATGCCTCCTGGGATAGGAAGAGCCAAAGCTATGACTGCCAGTGACCAATCAGAATGGACTCTTTAATAATGACATCCAATCGCATGAGTCCTACTTTGTCTGCTCTTCTAATCCCAGGGTGGTTGAATGTTGTTTGTCATCCATAGCCTTAAAATTTTTAACACGAAATAATTGCATGAAAATCTGGGAGCAGGACTTTGAAAGTGGGGCAGTATGTTTATCACATTTATCTGATTTTTAAGTTTAAAGGGAATCGAACCTCCGACCTAAATTTAATCTCTGCTCTTCAACTGTGTTCCTGGTTCATTAACAACTCTACAGCATTGTGGTTTTACAATTTAAAAGTGTTAAAATTTGATGTCATTTTGTATTGTGAATATCATTTGTAATAGATTATTTTGATAAATCTCAAAGATGTATAATTTTTTTCATTTTGGCTGTAAACTTATATTTATGTTTATCTTCATAATCAAGAAATTTGTTTGAAAAACATCTCGCAATGAAAAAACATGATAAATTTTGTTAATATTTCCAAATCCAAACGGGCCAGGAGAAAAGACATTTTGTCAAGAGATCTCTTGATTGAGGTTTATTTATTGTCCAATCATGTGACATTTCAGAAGTGTTTGAGATTTCAAAGGCATGTTTAAAAAAAAAAGAATATGGAAATGATCTTAGAATTCAGACTTGAAGTATTCAAAAATTAATTTAGTCTTTCAATAGTGGATTACAATCGGATATTGATTTTCGTTCATGCGTAAATTTCTTTGAGGGAATATGGTTGTTTGTGAAGATGATCTTTTGTAGAAACAATTTCAAAACACAAACATGTTTAATATTTTTCATCATTTTAGATTTTTTTGTGACAACCCCCCCCCCCCCGAAAAAAAACACGACCAACACTACATTCCCATAATTACCAGTGAAACCCAATGCAAAATCAAATTTAAAAATGTATTTTTCAAAATCTTTATTAATAGTTGCTAATGACGACACTAAACTGTAAAATAATCATGGTCAATAAAAGGGAAACTAATTAAAATAAGACAATATGGTTTTATTTGCATTTCGACTTTTAACACTTTAACAAACAATAAAACGTACGTTACTTTTACTTAAAAGAGACTATACAGGAGGTTATCTTGTCTTGATTTTAAACTCTGCTAAAGAATTCATTTAAATTGTTGGGCCCAGATTATATTCATAACGAAAAAAAAAATTTCTTGGCACTAATACAAGGTAATGTTTTTACAAAGTGTGGTATGGGCCACAAGTCGGCCATATTGAATTGAAAGTGAGGTAAAATCTTACTTTTGGAACTTGCGAAGAGAAATGAAAGCAAGTTGGTTCCTAATTAATTCCAGTCTGCTTTAATGAAAATTTCAAATTTGAAATTGAAAATTCCCTAATGTTTAAAACCAGATAAAAAAATAAGGCTGTATTGTGCCTGCATAAATAGTCTGGCGCCATCCCATTGAACAGTTAACACTTAATGACATACGTTCAGGGAACTTGACAAAAATGGCCAACTCATGAATAAGGCCCATAGCCATACTTTTTAATGCAAAAACAATTGAAAAAGGGATACGCCAAGTCTGGTTTCCTATTACCCTCAATGATATGGGGCTCTCTCAACCCATCCTACCTCAGGGTACCAGAAAGTCAGCATCACCACTGTAGTGGGCAAAGATTGTATAGGGCACTGCACTACAAAGTAGTAGGCAAGGCTTCAAAGCTGTGGTGGATGGCAAAAACTCTGAGAAAAGCGTGGAGCCAACACCCAGTGCTGGGTCTGCACGATGGTGACAATTGTCCAACTTTCACTCGGGAGGTAACACAGTGAGTATACAGTGTTTATGCTTCGGTGAAGGGCAAAACCTAATATTGATTTACATCACCCCGAAACAAATTCATAATAGTTTAATTGCGGTACCCGCTGCTACATGTACATCAGATTTGAACCAGCCAACTGATCACGCAAGCTTGGTGGTGGAGTGGTGAGACGTCTTGACTAGAAAGCAGCAGGTCGTGGGTTCGAGTCCCACCCGAGTGTTTTTTCCAACTTTCACTTGGGAGGTAATGCACTGACTATACAGTGTTTATACGTCGGTGAAGGGCAAAACCTAATATTGATTTACGACGATGACAACTGCACAAGGCACAGGTAGTGACCATAACGCCATTTGATAAAAAACTTGCGGTTATTTTAAATGAAAATAAGCCCTTCTCTCTAGTTTACAATGCAGGACACGGCTGCTAACCACCTTGTGTACTGTAATAGTGGCCGACCAGGGGGAAACCGGAGGGTCACGTGATATTTTGACATAATAGGACCAGAACCTATGAACAATCCCACCATTTGGAATAATGAAAAGACTAGGAAAACATTAATTACAAAATAAATATACACCTAACTTGCACACTTCTTTTGTAAAAACATTTTTGCAAGCTTTTACTCCTCAAACTGAACGAAACGACTTTAAACTTGGTCTTTAAATTATCGGCTTTCATTTTCATGTTTAGATCTGATAGACTCACTAAAATCGGTGGCCTGAAATAACCCGGGGCTTGAAGCCAAAAGCTGATATCGAAGCCGCTGTTTCAAAAATGGCCTGATCAACCTCATATTAGCCTGAGATTGGTTAAGTGGGCGGGGCTAATGAGGAGGGAGGGGGGAGGGCAGATTAAAAGGGGATAACGTCTTCATGTGTCTCCTCAATATGAGCAACACAGCTGTGCAAAATAATAATTTACACAATTTCTGGTCGTGCACTGGCCCCAGAGTCTCGAGTCACCCCCCCCCAAAAAAAAATTCTTGCTCCGCCCTTTCAGAGGGAGGCAAACTAAAGTCATCCTCTGATAATGAGGAAAAGTTTTATCAAATGCCTCTTGATAAGAAGAGACATTTCAACTACGGTGCTCCAAGTGCTATTTTCTGACTACGTTGTGTTTCGGCCGGTCGAATTTCGTCATTGGGGCGCCCCCTACGCCGCACGTTCCGACGCCGACTTTACCCGACGTGCTCTCGGGAGACGCGAAGATGCTCTTCTTTGTCATTCCTTTCTTGCTCTTGATAGCCTAAATGGAAAATGTTAAGACAAGATAAAGTCTTCTGTTTTGTAAATATGTTAATCAGGAATGTTTTAATATTCTAGAAAATCGGAAACAAATTGGAAAATCAAAGACTGACAATTTCACTTGTGACAAATTTAACTTGGCACTAGCATCAGCAGAACTTCGCTTAGCAAATTTATGAGATGGGCAAAAATTAACCTTGGACCGGTCACAAGTAATATACATTGAATGAGATTTTAGCAGGTAACCTGTTTTTGTTAAGCTAATATTTTCTATGCTTATCTTATTTCTTAATAAATTTTACGTGCTTAGAGAAAATTCGGCTGTGAACCAGATATGATACCAAACTGAAATCATGGTTTGAAGAATGGCAACAAACTCCAGACTAACTGGCATGGTTTGGCCTCTCGGGGGCTCACTCACCTTACTGCTGAAGTTGAGCCAGCTGTTTTTCTGCTCCTCGTGTTTCTGTTCCATCTGTTTGAGTCGGTCCATTTTCTTCTGCGTCTTCCGCTTCTTGTACTCTCTCTGTTTTGCTAAAAGCTCTTTCCTGTAAAGATTGCAAACAAAATCACAAATCAACAGCCAACCTCAGCCCAAATATTTGTTATATCAAGTTTTGTATTGTCTCGTTCAAATGACGTCATTTCCTACAGACCTTCTACGTGCATCAGCATTTAGAGCATCAACTTCCATAACGTGCATCGGCTACGTCGTATTTCGAACACATTTCGAGCACAAGTGCACATGCTCAGAACATTTTCCAAACTGCGCAATGCATGATTGGTTGTGTAAAATACGCAGTTGCAGTTCTCCTACAGAGATGGCCGTCATTGAGCGAGCCTAAGGTTGCAGACCAGTAAATAAACTTCCATAGACCCCAATGGTAAATGCTCCTACTTCAGAAATTCGGGAAAAATACTCACAACTCTCCAAGGTGTTCGAGACACACATCAAATTAAAGCTTATTTCATCATCTTTCATTTTCTTTTCAATTTTCGGGGGGTCAACTGATGACTTTTAGGAGAAATTTCCATCCGAAGATGATCACCCCTGAAAATAGTCCTGAAGCCCATCGCCATTTTGAAAAACGATGCCTACACTCCATCGCAAAATAGAGCGCTTTTAGGGTCCAAATTACATCCAAATTACACAGAACTGCAAGCTCCCAGTCCTGTGCACGGCTTCCACCCATATTTTTTACAAACCCTCAAGTTCATGGCCCACAGCATGCTCAAATACTGAAGATTTTGAGGGCATGCAAATCGTGATTTGGCCGGCGTAGGCAATTTCGGACCGATTTACTGGTCTGCACCCTTAAGAGGAGTGCTGGTCCCATTCATTGTGCACATAAAGCAGTGTCAGGACCAAGGCTTTGTTTACTTAACCAGAATTTGTCTTAACAGCTTTTGTATTAACAAGAGTCCACTGTATATAACCACCACATAACTATATCATTATTATTATTATAAAATGTCGGGTTTTTTTTAGAGTTTAATCTCATCTCCCCTGACTGACTTACTTTGACAATGGTTTACTGTTGAGGTCAGCCTCATCACCCGTCCGTTTGCTTCCTCTGGCCTGCTCGCTGGGTTTTAACTTAGATATCTGTCAGGGGAAAAAAAGACGCAAACATTTAACAGTTGATTCAATAATAAAATAATCTTACAGTCAATATTACAAAACTGGACAAAACTCAACCACAGGAATACAAATTACGATCTTCTTTTAGTCCTCACTTCTCCACTGTTTTTTATTTATTTCACACATCTCGCTGACTAACTGACCGACTGAATCACTGTCACTTATGAGTCGGGCAGTGCTATCAGGTAGGATTACCCAGTAACGCCAATTCTGGGCTTGCCTGGTACATGTACATGGTCTTGTTTCTACAAATCCCTGTTAATTTCATACCAGATCGAATGGCACAAATCAGGGACGGCCAACTCACCTGTACAATTTCTGTGTTTTCGTACCCGTCAAACGTGACTGTCACGGTACCGTCCGCATGAACTTCGTCTATTGTGCCTTCGTAATACCTGGGGAAAAAATCATTTATAATCAGGTTACGAGTAATAGGAGATGGACAATGACAAAGGAATATCTTTGTCATAGTTAATTTGAACAGCTTGCAACTTGACTGCAGATCTACGATGATTTGTGATGGACTTGTGATTAACTTGTAATGGGCTTGTTATTGACTTTTGATTACTTGTGACTGACCTCTTGTGATGGACTTGTGATTGATTGTGATGACATGTTATTGACTTGTGATGTACTTGTGATGGACTTATGATTGACCTGTGACTGACTTGATTTGTGATGGACTTGTGATTAACTTGTGATGGGCTTGTTATTGACCTTTGATTACTTGTGACTGACCTCTTGTGATGGATTTGTGATTGATTTTGATGACATGTGATTGAATTGTGACTACTTATGATTAACTTGTGATGGACGTGTGCTTGACTTGTGATGAGACGTGTGAATTTGTGATGGACGTGTGATTGACTTGTGATTAACTTGTGATGGACTTGTTATGGACTTTGGACAACTTGTGATGGACTTGTGATATACCTCTTGTAATGGATTTGTGATTTTTATTGTGATGGCATGTGATTGACTTGTGATGTACTTGTGATGTACTTGTGATGGACTTGTGATGACTTGTCGACTTGTGATGACTTGTGATGGACTTGTGATTGATTTTGATGACGTGATTGACTTGTGATGGACTTGTGATGGACATGCAATTGACTTGTGATGGACTTGGGGTGAACATGTGATTGACTTGTGTTTGACTTGTGTATGACTTGTGATTGATTTGTGATTGATTGTGATGACGTGATTGCCTTGTCATGTACTTGTGATAGACTCATTTTAGACTTGTGATTGATTGTGATTGACTTGTGATGGACTTATGATTCACTTGTGATTTTCTTGTGATGACTTGTGATTTTGTGAGTGATTCGATACTACTGTCCTGCCGGATACTTACAGTCCATCTTGGCTGTATATTGCCTGGCAGGGATCTCCTACATCCCATGATGCTACGGTAGTTTCTGCTGTCTCTGACTCGGCCTCTACTGTCTCGCCCTTGGATCCAGGGCCTGCCTGGATTAGATCTTGTGTGAGTTCTATGACATCCTGCAAATAAGAGAACAAAAATGTGCATTCTGAGCCTTGTTATTACTTGGGTCTTGGCCGAGTGACCCATTGGTTTGTTAAGAGTATGCCCAGGGGAGAGGAAGGAAATTTTGACCAACTGTGTGACCTTTAAAGCAGCAGGAGAATTAATTTATTTGAAATTTATACCAAACTAGTTAAGTTAAGGTAACAAACATTAGGAACAAACAGGTAGGACCTATCTCATAGAAAGAGGACAGGGTGTTGAATTGTTTAGGGAAAATTACCTGTAAATCTGCCTTGAGCTTGAGGAGTTCTTCATTCTCGGAGTCGTTTGTTAAGGCTGCTTCCACCTGAAATGAATATGTTGAGCAAAAGGAAAGAATGTTACAACCTGACACTACTTTTTTTCTTCATATATTCTAACAAAATTTGATTTTATTATGGTCCCAATTGCACCTTTAAACTAAATAGAGAGCGCTTGGCCACAGTAATCCATAGCAGTCATGTATTACATCTGTTCTCAAGTCAGATTAATGCCACAAAACTATTTCAGAGCTTACTTTGTTCAACTTAAGTCTTAACCTACTTTAACCACAATAGAATAGTATTTGGGTTGCAGTCAAACCACAGATGGAGCTCTCGTGGTAGTCTTTATTGTTTACTCTCACAATACTGGGATATAAGTTCCTTGGCTCCCATACCTCTGCACTTAGTGTTTATGCAAGTATCTCCCAGTACGAAAGACACACTGCATTAGTATGCCTAATCTTGAAATTCTTATGCATATTTTTACCCAGCACTATAAAACCCCTTTGAAAGCCCAATAGGGCGTGGACTTGCGACTGGGGCATGGTGGTGGATGGTGGTGTGCATTTTAGTTCCTTATTTTCTAAGTTCCTATACATGTATGGCTGAAGGTGGAAGCCTAGTTTAATTTGGCCTTCGTTTTTGTGCAAGACGCTGTGTTCTTTAATTTGCATCACCACCACCACCATTACACCAAAGGGTTCAGTGGTCTGCATAGTCTTGTGAGTATGTTCCAATATTATCCCCCCTTGCACCCAGTAGTTTTTACATGGCCTAGTTGTAGACTACGGTGTTGCATCGTAGTGGTGCCAATCTGAACTCTACTCTGTCAGTAACTAGTCATTTAAATTCTATCATTCATATTTACATGCTCTCCCCTGGTTAATTATTTTGTAAGCGAAGAAGCGCTAATTAAATTTTCATTATTTCTATTTTCTGATATTGCATATATATAGTCGGACTCCCTATTATCGCGGCATCCCTATTATCGCGGCATGGGAAATTTCTCTTTTTACAGAGTCAAAACTCCTTCAAGTGGCGATTTTTATCCAGTTCACCAGTCATCAAGGATTTTCTACCAAGTTGTATAAAAAGGACGATTAAAAAATGTTGTGTCTTTCGGGACTTTTAACGATTTTAATAAATATTAACGTTTTCCAAAACTTGCAAAATTTTCCCTCACCGTGTCTGCTAAAAGGTACCGTTTATATTTTAACAGAAATCTTTAATTGCGCTCTGTCCATGAAAGTTCCATTGTCTGGTTCCCATTCTTCAGCTGCAAATGTAAAATGAAGTCGAACGACGATATTTGCAGCGCGAAATCGTAACAACTTTTACGGGATCAAAATAAGCACCGCGCGTTAGCGAAAATAAACGGCACACAGTGTAAAGTGAATGGCGCCCTCAATCGCCGATCAGTAGACTTGCCTCAGGGATTTGTGTTCTCCTTTCGGGGGAAGGGCAGGGTCTTAAGAAATCATCCTGCAGACATTTTGTCTTTAATCAACTTGAACGTTACAGGGAAAATATCAGACTTTATTCAGGGGGTGTTTTGGTCAAACATAAACTATGAACAAAAAAGTTGGGATCATTATAAAAACCACTTCCCGCATACCGCGATAATAGGGAGTCCACCTCCGTTCGCACACGCCGCGCATGTCTATTTTCACAGGCATCGTACACGGAATAAACCACACCACCCGTCAGATTTTGTTATATTAATTTAAAAAGGAAGAGTTATACTACACATAAGACAGGACAATTCTGGAAGGTTAGTGGGCAATCTCTATTCCGAACGAGAAACGTGATAAGTACCGCGATAATACGGCGTTCCATCCTACTTGTCCCTTTGTCGGTTATTTTGTGATCAACATCCATGTATTTTTGATTAATTAGTTAATCCCCCCAACTGACGGTTGGCCTCTTTGGGTCGCCGTTACATCTGGAAAGAATGTTGCAACCTGACGCTACTTCAGTAGTTGTGTACAAAGTCTATGGAGAGGCAAGACTTTTTAAAAGTATTTCCTAACAAAATTGGAAATGTTTCTCAGTCCCAGATTCATGTCTTATCATCATTTTTGCAATTACCGACCTTCATTGAGATGATATATGAAGAAAAACGCAGTGGCTATTGTTACGGCAGCCGTAACGCATTTCCCATTTTCTATCGTTACGGTAGACTGCAACCTGGCAACTTTTATAAAAAAACATGACAAGAAAATATAAAATTAGAACGAAAAAAGTGAATTTGAACTTTATGAAATTCGGACTTTATTTCCCTTTTAAAAAAAATCCTCCAAAGCCTCAGGTTAGAAAAGGAAAAAAATTCGAGTGCAAAACCGAGATTCGAACCCGCAACCTCGCGGTGCAAAATCCTACCCTCCATCGGCTGAGCTGGCGCACTGCTCGATAAAACGAGTGGAAACAAATAATTATATACCTGCGTGCGTATCAAAAAAATATCGTAGAGGGCACTAAACAACGAGTGCCGTAACGATAGCCACTTCGGAAGAAAAAAGCGGTGTCAGGTTGCAACATTCTTTCCAAAATGTTGATAAGACATGACTCTGTCTCTGGGACTGAGAAATATTTCCAATTTTGTTAGGAAAACGTTTTTGACTCTCCATAGACTTTGTACACAACCGCTGAGCATGCTGAGTGAAGACTTGAATTGAAGTGGCGTGGTGGTGAATCAGTCACTTCAGTGGCGTCAGGATTAGTACGTTCTTTCCAAAAATAATCATTATCGAAGAAAATCATTTAGTTACACGCATAATATTAACCTGCCAACAATCTTCATATCTTCTGTACCTAATGTGTAAATACATAATAAAAAATTGGCAATTCACCTGTTGAAGTTGGGCCCGGTAAGTGGAAAGATTCGTTGCCCAGTCCTCATTGACTTCAGCCATTTTTGTTGTTTTCTAATCATGAATGGCGCCCTCTAGCACAGGAAAAGGGTTTCCTTTGTGGAGGTTTTGAAACCAAGGTTTTTTTTGCAACTGAGGCTTCAAGAGCGTGAATTTCAGCCCAAACTTCGGGGATTCGGCTCAATATGAGGCGATGTTCACATACCAATTCCTTGTATACTAGGCAATGTTTAGAGTCGGTCCACTATTTTTTTAAAAGTAATTAGGGACCTAGATATTAACCCAGAGTCAAAGTGGATTTGAGGGCGCGGTTTGAAAACGTCACAACATTCTCCACTTACTTTGAATAAAAAAAGGTACTTAAATTTTCACTTCAGGGCTATTTTAGATGAAATGAAAAACCATGATTTTAAAAAGTTGGTTAACAATCAAATAAAGGAAATCAAAGGACGACAAAATTCATTCTGACATTAGACAAGATTTATTATATTCAAAAACAAAAGTTTATGCTTTTCATTAACTGCCCATGAACAAGTTGAAAAAAACCCAACAAAGCTGTTCCATTAAGCATGATTTTTTCACAAATAAAACATCCTAAAAATTGGAAGAACTTCCCCATGTTTTTCAGAGAAGATCCCCATAAAAATAATCAATTTAAATTTAAGAGGGGCGATTCCAAATTCAGTTGTGATTATGATATTTAATTTTTAAAGATTTTCCCATTTAGTTCTGATAAACATGTACTACCGAATAGGTAACACATTCACAATTCAGTCAGCAAGTTTAAACCTAATTGCACAGTGACTAAGAATTTTGATGTAAGAATCATTCAGATATTATTTCTTTCTTACGTCGTTGAGAACTTTTGAGAGTGAACCCCATGAATTTGTTGAAGGTGAAATATAACTTTTAACTCTTAATACACTGATAGACGCAAAAAATCAGGTTTTTCTCAATCAAGCTATGTTGCAAATGTCTTCACAAATTATTTTCCTGTGGATATAGGAGGGAATGGCTTAAATAAAATCTCATTTTTGATCCAATCTACCAAATTAAATAAAAAGGGAATAATATTATGAGCTTTTAAACACGTATGTTAAAAGCAGCTTATTGGTCAGTCCTGGACGCCAATGATGGTTCTGAGCCCGCGAAGGCGAGCAGTTATTATCCCTGTCCAGGCCCCTAGCCTTGTTTAAAGGGAATATACATCATTTGCTTTTGCTGTAATTTTCAGAAATGGATGGAATTGGGGGTTGGAAATATATAGCAAATATAGTTACACTGACTTTTTTGAGGTTTTGGGTTTGAAAATGCTATATAAAACCAAGAAAAACAATCATTTTCCTGTAGTCTGGCTCCCTGACTCCATATAAGAAGAAACAGAGCAGTTTACATACATTGGGAAATTGTAAGGTCAGGGAACCAGTCTAGCTGGCTTGTACCCGTTCATAGGTGTGTAATCGATTGCAAACAAGTGCGATGGTCAATTGGGGCCAGTATTTGAAAAAAAAGCCAGTTTTTTCCAACGCTGATCGGCCGATCAGCGTTGGAAATTGATTCAAAAATACCACTTTTCTTGAAAATGACAGTATACCAGGTGCCATGATTTTACAGGATGCTTTACACTGTCATTCACTAACAGTCCAGCAAGGTATTTCAAAATGATTTGGTAGTTTAATTTTTTAATGTTTGCAAATGTTGTATTTTCCCTTTAATACTGGCCAAGCACATATATATATTCCCATTCATAAATACCTCTCGGTCAAAAAGTCAAAACAAGTCCAAAATTCACAGATTTCCAACAATTTTGTTCAACAATTTTACTTCTTTTTTTGTGAAAAACACCCTGGGGCCATATATATGGCATGTGCCTCGCTCACGTAGTGTGGTAAAAATTTCCTTATTTGGAAACTGGCGCACGCGTGGCACGTACTGCGCGATGTGGCGCAAAATGCAGCAGTGTCTTATCGGCAGTTTGAAACCACTCACGTGATGGGCTCTCGACCAATAGGAATGGGTAAAATGTCTCAGGTATTTATGAATAAAAGATAAAATTTTATTTACTATTCAAAAAAGGAGCAAATATGGAGTGAATTTAATGAATGGATGCTGAAATGCCAAAATGGTTATACACTGAAGAGGCAAAAATAACAGCTTGTTAATATGCTATAAACATGAACTCTAAATGTCTTCAATCTTTTTGTCAGAAATGTGCATACCCCTTCATTTGTGAAATTCTACAAACCTTTGTCTGAATTACACACGTTTTGTCCCAAACAATGAAATTTCAGGCATTTTTTTTGGTTCATTGTCTATGTCAGTTGCAATAACACAATACAAATTATTTGACATATTTATACATTATGCTTATAATTGTGAAATTATGTACAGAATAAGGATTTAAACATTACGGCTAAATTAAATAATCTAAAGTAGTCAGCTGTAACATTAACTGGAAATTTTGAAGTTTTTCTGAGGTCTGCCTCTTTCTGTTCATGAACTTTTCAGGGGGTTCCCATAAAATACAGAAATAGTAGCGAAAACGTAGACAAATTGCAATGCTTTTTAATGAGAGAGCTTTTACATTATCCACGAAGGAGTAGTCTTGTCCCCAATTACCATCTTTATCTTAATGCTTTACTTCACCCACAGTAACTTGAGATATCAATTGTGATTCAAGATCACAGGCACCAGACTATTTTCAATACCAAACTAACATTTGTATGCAAATTGGACACATATTTTATGACCGTATTTGGACATGGCCAGCTGAAGGGTAGTCTTGTCTCCAATGGCCCTTTTTATTTTAATGCTTCCTTTTACCAATGCCAAAGATAACAACATATCACTGGCACCAGACTATTTTCCATTACCATACATAAATTGTATGCAAATTTGACATCAATTTTATGACCATATTTGGATATGGCCAGCTGAAAAGGTAAAGTCTTGCTTCCAATGGCCATCTTTATTTTAATGCTTCCTTAACCAATGGCAAAGGTAAACAACATGTCACTGGCACCAGACTATTTGTCATTACCATACATATTAATTGTATGCAAATTTGACATTACTTTTATGACCACATTTAGACAAGACGGCATTTTTTTCATCCTCAAATAATAATCCGTGTAGATTAAACCAAAAGGCTTCCACTTCTGGCCTTCAATTGTCCGTACTAAAGTTCATAATTTCATTCCTTGGTTACTTGCTTTTATCAATACAATATATCTGCAGTTAGCACTGTACATACGACGTGATACAGAATACACGAACAGATGTTTTATGTACAAAATAAGCAGTGGCGTTGCTAGGTTACATTTTTCAGCTGAAGACAAAATTGTGCCAATTACAGTGGAATTCTATGCACTTTCATTTTTTTTGAAAATATACAAGTATACAAATTGTAAATCGTCCAATTGTAATTGTTTTTTTACTTTTACTAACTTAAACCCTTCAAAAGTTACTTATCTTAAAGTTTGGTTACCTAGCAACGCCACTGGGTTACAACTGATGTTACCATAGCAACCACTTAACCTGCATGCAGTGTTTGCCAAATTCACTTGGGCCAAATACCAAGCAACCAATTTCATCAGAGCTGTGAACACCAAAAAGCATTGCTTGACAATTTGATTTGGAAATATTGGTAAGCAGACTTGGCTGTTCAGCAAAATTAACCAATGAAGGAATGTCAATCACAAGATGTTTAAGTTGGTGTTAGAATTTTGCTATCCAATTTTGCTTTGTGCTGAGCACATTTTGATAACAGCTCTATGAAGTATAAAGTGTCGGTGGCAGGTTCTGGATCTGTTAAGCATGTTAAGCAGAAAAAATAGTGTTTAGCAAGTTCATGTGCTAAGCGTAAATTAGCCGAGTACCAGTTACAAGCAGTTCACATTGCATGCCATTTTGGTTGGTAACCTGTATTCCTGCTAAGCAAATATTTACCTTGCTTAGCAAACTCCTGTGTTAAGCTTTTCCCTTAAATGGCCCAAATGGGAAAGTGACCCAATTTGGAAAATGGCCCAAATGGGAAAATGGCCCAAATTCGAAAATTAGCCAATGGGAAATGGTCCAAGCTGGAGTAATGTCCCAATTGAGAAATCACATATACATCGGCTGTTGCTGTTGTTGCTGCTGCTGCTGCTGCATCGGTTGTTGGAGTTGCTGCGGGTGCGTGCCCATTGGTGGCTGCTGCCCAACTGGTGCCCCGCTATAGTTCTGTGCCATGATGGGCGGTCCCTGCACGCCGGATGGGACGCTGCCTTGGGCGCTGTAGGACGTGGAGGTGTTGACGCTCATCTGGTGCATGGAATTCTGGGGAGGGGCCTGGTAGTGGGTCATGTTGTTGTGGGCCATGGGGCCGGGCTGGGTCTGGTACTGCTGCGCTGTGCCAGGACTGTTTCAAACAGGAAAAACAATTAATCATATGATCCTTTTCCCAGGATGCATTGCAACTGGAAAGCTGCTGCTAACATTGTATGCAGTGTTCGTGATATAATTTTCCGCATAATTCTGTGGACTTTATTCTGTGGGTATTATTTTCTGCAGTGGGGTGCTGTGGTCCAATGGTTACGGTGTTTGACTCGTCCGCCGTGGTACATGGGTTCGAATCCTGACCGTGGGAACATGGTGCTTGTGCTCTTGAGCAAGGCACTTTACCATTATTGCTTCGTCCTTCGGATGGGACTTAAAGCCGTAGGTCCCGTGTGTTGAGTAATGCACGTTAAAGAACCCAGTAACACTTATCGCTAAGAGAAGGGGTTTGCCCCAGTGTTTCTGGCAGTGGCTGCAATATGCGCCGCAGCACCTTGTAAACCCTTATAAGGTGCTACATAATGGGTCTCATATTTCTCATAAACTTTATTTACCTTTCTTTAATAATAGACATATCTCCAGCGCCTTGAGTACCTAATTGTTGGTAGATACATGCGCTATATAAGACTCCGATATTATTATTATTATTATAATTCTGTGGATTTAAACATTGGAACAAGTAAACTGTAAAAAAAAAAGTTTTACTTTGACTTACTGTGAGTACATTGCCTGTCCGGGCTGCGCCATCGTCATGGGGTGGTTGCCTTGCGTCATCATCCCGCTAGCCATCTGCCCCTGCGGCATGGCCATCTCACCCCCCTGCTGCATAATGGGCTGACCCATCTGGCCTTGCACCCCAGGGGGACCGTACATGCCCTGCGGGGGAGCGCCGTACTGCGAGGGAAATACCATGAGAATTATATTTTGATCTTAAACACGGCTCGGAAGAAAACAATTAGTTGTATTAGACGGTGGATTCCTAGGTATGTAACCATACCCTACTCACGCAACTCAGGTTCTTGAAGCAAAGTCCATTCTACTCAATGGTACCTCCCGATATCCCATAATACCCTGCCCGGCCACGCCCTAATACTCCCTAACCACACTCTACTGATACAACACAGAGTCAAAAGCCACACCCAATCTGCAAATGTTATAAGTTTCTCCCTGTATCCTGGCATGTTCCACTTTACCACGCCCTACTACCAAACCAAACCGCACCCACTTTCAACTAAGGCCAAGTTCGGGCAAGGACCATTAGTCGACTAGTGGTTGATTTGTGACGTACCTTACGCCTGCGCACTAATAGCAACGTGCGAACGTCTCTAGTCAAACGCTGGTCAAAATGTCATCGCAAAACTTCTGGATCCTGGCTCTCTGCTAGCGCTATGAATGCGCGCGGCTATTGTTTACCAGCGAAGCAACCAACCCCAGTAGGCTGGTTCCAAATAGTCGACTAGCGTAGTCAACCACTGTCGACTAGACAGAGTTCGGGCAAACGTTAGTTAACCATTGGTCAACTATAGTCCTTGCGCGAACTTGGCCATATTTTCATATAGCCACACCCACTCTACTACTCACCGGTACCTCCCCGAATCCCGGCATGCCCGGCCCGGCCACGCCCGGTTGGTACTGCCCAGCCACGCCCTGTTGTGGCATGTTCATGGTCTTCAGCGAGTAGCCGTACACCGGTGCTTCCTTCATGAGCTTGTGGTACATGGAGAACGCATCAATGAGCTTTGCGTTGAGGGCGGTCAAGTCCATGTGCTCTCGGTCGACTGCTTCAAGTTCCTGGTTGATCAGGGGGTTCATTCTCTTACACGTGTCTGTAACGAAAAACAGGTCTAACCCTCAAAAAGCCATTTGTTTCCCCATCTCTTGGTAGAGCAAGGATCCTCTGTCCACCATGGTCCTCCCATTGCACTCCTTTCTGATCTCAGACATGCAGGACCGATTTTCTATGAATTTTGGTAGGTTTGCAGACTTTCATGGTCACTCAGTATTCAAACGTTTAGCTCAATCAAACATGTTGTTTACAAACATAGGTTGTTTGAGAATTATGGTCATTCATTCTATGCTTAAGTCCGTAAAAGAGTGTGTTGCTTTTGATCAAGATTTTTCTGTACCCCGGGTCAAAAATGTGACATATCTTGATGAAATTGTCGTCAAAATATCAATGAGACACCAGTGTAGAAACCATAGAGGCCCAGCACAAAACAATCACAAGGCAATGATATCAGAAGTAATGTGCTTTTGGGGAAAATTGCATGTCGTAAGGCTTGTCAGTAGGTGGCGCTATACCCAATTGCAAGATAATAGTGTTCACTGATCACTAGTTCATCACACCCCTCCTTTTCCTTAAGCCCCGCCTACCTTCTAACACCAGCATCTCCTGTGTATCCGGCCTTGCCTCGGTAGGGTCAGCATTCTGCATCATCTCTAGACAGCTGTCCATCTGTCCCTCGTCGATTTCAACCACCTCGGGAGCCATGGACTCGATCGTCCTGACCTCGACCTCCTCGTCGAATGAAACCTTCTTCTCTCTTTCCCTAATATCTGCAATAAATTTAACAGAGAAAAATTACTCAGGCAGGATTCGAACCTTTGACAAGAAAAAAATTGCAATTTTTGCTCAGGCGCAGCCATTTTGAATTCAGGTGCGTGTTTGTAGAACACAATGAAAGTAGATGGACTGAATTTTAAAAGTGTACTCTAAATGCAACGCGCAAGTAGAACATACTTTAACAACTTAAACACATCATGACGGCTCAAAGAACGCCACGGCAAAAAGCATCTGTAGCGGATGCACCAGGCGTCGTTGCGCTATTTGCGCAGAGCAAAATGAAATGCTCATTTGCTGATCGCGCGTTTCGGTTTTGGATGTATCAACTTCGGTAATGCACCTGTATAGAATACAAACGCAGATATGCAAATAGCCATACAAAAGCTGTACAAAATTTCGAGTTTTTTCATAGGTTTGTGCACAAATATGGATGCGGCCAGCAGGCATCACTTTGTACACGAGTCAGCGCTCTAGTAATTTAATATAGCTCTATGATCAGGTGTAAAAGTCTGTGGGACCATGCTGCACTGAGCCATCAACACCAGTGCATAAACGGCCAAATCTGAAACAATGAGAGCTAGTCCCATTGAACAATGCCACAGTTGTATCCTGCTGCATTCAGTGACCACAGACTCTGATGGATCTCACTACACTGAGCAGGCGTGTCATTTTGACAAGTGTTGCATGTTGCTGCATTTAGCACGGCATCTAGCCAAAACACCCTTTCGCATCTATGAGATATTTTTTTCAACAATTCTGTAATTTTCTGTGCACTGCATTTTCAGTGCTGTCGGGAAAACTTGCGAGATATGCGGGAACCAAGTTTAATTTAAAAATATCTACCTACCAGCATCAGTCTCTGCGGTAAGATCGGCAGTTACAAAGTTTGACGGGAACAACCCGGTCCCCCGGGAATTCTCCCCCTTCCACCAGTTAGTGTCACTAAATACACAAGAAGGAATCAATACAAATAAAACCATATTATAATTAATTTCAAAAGCCAGTTCGTTATTTCAACTGCGCATGCACACAATGATGTGGGTCACATGTCATTCGGGATAATCGAACGCGCATAGAATGCGCATGAACACGCATGGAGACGGGCGCAAGACGCTTGCGTGTTAATTATGAGCAGAACGGGCATTAGTGTGACATCGCGTAACATCGCGTAACATCACGTCAGCAATTTTATCCCGAATGACCTTTGACTTAGACTAATACAGAACCGGCTTATTGAATGTGGTTTCAAGAGTGTAAAATGACATAAGAGATTTAAAGCTATAGTCCATCATTTGCAGCCATCCGAAAAGTAACTGGCGTAATTATTGTTGAAAAACAAACTTGGTTGAAAGATAGTAAGGGAACTAAACTCCCTATGAAATTATTCTTTCTGGGAAGCTGTCATTTTGAAGTAATCGACGAAAGAAGGCCTTTCCAACGGTGCGTCTTAAGACGCACCGTAGGAAAATTTAAATTAGTAGTTCATTTTGTTATTCAGCGAAGCGCGCGCAAGCATAGACACAACGCACACGCGCACGCGGTTGCTATAATTCGTTGGATCAGTGCGCGACGTCGCGTATAGCTGCAATTCAAAACAATTCAAAACATGATTCAGTAACTTTTGATTTGAAATTGAGATCCTAGAATGCTGTTTTTCTCGGAATATACAGCTGAAGCTTAGCTGAAACTTCATCAGGTTAGTTGTTCAGTATCCTTCATTAGATTTTGAACACCTTTGTTGCTTCAAACAAACAAAATGCACAAATTACAAATGTCATGAAGCATGCACAAATTTCTAACATAGATATCTTCATGATAACATTTTCAATGAGACAATATTCAACCGTACCTATCATCTAAGACACTGATTATTTCCCCGGCCTTGAACGTCAGTTCGTTGTCTTCTGCCGCCTCAAAGTCGTAAAGTGCTTTGACCTTTCGGGGCTCCCGCCTCGTCGTGGCCGCGGACACAGAGGGCGTCATACTGGCGTAGAGACCGGCGGAGGGATACAGGCTGCTGGTTTTGGCTTTGTCCTGTTGCAACGAGAGTTGGATCGCTAGGTAAAGAGGAATATAGACAAAAATTATTTTTTTAAAAATTAAGAATCGATTTGCACAATTTTTTTGAAAATTAACACCTCTCACAGCTCAAAATTTCACTGTCAAGCAAATTTTAGCGGAGTACCAGTCAAATGTTGGCTGGTAACCTGAAATTTGTCAAACAAACATTTTCTGTGCTGAATTTCTGTCCTTAGCAGTACTTTGAAATTGGCCAGAGGTTATGCGTGTCCACTGACACATTTTTTTAATACTGCCCATATTAAAACCCATTCAGGAAGAAGAAAAGTCGACAAAGATTAACCCTAACTCCCTAGGCCTTTTTGCTAGGATGTAGCCTCAATCCTGCAAAATCCTCCAATTGGCCTCATGGAAAAATAGCATATAGCCTCAATCCTGCAAATTCCTCCGCTATTTCTTGAATATGGTCCATGGAGGGGTGACCACTGCCTGAATCCTGCAAAATCCTCCAGCTATGACTAGAGGCAGTGACATCCTGGAGCAGTGCGGAGGATTTCAAGTATAATCAAGGGCTACATTTATGCACGGCTGAGCATAAACAAAACAAGGTCTGGCCCAAGACCTTGACACAGTGCGTACTTCGAAATCAGCAACCCACTTTTGCCATGTAACCTCAATCCTGCAAATTCCTCCAATTTGCAAAAAGGATTTTGGAGGATTCAGGGCGGTTAGGGTTAAGTTACCTTTTGCAATGTCGTCCTCCTCTTGTCTGGAGGATGCTGCTGGGGCAGGAGTAGTGACTGGGGCCGGTTTGGTGGACTGAACAGAAGATGAAGCAAGGACAAGTTATCAACAAATCTAGCACATTCACACTGACAAAGGTCAGAGATGAAACTGGCCTTGGCAAAACAAATCTGAAATTGGACATTTGGCCCGAGCTGCCACAGCGTCACGCACGCAGTGCAGCGCATTGTGGGACCCAGTGAATTTGTCCAAGTCATACGTCAGTATTTAACCTTTTCTCCAGCCGGAAAAGGATCTGATCAGTGTTGGTCTAGGTGTTTCTACTGTACAATCACTCCATTCCCGACTGGTAAGAGATTAAAACTACTACACTTGTGAAAGTGCCGTTTTCATCGACTTTTCATGGACTTTTTTTGGAAATTATAATGACAAAAAAAAAAAATTGGTGGAAAAATTGTTAGACAATCATTTTTGTGGGATCGTTAAAAAATCTGAAATGTCATTGGAAAAGTAAGAAAAATCTTAGTTCAGATTAAAACCTGAAAACTTTCATCTCTAAAAGGTAATGTACACCATTTCCAAAAAGAAAAGAGAAAAAAATGTTTTTGTTGACCCCAGGGACAACAATAGCATAAATCTGAAGTATGTAATCAAAAAAATACTTTTTGAGAAAACTTTGAAAATGCAGCTTCAGTTTTTCTTGACGCAAACTTTGCTCAGGTTTTTGTTGAAAGCCCAATGGTTCGGTCCTAATCATCATGAGGAAATTATGGTATTTCATCTTTTCAGATACTCTTTGATTTTTTTTACCTGTGAAGTTTTCTGACTCGTTGCAGGAAAGTCGTACCCTTCTGCTTTTAAGCTGTCGTAAAGTTGAACCATCAAACTGCAGAGAAAGAAAACGAAAATTTACAAGGATTCAAAAAGAGTACAATTCATCGATTCAATCCAACAGTGTGCAACAAGACGACTAAAAAATTATTCCATTTTGTTGGGTTTCCAAAAACCTGACCAGTAAATGTATAATAAACAATTGCTGGCTGGATTCGTTGAGAACATTTCATGTTTTTCCCTTGTTACATTGACGAGTTGTTTCTTACTTGAGTTGTGGGTCGTTCTTGAATTCCTCCGCCCATTCCTTGATTTGCCCTCTTATCTTCTCCGACACTTTGCCACTACCCTGATTGCACAAGGCAAAGAAATATTATTATTCAAATATTAATTTCTCTAAACTGTTAAACTACATCCTATGCAGTCCAATTCTTGTCTGAATCGCAGAAACTCTCAGGCGATGCAAAAAGTTACATTACTGTGACCTAAAACTTGCACAAGTTTTCTTGTCGATTTTTTTCATTATTTAGCCCTCCTTTGCAAACATACATTCTGTGCCAAGTAGACCTTGCAGTCAAAAACCATCAAGTGACTGTTTTCAACAGTTAAGAGCTCCCAGCTTACATAAAGCAGGATTGACTGGCTGGGACTGTTTATGTACCTTGGTATAGCTATGCTTTAACTGTAGGTGATTGAGAAGCCAGCAGTGTCTACCACTTGCCTTTTTTTTGTCGGTTTTGACTGAATTTGACTAGTCACAGTGCTTGCTTGAAATATGATTGACTGTTGGTGACTAGCCTGTGTAAAAGTCATGGCAGGGTAAGAGGACTGATCTTTTTGACTGTCTGTGACTGCTTAGATAGCCGGAGGGTTAGATCTATTTCAGTCACCTGTTACGAATGACAAAGTCAGTCAAACTTCCTTACAAGACTTTACCCTAGATATCTATTTTTAAGACCTTGTTACATTACTCTCTCGGTTATACAGGTAGGCTGAAAGATTTGCACATATCAGACGACAATTTGCCCTGTTTGCATTTGGGATTGCATTTTGATAGGTGTTGATAGGTGTTGATCAGTGTGTGGACAGCGCCCACACTAGTCCACGCACAGACCCGATACAACTGCCTGCCATCCTTACCTTGCTGACGATGTTCCTGGCTTCCGACATGAAATCTCTGCTGCAGAGCTCCAAGTGGAACGTCTTGCCGCAGTTACTGACACATGCCCCCAGGAGCTACGACAGAAAAACACAGGATCAATTAAACATGGTTTACTAAAACAAATGTAGAGTATATCATTTGCAGCTATCCAAAAAGCAACTGACAAAATTACTGTAGGGCATTGCTTGGTTTAAAGATAGTAATGGTACTAAACTCCCTGTGCAATTATTCTTTTTGGCAGGCTGTCATTTTGGAGAAAACAATAAAGACACTTTGTACATTAACAAATTTGGGACATCAATTCAAAATAAAAGTGGTTCGGCAATACAAACCTATAGATCCATTAAAACCAATCAAAACCAATTGTTAGATGTTGGCTGATTTAGGACTTACCGTTAGTGCCTGGAGGCAAACCTGTGAAACTGGGTTTCGTACTCTTTTCATGATGGACTTCAGGACGTCTTTGGCACTACAGAAGGGGGAAAAAAACAGACGTTAAAAATTGCACACGCATATAGATACAATGTAACTCTTTCATTTGAAACAATGAAGGTTCAACAGTGTAATTTTTTTGGATTTAACCAGTTCGCGTTTGATGATGATGTGTTAACATGATCTTGCTGTTTTTATGCAGAGACAGGGCTGACGGGTTAAAACGCCAAGCGTGCCTCGACTCGCCTCCGGGTGATGTCTAAACAAACTGATCCCCCATTTGTTTTGTACACACTCAAAGTCCGAGAAGTCTGTGGAGGGGGACTGTGTGTTGAACTTGAACAAGGCCGTGTTGTGGTGCAATTTACTCTCCGTGGGCACACCCTGAGTGGTGAAAAATGCGAGGTTACGGTAAGAAATGTCGTACAAATACTGTTGGAATGACTCTTGCGAATCAGTATTTGTGGCGTTTGGCTGTACATTGTATATCAAAAGTTGTCTGCTATATTCTGTCTTTTTCAAACATTGAAATTTTCGGCAAATATAATCCCGTTGCCAAGTGGTTTGCAGGAGATGAAATGTTAAGTCTTACGCCTGTGGTTGGCCAGAGACTCTGTCGCAGATGTCCATAATGAGCCCCCAGTCTTCGCCCTTGTTGGACTCACTTGTGGCTTTTTCTGTTGAAAAAGAAAAGAAAAAAGTTGAGCACAGAAATGGACTGGAGCCGGATTTGAACCTGCGACCTCCGGATTGCAATTCCGGTGCTCTACCGACTTCCAGCCCTGTTCTGGCAGCTTCCATTTTAGTCAATTTGTCTTTATTCGAAGGCATGAAAAATTGGGTTGTTTGGTGCTTAAAGGGAATATTCACCATTTGCAAACATCAAAAAACAAAACTACAACATGATCACAAAATACCATACTGTTTAATGACAGTTTAAAGCATCCTGTAAAATCATGGCACCTGCTGACAATTTCAAGAAAAGTGGTATTTTTGTATCAATTTCCAACGCTGGTCAGCCGACCAGTGTTTGAAAAAAATGGCTGTTTTTAAATACTGCTCCCAATTTATCATATTTAGTTAGTACACATTTTGTTTGCAGTCGAAACACACCATCATTGAATGAACGGGTACAAGCCAGCTAGACTGATCCCCTGACCTTATAATAGCCTGACGTCTATAAATTGCTCTGTTTCATCTTAAGTGGGGTCAGGGAAACAGACTGTTTTTCTTGGTTTTTCCAGCCTCTACAAAACAGGGAGGTCCTTGAGCGAGCAGATCTGCCCTCTATGGAAGATCTCCTTATAAGAAAGAACCTCTGAAAATTATACAGCAAAAGCAAATATGTTGTGTATATTCCCTTTAATAAAACATGTAAAAAGAACTACATGTAGGACATTTTTACTGCATGTTTAATAATAATTTCAAATATCAAAGTAGACATGAATGCAAAATATTGTGTAATACGCATTATGTTAAATGATCAAGTGCCTAGGCCTACCAATTTTCACATGACTTTGGCAGTGTGTGATTACACTGTGAGTCACCTCCCCAAATCTTCAGTATGTAACACAATGTACATGATGTACATTGTACTTTGTACCAGCATTGTCAGAAGTAAAAACTGTACGTGACAATCAGATCATAACAATTTTCATCAAAATTATAAAATCAACTTCTGACAAATTTCTAAGCAAGCAAAAGTCTTGGAAATATTCAAAGAACCAAAATTCTCCATCATGATACGACAGAAAATTATAATTTTTATAAAAAAAGTTCATTTCAGTTGAATGACATGAATGAATGCTTGAACTTATTTAACTAAACTGCCCATCATGCCACTTGCCAGTATTGGAGTAATTCCTTTTCTTTAATTTTATTCAAAAAGATGCTGTAATGATGACAAGGAAACTCTAGGCACACAGGTAAGATATCCCTCCATTTTGGTCTGGTTTGTGTAAAATATGTGACCAAAAAAATCACATTATTTTGTGAGACCACGATGACTATACAACTTACAAGTTACATCAACAGCCATGACAGCAACTCGCACACCGCAGAACAACTTTTCCCCTTTATAATTCACATTTCTACTTATCAAAATACTTCCAAATATTGCGTACACTTTGTTGGGGGTTTGCAGTCCCTTACCAACTTACCAACATCTTGATCAAAAGGTGAGGAACCTCCGAAAAGCGGCATTTTTTGACGAGAAAAAAAATCAGAACTGCCGATCGAAGAACTGCTTCCGTAGATTACTAGGTCACGTAAAACCCTTGTGCGCATGACAAGTCATCCTCTTTTAACCCATGACGTCATTGTAAACATTAAAAAACAAAAAACAAAATGAGTAATTTTAGGCTTAATTTTATATTATTCGGAAAATGCTATTTTAAAAAGTAGCTTGCTCATCGATGACAATTCATCACAAGCTCCAAAAGACAGGTGTATTTCTGTTGTATCGTGCATAAAATGAATTGAAATAAATTGCATAACAAAGCTAGTTATTTAAATAAAAATGGCGGACGAAAGCCACGCACGGTCAAGAAGCTTCGGTAGGAAACCTTTCTATTTCTCAGTTTGACGATAATTTTGTAGATTCTACGTTTTGGGACCTTAACATTGAGGAATAGTACATGTTTGATTGACCTCTCAAAAGCGTTGAATTTGAAGGGAACTGGCATGGCAGCATTTTCACAAAATGTTTGCGAATTTTTTTAGCTGCATGCATATCGCGTAGAAGTTGTATGAAGTTTCGAAAGAATCAATAGAGGGCGCCCTAATTCGAAAAGATTGGGCTAAATTAAATATGATTAAATCTGTGGAAACTCTTTAGATTGTTGGTAAATGGAGGCTTGATGGTTCAGTATCACATCATCTATAATCAGATCATGATCTGCATGAAATTGAATGTGCAAATATAATAAAAAGGCATTGCCTTGGATATTTTGCCGTGACGGACAATAGGCCTACTAGTAGTACTAGGCCTACTACTAACTAGTAAATTACTAGGTTCTCCTAATGTTATTTTGCCATGAGTGTGCTGTGATTGACTGTTTCAATATGAAAGTTATTTTAATTTGTTGGAAAAGAAAATTACGTCATGCTATTGTTATTATTTAGGCCTAATCAATGTTAACGATACATGTAATAAAGCATTAAAAAAAAAAAACAGCTGTTATCGAGGTGCCAGTGGATAGTGAGATTAGCTATGGATCGAAAGATCCCTGGCTCGAATCCACCAGTGTCCATTTTTCATCTACTATTTTTCTTCTCCAAATCCAACTTTATAGTTAGGATAGCTTTAATTTAAAGAGAAAAGAAAAGTTCCAATGAAACTGTACTGACATGGTTTCTCAGAGCGCTGCCATGGCAAATTAGCGTTAGTGTTAGGAAGTGTATTGCTGGTCACGGCAAAAAAATCACTGTTAATTCGGCAATTAAAAATAAAAATATTTTTTAACTGTGAGTGCCCGTGATTGATGTTTTCATCCAAAAAAATAATGAAATTAGGCGTACTGTAGGATCCCAAGTTCAGAAAGTGCTGCAAAAGCTAGTAAAACATAGAAACGTACTTGATGAATAGAAACTCATTAGACATGTTAGAACGAATTAAGAGAGCTACTTTTGAGCAACTATTAAATTATATTATTAAATTAATTATAAGTTCTTTTAAGTGATTGACAAACATGACTAATCTGTAAGGTACTGTAAGAAGTTCTTAATGATTTTGGGTTTTTTTCCCCTCTACTACAGTCTGGCAAAATGACGAGACATATTTACGGAATGTGGAGAGGGAGGTCTTGATACCCAAGAAGATGAGGGACAAAGCGAAGGTCCAATGTGCCCAGTATGTCGATGGTATGTGTTCTGGAAATCACCTTCAATCATTGGCTTTAAAGTTTAACTTGTACTACATTGTATTACATTGTGTTTATTCACTGAAGAATCAATAAAATCATAGAGTGCTCAGACAGGTTCAGGCGCTAGGCAGGGTGATTTTGGGCACTGCAGTGACTACATGTAAAGGGTTACATTTATCAACGTTTCAGTTGACTTTCCCTTCTACCAAAGAAAGATAATATTTTTAGGAAGAGTGGCTTTAACTAAAGGGGGAGGGGGGAATGGGAGGTCTCCCCCCTGCTCAAGGCATATGGGATGCCTGCTCCCCCCCCCCCCCCCCCTCCTGTCATCCCCTGTTGTTGCCCTGCCCACCCACCCACGCAGAATTTGGGAAAGATAAAAAAATTAGCCATTTATTGCACTAATTATTTTGTCATGTTGTTCCATTTATGGAAACACCAGGCTTTTCCTTTCTTCTCGCGTATTTTAACCCTAACTCCCTAGGCATTTCTGCTAGGATGCAACCTCAATCCTGCAAAATCCTCCAACTGCCTCCATGTGAAAATAACATACAGCATCAATGCTCCAAAATTATCCATTATATCTTGAATGTGGTCCTTGGATGGGATGACCACTGCCTCGATCCTGCAAAATCCCCCAGGAATCACTTGTCATTTTTTTGTGTTTTGTATGTCGAAGCAGAGCCAGTGACATCCTGGAGCAGTGCAGGGATTTCAAGTAGATAGTCTTGCCTGAATTTATGCACGGCTGAGCATAAACAACACAAGGTCCAGCCCAAGACCTTGACACAGTGCATCCTCCAAAATCAGCCACACATTTGTGCCATATAGCCTCAATCCTGCAAAATCCTCCATGTTGCAAAGAGGATTTGGGAGATTTTGGATGGTTAGGGTTAATTGATGGAGGAAATCGTCTTTGTAGCCTTCAGCTGAAGGAGAAATCTTTGGGGTGTTTTTCATATAAGATTAACTGTTGGTATTACAGAATGAATCAGACAACTGATTGGATATTTTATGGTTTGTATTATTATTTTTCAGCGTTTACCAAATGCTGCCAGGATAGTGGTCTTGCAATGGCAATCAAATGCAGAAAAGAGAACAGTGAATTGAAGGAATGCGTCACAAAATAGTGAGTACAAACTTTTATGATTAACCCTAACCCTGCCAGATGCACAATGCAACAAGTGTAAAAGTCTTTGGGACCTTTGGGCCATCAACGGCCATGCATAAACTGCCACTTCTTAACCAGTTCGCGCCGGAGGCCGTGATAACGCGCACTAGCTGTTTTTGTGCACAGGCAAAGCTGACAGGTAAAGACGTCAAGATTGCCTCGACTCGCCTCCGGGTGACGTCTAAACACGCTAATCCCTCGTGCCATTTGTACACACACACACACACACAGTCGTGTTTTACTATACTCTCGAGGACAATGCTTTGTCTTTTCCTTCGTCCCTGTAATGTAACACTCTCCCATAGACTAAGCACACAAACGCACGACCAAGGACCGATTTCAACAAAAGATGAACTCTCGAGGACAACAAAGAATCTGTTGTTCTCCTTTTGTCTGTCTGTCCTTGGGGTGTGTATAGTTCACGTACACAAAGTTCAAGTAGTCTGTGGAGGCAGACAGTGTGTACGTGTTCTACATAACACCCGAGGACAGACACACAAAGGGAGAACAACAGATCCTTTCAGTCCTCGGGAGTTGGGTCTTTTGTTCAAAACGGTCCTCTGTAGTAGGTTCGTGTGCTTAGTCTATGGGAGAGTGTTATAACTTATATTACAGGGACAAAGGGAAACATAAAGCATTGTCCTCGGGGGTATAGTAAAACAAGAGTGTGTGCTGACCGTTGTGTGGGTCGTTGTGCACGGCCTAATGTTGTACAATTTACGCTCCAGTGCACACCCCGGAGTATTGAAACATTAAGTTTCGGCAAGAAATATCGTACAAATACTGTTGAAATCACTCTTGCGAATCAGTATTTGTGGCGTTTGGCTGCATATCAGAAGTTAGCTGGGAAATTGTGCTTTTTAAAAATTTCGAAATTTTCAGCAAAAATAAACCCGGTGCGAAGTGGTTAAAGTAATTAAGGCCATAAAAAAAAAATTACTGGCTATGACTGGTAGTTACACATGCGCCTATGGAAGCCGCTAAAGCCACTTCCCATAGAGTGTTACTTTTCAACCATAGCCAAGTAATCAGATGCAGCCTTATCAGATCAAAGTTGTAATTGAATCCAATCACAAGAAATCATTTAGCCTGTTCACAAGTATCAGGGGACAAACGACAATGTAAAGCCTGCGACACAGTTCATTTCTCACATGGCTTGTGATCGCGTGACTGGTTATTGACAGTTGTTGTCTATGCTTCTTTCTCTGTGCAGCTACAAGGACCCAGAGTTTTTCGAGATGTGCAAGCAAGAGTATCTTGCAGAAAGAGCGGAATTTAGAGCCACGGGCATCACAAAGAAAAAGAAGAAGCTCCTAGAGCAGCAACAACAGGCAGAACAAGACCAGCAACAGCCAACATAGTCTTCATAGTTTCCCCGCAACCAATGCCCAACAGAACTTTTAAGGATTACAAATAAACAGCGTTTGACAAATTTCATGTGCCTGCTTTATGGATAAGTGGCCCCTTCCTACTGTGCATGGACAAAGTGGATCACAACTTGCACTGTGTACATTTGTACATCGACACCAAAGGTGGGCAGGGTTTCTGGCCAAATTTGGAATGCTGCATTGATATCTTTGAGAGGACAATCAAGATGGTTGTAAAGAGGCCAGGTTGTACAAGTGCCTCCACTTAAGTTTAATACAGCAAGGGGGTTCGAATCCACGTGTTGTAAACTAACAAGGGATTCCTGAAGGCTAAAGTAACGGTTGTTGGTTTGAATAAGTCTGCCTTTTAGCAGTCATTTGTCATTGCGCCTTTGATTTGATACTCTCAACTTCCATGTGATTTGAATCCTGTGGATGTACGAGTTGAAGAGATTGGGCCAATAACCCTAACTCCCCAGGCAATTTTGCTAGGATGCAACCTAAATCCTCCAGCTGCCTCCATGTAAAAATAGCATACAGCCTCAATCTTCCAAAATCATCCATTATTTCTTGAATGTGGTCCTTCAAGGGGTGACCACTGCCTCAATCCTCCGGCAAGTACTGTCAGTATGTTGAGGCAGAGCCAGTGACATCCTGGAGCAGTGCGGAGGATTTCAAGTATAATCTAGGCCAGAATGTATACACGGCTGAGCATAAGCAACACAAGCTTCAGCCCACTACCTTGACACAGTGCATTCTCCAAAGCCAGCCACACATTTTTGCCATATAGCCTCAATCCTGCAAAATCCTCCATTTTGAAAAGAGGATTTTGGAGGATTTGAGAAGGTTAGGGTTAACAGCTTTTGGCAGCTGTTTATTAAAGTTATCTGCAGAATAACAAATTTTAATTCGTATTCTGCTTTCATGACTCAGTTTAAATTTTAAGCTGGTAAGCTAGAAAGACATTGTATGTCATTGAAAATTTTAGCTATCAAAGAAAGATGAACAAAAACCCATGAATTTTTCATAAAGTTGTTTTTGAGCACATTGGTGCCCTTTGGCAGATTTTTTTTTTATAGCCCGTCCCAAACCTTAAAATGATTGCATATTTGTAAAAGTGGGGGGGGGGGGGGGGGGGGGGGGAACACTACACTGTTTTAGTGAGAAGTCTTGATAAACGATTGAATTTATTACCATACATGAACCTGTACTGTATGTATAAACTAAAACAGGAAGAAAACCACAATCATTGTTTCATTTCAATGTATTTTTTTAATCAAATAAAACAATAATTCCAAAAATGGGACAGTGAACAAAGATTGCCTTCATTTATTTTCTTTCCCTGCTCTGATAAAATATTTTTATTTTTTTTTAACTTATGATTTATTAAATAAATCTAAAATTAGCACACATTAACACACCCATGTTTACGTTACAAACGTAGTGTGGACATTCATTGTTTTCGTGTAAAGAAAAACCTGTCCAAAAAACAACTTTCACTCGCACTGTGAAAACTCTTTCAACCCAATTTTTTTCTATGATTTCCTTTAGTGTTTCTCTTCATTTTGCCACAAATAAACCTAACCCAAAAATGCCTCTAAACCTGTTTTCCAGAGAGGAGGAAACACTGTGTGGCAGGGGTGTGAAATCTCAGCTTTAAAGCTGATTTCAGCTTCTTTTTTTTCATTTTGGATTTCAGCTTTTTTTTTCAGCTTTTTCCCTCACTTGCTGTGCACAAAAGTATAGGAGATTTCCAAAGTTCAGCTTTTTTACACCTTTTTCAGCTGTTTTCAGCTATTTTTATCAGTGGTCACTCACAGTCACACCCCTGGTGTGGACGTGGGCAAGTCCACACAACGTCGCTGCTACCTGGTTTATGTGGACCTCTTTTGTTCGGAAGCCCACACAGTGAATATAATGCTTGTACACCAGACTGTTACCTACATTTAATTCACATCCTGTTTTATTTGGGGGTTGTAAAGGTGTTTAAAGCCCGAGTCCATCATTTGCAGCTATCCAAAAAAGTAACCGGCGTAATTATTGTTGAAAAACATACTGGTTGAAAGACAGTAAGGGGACTAAACTCCCTGTGAAATTATCCTTTCTGGCAAGCTCTCATTTTGAAGAAATCAACGAAAGAAGGCATTTCCAACGGTGCTTCTTAAGAAGGAAAATTTAAATTAGTAGTTCGTTTTGTTATTCGGCGCAGCGCGCACAAGCATTGGAACAACGCACAGGCACGCGCGGTTGCTATAATTCATTGGATCAGTGCGCAACATGATGCATCGCGTAAAGCTGCAATTCAAAACAATTCGAAACATGATTTAGCAACTTTTGATTTGAAATTGAGATCCTAGAATGCTGTTTTTCTCGGAATATAAAGCTGAAGCTGAGCTGAAACTTCATCAAGTAAGTTGTTCAGTATCCTTCATTAGATTTTGAACACTTTTGTTGCTTCAAACGAACAAAATGCACTAATTACAAATGACGGACTATAGCTTTAAATTAAAACAAAATACTTTAAATACCTCTTCAACATGAACATGAACAAAAATCTAACATCCGCACTACATTTTGTAGCAAGAGGTAGGGCATGGGTTCGAATCTAACCCGGGCATTCTGCAATTTGTGTTGCCAGACGTTGCTGTACATAACGTATAACACCTTTGTACAGTAAACGGTAACAATGCCGTCACATTTAGGATTTCACTAATCATAACATTACTAAATCAACAATCGGTGACTTTCAACAATCAGCGTTGCTTCTATTGGTCCTACAATGGAAATTATGAAGCACAAATAAACTACCTTTTTTGAATAGGATATCAGGTTTAAATACCAAACAAATAAGTACAGATATTCAAAAGAGTCCTTGCATAGGGAAGTCCACAACCTGAACTGGAGGTAATGTCGTCAAATTTGAATTTCATGGATGTTGCAATAATAAATTATCATAGAAAAGTAAATAATACAAAGACAATCAATTGACTATCATGTTGCATAACTATTCAAGTAAACATAAAAGATCTTTGTCGATCATGTTCGCATAAAAAAGTTGCCATTTAAAAATCAATGCAGCATACTTTCAACATTTTTTGTTCTCAAACAGTTCAAGAACAAGAACAAGTAACAAAGCACCTTACAACTTCACTCTTCATTTTTTTCAACTTCAAAGGCACATAATATTTACCAAATTCAGTCCAATATGAATGTGCAATACATGTATCAAAACTGACATACTGCAAGCTAAAATAGTCCAATGAATTTGTCGGGTGCACCACAAAGTGACGCATCGTCTATGGACTTTGGGCATACGATACGTCACTTCGTGGTGCGACTGATGAACTACTGTAAAACTGGCCTTAAATTAAATAAACGGAGTTAAGTGTGTCACTACAATCACAATCTTAATTTTGCATAGACATCAATTGTTTTTCTACATTTAATAATTTTTGATATAACGTTAACACATTCATGCATATTATTTTTCTCAACGGAAAAAAATTAATAACACTGTACACTGAAAAAAATTAATACATTGTACATTTTACTGGCACTTCATTCATTTGGTTTCTGACCACACACAGCCTTAACTGGAATTTTGACATGTCCAAATTTTAAAAAATAAATAAGTGTAAAAGATATTGTAAAAGTTAATGTATAAGTGGTCCCTCAAAGACATCAGAGAACAGGTCAAGCACACACTATTATTATCCCAGTGTTCATAAAGGGAAACAAAATCGATAAAATATCTTCAAATTCATACCCTGCACTTCATAATCAATAAATTGATAAACAAATACCATTCACCACTGGTATTAGAAACAGCACCACAAGAATTAAACTTGTTTGATAAAAAGGCAGAAACACTTCTGCAAAAATTTCACGAACATCTCAACATCTACCAATGGAAAAATTACCGAGGCACAAAGTTTCCAAAAACACAATCATCTTTCTCAGCAAGATTAACAAAGAGCCTCCTTGCAACTGTGCGTCAGCAAAAGCTTTTTGATTTTTCAATCCTGCCCTACAGACTTTCCACGTAAAAAGGACTGTCTGCATAAAAAAAATATTAATTTCTCTTGCGATAACATAATATCCCCCCCCCCCCCTAACAACGACACACAAATAATTGTCAAGATGACATATTCCTCAGCGACTCAATCCCTTTTAAACCCGAAACTTTTTGACTCCTCATTCACAATCACACCGATATCAGTAAAGAGAAGTCTTCATTCTTTGGTGTTTTTTTTTCATGTTTTTTTTGGTTCAAAACATTTGTCAACTTTTCTAAACAGCAATGCTCTCAGAACAGGAAGTTGGTTTGATGAATGTTAAGGCACAACACACGGCAGCAGTGTATTTTAAGTCATCCTCACAAATCTTAACAGATCAATCACTGTAGATTGATCACAAGTCAATCACAGAACCATTCGATCGCAATTCAATCACAGGCCTTTTGGTTGCCAGTTAAGTCAAAACCTATCCAAATGACCTGCAACAAAGGCTTACCTTTGTCAATGAGCATCTCTAGCTACTTATTATCAGACTTGTAATCTGACTTGTGATATGACTTGTGACCTGACTTGTAATATACAATGTACTTATGATCCATCACAAGTACTTCATTTACAACTTACGAAGGTCTTGTGATTTGGCTTGTGACAGACACAACTACGACTCTTACACGTTTATACTAGGCTACATTATTTCGGGCCAGGAATTAAAATGGCGCATCTCGTGGCTCACCCACTCCTCCTGAGTCCACAACTCGATATCGCAGTACAGACAAACAAACACCCTCTTGGACTTATTAGGGGATGGTTGGTCCTCAACGAACGACTGAACTCGAGGCGAGGGGTAGTGGTCTTGAAAAACCGGTGTGGACGATCGCGAGCTCGACGGCGATTCACTTCCGGCGTTTTGCTGGATTTTCATTTTTGTCGGCGAGGGCTTGGCTTTGCTGACTAGAGACCCGATGTTGATTTTGAGTTTTTGCCCATTTCTACCATATACGCTCTTTTTCTTGCCGAGGCCATTTTGATGACGAAAACTGGATTGGGGAAGTTTTTGTTGGACCGCGGTCATCTTGCTTGTTGGAGAGTTTTCATTTTCTGTTTGATCTGGAGCGGGATCAGGGGCTAGGTCGTCAGCAGTTGGGACACTGTTGCTGTCGTTCATATGGACGTGGCTCATCAAATGCGTTGCATACTGGTGCTTGATAGGTGTTGTGAAATTGCAGGAAGGGCAGGAGTAAGTCGAAGGTTTGTGGAAAGCGCAATGTGTCAGAAAGTCTTCTTTTACACTGCAGCAGAAGGAGCACAGGCCACACCTGAATTTCTTAACCTCGGCGATGTGCAGAGCGACGTGTTTCTTCAGCGAGAAGGACTGGCTTGTCGAGAAAGAACAGTGCGGACACTTGTGGGGCCGCTGACCCTGATGCATCCCCATGTGCTCTCTGAGAGACTTGGGTACCGTCGAGGCAAAGGGGCACTCGTGGCACATGTACGGCTTTTCGCCAGTGTGGCTCCGCATGTGAACATTCAGGTGCCCTTTTTGGCTGGACTCGTACGGACACATGTCGCACTTGTACGGCTTGGATCCTGTATGGATGGACATGTGTTGGATCAGATTGTGCTTGCGCGCTGTGGCGTAATCGCACTCCTCGCAACGGAACGTGCGATTGTGCTTGAACTTACGGATATGCATTTGCAAAACAGAGAGGTGCTTGGAGCGGTACGGGCAACCGGGGCACTGGAAGGGTCGGTCCTGGCTATGAACCTGCATGTGAACTCGCAGATGGTTACGTTGGATGGTGGAATAGCTACACTGCGAGCACTTGAACGGCTTCTTGCCACTATGAATCCGCATGTGGATTAGGATATGCCCGCGCTGGCGGGCGCGATAGTTGCACAGTTTGCACTGGTAGGGCTTTTCGCCGGTGTGGATCAGCGTGTGGTTTGAGACCGCGCTGTAGTACAGCGAGGTGAAGGAGCAGGCTGGGCACTCATACTGCATGGTCTTGAGGTTCTTGCGGATGCGGACGGGTTGGACTTGCAGAGGCATCTTCTGAAACAGCTCCTTGGCTTCGTCGGACGAGATGCCTTCAAAGTCGTTCTCTTCGATGCCTTCTTCTGTGACATCTATACCACCCTCATCCTCAAAGTCATAAACATCTCGAACTGCTGCATTATCTTTTAGTCCTGTCGCTCCTATGTCATTATTGTTCTCTTCTTTAAAGTGGCCATGCAACATCTCTCCTTCACCAATCAAACTTGATTCATCCACTACTCCTGTACTTTCTAAGATGCCATCCTCAAAGTCCTGAGATGAAACTTCTCTGTCGTTTTCGGCCAACTTTTTAGGAGCAGAGCCCTTGAAAGATTTCCTGGCTTTTGGGATCGATGCCACACTGTGTGCCTTGGGTTCAACTGATGATGAAGATGCCATCTTGTGCAAACCAAGTAAATTTTGTACAGCAATCTGGAAAAAAAATTAAAAATTGAATGTCGACACTTTTGTTAAACTGCGAGGCAACAGATTCAGGGGGAATATACAAGAAAGAATACTACGTTATGGTTAAGGGAGTTTCCAGAATAAAAGTATTTCTAAAATATTTTGCGATAATACAAATGAAACTGGTCTTTATGTATTTTTGTTAAAAAGAAATATGGCATTTTTAAGATGGGAGATATTTTACATATATACCTCCAAAAAAAGCAAATACAGGTTACGGTTTCACAACACTTTTAACCCCTTTCTTTGACTGAGTATAGTTGAAGGTAATATTAAGTCACAAAATTTGTGAGTTTTTTTTTACAAAATTTGAAGTGTTTCTCTCTCCAAAATTAACTGTTTGTTCAATGACATTGCAACATGACTTTCATTGAGATCATTCAATTTCATTTAGGTAAAAAGTGACATCACATTTACTCTTTTTTTTCACCAGACTGTTTTTCCCAATGACAAAATTAATTCAATGGCTTTTACAGTCATAAAGCGTTCAAAAAGTTGAATGCACAATTTGAAACACAAGCTACAATTACTTTCCCCACGAACCACGGTTGACTTCCATATATCAAGTTGCGCCATGTCCATTACAAAAAAATGTGACCGCAATTTAAATCCCAGGAGTTTAGCAGCACCTTACCCACGATCAATGAACATAATGCGTGTGAGACTTCAACAGGTGCTACCATGCATAGCCAGCACAATGGCGATACCACGCACAAATTCGTTACATTATACGCCTAACGTTGTAAACTGAATGAAGTTACCAAAACTTTCAAAACTACATTTTTTTTCTACCAGGATTCCCTAAAACTACACTGGTTTATTAACCTACAGATCTGACTGACATTAATACAGTACTGGCTGTCAAAGAACGTGGCCACATCGATGATATATGCCGTCTTACAAAAAGCACTTCCTTCGAAATTGTCGAAGAAACTCGCCATTGAGGCATCGTATTACGATAGCACAGCGTATGATGAAATCGCCATTGAAAAGCGTTGCGAGAACGTGTCATACCAACGCGTGCACAATACAATACAAACTTATCTTACGAAGTTTAAAACTATCCCAACTTACTTTGCTTTCCCGCAACGAAACTGAAGATACTGCTTCTGAGAACGCCGAGGGTGGCAACCGAGTGTTTTGTAGGTGCTTGGTGTGACCAAGAGGAAGGTCACATTTGAGGTTGTTCTTGCGTGAAAAGTGACACACGAAGAGTCACAAAGTTGACAACTTTCTTTGCGGTCAACCACTGCCCAATTTCGCTGTGTACGGAGCAATGTATTATGTGTAGTAACTAGTATTATTTCGCGCAATTATGTTGTATGCATGCACGTCGCACGTGGATGTCGTGTACAGTATACATGTACATGTATGTACCTGTACATGTATGTATGTATATATGTATGAGATTGATATTAGCTCTCGCGTAAGCTTTTATAATGCAAATAAATAACATACGGTAACAGTGGCTATTGTTTCCAGGGGCTGCGGAACCGGGGGGGGGGGGGGGCAGATTTTCCCAGACCAACATTTATAAGTGCCCCTCTCGCGGTTATAAATGTGCACCCCTCGAGATGAAAACAAAACTGCCCCTAAAACACACAAGTTCCCCTCTCGCATTAACAAGATATGTGCACTCAAAACTGCCCCTCGAAAGCACAATTAGTGGCGGCCCCGCTTGCGATCGCAATATCAAAATTGTACCCCCTCTCAAGATGGAAAACAATAGCCCCTAAACAAAATAGTGCTCTCACTGCACGCGAATAAAATGGTCACTGAACTCTGGCCATCAAAAGCAACATATTACACTAGTACCCCTTTTCGCGATTAAAAAGGTATCTCACATAAATAGTTAAAAGAAACCCAAAGTGCAAGATGGACAATGTATTCATAATATTTTCCTCGTCATATAGGTTTATTGCGAAATGAACAGGACCATTATTCTTTTCCATTACTTTCACACTGCACCGACGGAAGGCGCCCCTTTTTCTGAGCAAGTTCCCCTTTTTAGGGGTGTCGGACGCTTCGCCCCATTTCCACGTCGCCCCATGTCACTTCGCCCCTAACTACTTCGCCCCATCCCCACTTCGCCCCATCCCCACATCGCCCCATCCCCACATCGCCCCATCTCCGCCCTTTTTAGTGTCCGCTAAAATGCTGCTACATATCGTGCCAGGTAACGCATAAAATGGACTGGGAACCAGTCTAACAAGATCAACCAATCATTTCCGCTGGTCCCTCTTTTCCAAATATTATATCACACACATCGTTTATACAAAAAGTAGAATACCAATCAACGCGCGTCGATGTCAGCGCCATCTTTTCCCAGTTGCAACGATCTGGAAAATTTTGCTGAATTTCTAACTGAAAATTAGTATCCATCGAGCCCATTAATTCGGCAGAATGGCAGGAACAGGGGCGAACAGTATACCCCTAGGTGCCCTGCATCCGATTTTACGGGGTCAAAAGCCTCCTGGAGGGATAGGAGTAGGGATAACGGGCCCGATAGGCGGCGGGGGTGAGAGCTCGATGTTGAACGCGGCGAGGGAAGCGGCAGCGCGTGTCACCGCGAACATCATGGGGAAGCGTCCGCCGCCGACTGGGCCATCGACTGGCGGGCCCGGTGGACCTGGAAAATCCATAGGTAGTCTACTTAAATTCTGTAATAATAAATAATTCGTGTGTTACTTAATATTTTCTTCAGTGTAGAGTGTTTTGCTTTATCATTATGTAGGAAGTCACGATAATTTTAAAACTTTTATTAAAACTTAGGCCTAATTCACTTTTATTAAAACTTAGGCCTAATTCTTATTCTTAATTGACTTTGCTGTGGTGTTTTTTTGGTTTTTTGTTTATTGATTTTAATTTCTAAAAGGGAAAAAATGTTGTAACCTGACACTACTTTCGAAACAGAAAAAAAGACAATTTTTTTGCTTATCTTGTACTTGACGTGTGAACGTGGCTATATTATAGCCACGCTTCAATCTATAGTAAAAACACTCTATTGTGATCCACGGTTACTGTGATCGAGTGACTGTTCTAGCCAAATTTCGATGGATGGATGAATTATTGATGGAGTAGTTTAAGTAACGTTTCTACTTTGAATTGTATAATTAAATAATTCATTGTATGTTATTGTTTCATTTTGACACATTTTCAAAATAGATTCCACCAACTGGCCGCCGGACAAGAAGCGGAAGAGAAGTCGGTGGGGAGGGGAGGACACAAAGCCAGCTGGTGTGGCCTCCATCATTCCCTCCGGACTGAGCAAAGACCAGGAGAAACAGGTTTTGAGTAAGTGTCCTGCTTTCCCAGTATGGTTCGCCTGATTAATTGCTTGCTTGAATCATATTTACGTTGTTCTTATTTTTTTAAAAGGTCACAGATTCTGCTAGCTCATTGGTGTGGGAAAAGTCTGGACTATTTGCATGCCGTGTCTGGCAAAATGGTCTCATTTTCTTTGTTCCCAGAATAAAAACTTGTGCCATCACTGCCAAATTCTCACCTGTATATTGACGCTAATTTATTTTTTACTTCTAACAGTTTAACACCTTATTGTTTGATTGATTAAAATATGTATGAATGATCATAATGTTTTATGATTATGTCACTTCATGTGATGATGGCATTGTTCTCATTTAAACATTCACCAATGTAACCTTAAATTTTCTATTCATTTGCATTGCATTCATTGTCTTTCTTATTATAACTTTATATTTCTCAGATGTGTGGGTTGGTTATCCAAATTTGGTTCCCTGTTCTAGGATCTAAAACTCAAACACCTTCAAAAATGCTTGGAGGCACAGAAGCGCGTACATGTAAGGGCAAAAAGGAGTTTTCCGATTGCCCCTACCGGTGTTCCCAAATATACAACATGATTTTTTGAAGAAAAAAAAATCCTCTGTCCATTTTTGTCAATACCCCCTTCCCCCCCCCCCCCTCCTCCTCCCCTCCCCCCCCCCCCCCTCCCCAAAAAGAAGGTTCCTACATGTTCATGCAGGGAGAGAGAGTTGAGCTAATGGCCAGTCAAACAAATTATTATGAATAATGGTCTGCAATAAAATTTCTGACATTGTTCATATTATTTTTTTTCCCTTTCTAACCTTTGACACCAATCCACAGTGCACTTGCAGGTAGAAGAGATCAGCAGGCAGCTCCGTTCCGGAGACCTTGGAATCCCAGCCACAGAGGATAGGTTTGTTCCCACCCAAAAGCGTAACCATTTCTTTATTTTTTAACTGCTTTTCCTTCTCACTTTGTCATTGTCATGTGTCGTACAGATGGCAGTTCAGAAATGTTGGCATTACAAGGTTTTAATCACTGTTGTTATATATATGTACTCACAAATTTGAAGATGTGTTTTGGTGTTGTTAACTTTGCAATATTCTTCATTTGAAGTCCATCGCCGTGTTTTGGACGATTTTGAGCCAAACCCACTATCTTTTACTTACGGCGTGGCATTCCAATTGTGTAATGCCCGCTTGGCCCAAGAGAATCTTGCAACAACTTTTACTGCATTTATATAGACCTTATGCATTGCATAGTAGCCATTGCCCTCTCATACAGGGCAATGCCTTTTGTTTTGCTTGGTATGTATGAGTGAACCTTTTGTGACAAAATTGCCACAGCCTGTCAATTGTACCAATATGAGCCCAATTTACAAAACTGTTAAAAAAAACCTGTCACTTGATAGACTTTGACAGATAGGGGATCTCTCACCGTTTTGTCACTAAGGCCAAAAAAAAAGTCTCCGGTTTCTGGTATGCGCGTGCGTCGCCGTAGCCATGCGCGTCGGCAAAATGAAAAAGTTTTTTTTTTCAATACAAGATGATGTTTCAAAACCGCCAAACTCACTGGTTTGACTGGAATTCTGCTGCTGCACAATTCTAACATGTTTTTAGAAGGGGTTATGATCGAGAATAAGATTTATGTGGCCTCTCTGGACTCCCATATATTTGCACTAAGTTTAGTCGGGCACCATTTGCAGTCATCAGCCGACATTTGAAGCCAAAAAAAAAAAAAAAAACAGGTAAAAAAAAAAAAAAAAGCCGCGTCGCCGCACCACTTTTGGGGCAAGCTCCATACCAGAAACCGGATACTTTTTTTTTTTGGCCTAAGAGAGGGCGGGTCAATTATACCCAAAGAACCTGGGACCTCTGTATCACTGGAGATCTGTTTATGTTGAAAAACAAAAGCGTTAACAATTTACAGCTTACAATAGTGTATAGTATATCACAATTAAATTGTTAAGTACAAAGTTTCTGTAGATAAGCACAGCTCACATGTTATCACTCAGTCCAAAAAAATCACTTAACTGTTAGTGTTAACATTTGCCTACAGACATTCAACACAGTTTTGTTAATGATGGTAGCCTCGTTCTCCCAAATCCATCCAGCGACCGGTCTTTCCCCCCAGATGTCGCTCAAATTTCTAACGATTATTTTACCACCGCGACGAGGGAAAGCTCCAAAAGTTTAACCTTTGTTTTTTTTTAATGAGCTTTCCTTTCTTCACGTAACGTAATTTTAACCAGATTGTATTTCATTCACAATTATTGAATTACCAAAGAACCTAATCTTTCTCTTTTGAAAGGTTGGCTATGCTTTTCCCGCTTCTCCGGCCAGTTGCAAACCTTGGAGATTAAATTTGTCCTGCTGCCACCAATCACTTCAAATAACCATGACGTTAACCATTTTGCTCCCAAAGGCAGCCCAGTGGCAGGCCTGCAAATCAAAGAAAAAATTAACCATTTTCGTGTTTTTTTTTTCTCCCAGACTTCAATAACCAGTTTTTATTCCATTCCAACCCCAAAGGAAAGGTTCCTATCCCGAACCTGAATTTACATCACTGGCTCAAAGAACATCTTTAGCTTCTAAACTAGACATCAGGATCAGAACATTCAAAAACATTCATATGGCTGGTACAATCCCTCTTAAAATTCCCCCTCAAAATTAAATTCCCCCCTTGGTTCTGTTAATAGAGGCTGCAGGTTGAACAGATGAACACAAAAAAAGTGGAAACAGTCAAATTTGTAAACAATTTCAAAGTATAAAATTTCCTTTAGGACTTTTCAGTAATTCTTTCTGTCTTTACATTGGATCAATGGGTGCGTTCGTTGAGCTCGCCCGAGTCGACTTGGGCCAGCCCCGTGCCGTTCGATTAGCTCTGACGTCATTCTCGGGGCTCACCCAGTTCAGCCACCACAGACCCTGCTCATGAGCAGAGTCACTGGTGGAAACACGCCACGCGCATGCGTTGTTCGTTCCAAAAAGCGTACAAATATGGCGACCGGACAGCGGAAATCTCAAGTGGACTTAAAAATTAACCTTATTTGAAGTCTAAAGGCAATCATTTATTGAGTTCATTGCGACTTTTGAGGTTATAATTCCAGCCCAACTTTTTTGAGTTTTGCAACGGACTGAAAAGCAGTAAATCTCAAACTAAGACCCAATCCAAAAAGGGCGTTTTGTCAGTGGCTATGGCCACGGCTGGAGGCGTTGCGTGAGGATCGTGATGGCCCGCGGTTGAGCATTCGATTAGCCCGGCTGTCGTGGCTAACCTGTCTGCCTTTACCCAAGTTGATCTGGGCGAGCTACTCGAACGCACCCATTGTATATACATCTTTTGCATTGCAACCATCTTTGACCGTGTGTGCTTTTGATCATCAGCGATGCGCATGAGTAGACCTCTTGTGCACTTGTTATATTGAATTAAAATAACAAAACGCACCTCAAAGATGGCCACTGAATGCAAAGAATCTATTTTCTTCTCTTGTACCCAAGATTGACAACAGAGGGCGCTGGTCTAGGGTGATATTTAAAGTGCCCTCCTGACTTGGTTATGTGTAATGACTATGTACAGCAAAGAGTCCTGTGATTGGTTGCCGAGCCAATCACCCACAATTCATTGCATTACCATACAAAATTCTGCCAGAATTGATTAGCCTGTGCCAGTGCCCAGGAGACGGAACCCAATTTCATTGCAAAAGAATTTCGCTGACTACAGCGAATAAAATATGCACCGATGGGTAACATGTTTCAGGTGTTAGCATTTACCATGGAAATCTGTGTTTACAGGGTTAAACCAAATTGTCCGTGCTGGCGTTGTTAGCTAGCTCAGAAGGATGCTCATAAGAGAAGAACAGACGTTTTTTGCCTGTCAAATAAATAATGCGCATCGATCCAATCTTGATTTTTTGGTCAGGTGACCAAAGTAACTTGGTCAGACCCAGTCACAATACGGGTGATTCTCAGTGCAGTGCCCCACCAAGAGTTTGCCACGGAGAGTCTATTTTTCAAGTCTGTCCGACGAGAAAAACATGGCCGACTTGCCGCGATTTGAACGAAAGTCAGTAGACAACTTGAGGACATTTTCAATAGATCGAAGCAAAGCATTCTTTCGCTTCCCAAAAAAACACCATGTCTTGATAAAAAGAAAAGAAACAAAAAGATACTCCAATAATATGCTTACGAACCTACAGACTGGACAAACTAACAATTTGAAGCGTCTCGCGCTATGGCAAATTTGTCCACCGTCTCCCACAGTGCACTGCGAAAAATTGACTTTTTTCGGGTGACCACTTGGTGGGGCACTGTTTTGGCAATCGCCCGTATTATGACCTAGTTTGACCCGAAAAGTTGACAATTTTGACTGAGTTTGACCAATGTAGCATGGAATAGGACTGTCCATTTGGGGTTATGGTCATGCACATCTCATAATTCTGTGCTTATATGGTTAGTGCAGACAGAACCTCTAAAGTAGTGCTGTGTAAGCACAAGATAGGCTATTAAAAGCACAGATATTCGAAATTAGCCGAGCCACGAAATAAATAAAAAGCTGGATAAACAGCTGGAGCATCCTAGCACCACGCCTCTTTTTTTCATTGTCTTCTACAGATCTCCGTCTCCGGAACCAGTCTACAATCATGAGGGGAAGCGGCTGAACACGCGAGAGTATCGCACCAGGAAGAAACTGGAAGAACAGCGACACATTCTCATCCAGGAGGCCATGCTGATCAACCCGGACTACAAACCACCCGCTGATTACAAGTATGCCTCAATAATAATGCGGTGCTCATACAGTAGTTTATAACCAAAAGTCTCAAAAGTGCTTCACAATTCGGGCGATATCACAATGCAGTGCGCCACCAAGAGTTTGCCATGGAGAGTCCATTTTTCTAGTTTACGGTCGACAAAACATGGCCCATTTGAATGAGTGTCAGTAGACAATTTGAGCTAATTTGTTATAGATTTGGGCATAGCGTTCTGCCGCCTTACCAAAAATCACCATATTGATCAAAAGAAAAGAAAAGGGCAAACATATACTCGACTCATACACTTATGAAACTACTGACCGGAAAAACGAACAATTTCAAATGTCCCGCGCTGCGAATTTGTCGACCATCTCCCACAATGCACTGGGAAAAATGAACTCTCTGTGGCAAACTCTTGGTGGCGCACTGCATTGTGAATCGCCCGAATTATTAACCCTATTCATCAGGCTACAAGATCTGTTTTCTGTAACAGCATGACTTCGGCGTAATCTGGTCTCTACCCTCACAGGTACCCCTTTATACTCCCGGGTAGAGAGGGGCAATTGTAGTAAAGTGTCTTGCCCAAGAACACAAACACCGCGTTCCCTGTCAGGGATTCGAAACACCTGTGTGATTCTCAACCCCACAATTTCCATCATTTGATTGATTCCCCCAGGCCGGTTAGAGAGAGGCCCTTGTAGTATAGTGTCTTGCCCAAGAACACAAGCACCACGTTCCCTGTCAGGGATTAGAAACTTCTGTGTGATTCTCAACCCCACAATTTCCATCATTTGATTGATTCCCCCAGGCCGCCTATTCAGCGTGTGAGCGATCGAGTCATGATCCCCCAGGATGACCACCCAGACATCAATTTTGTGGGACTCCTCATCGGGCCTCGGTAAGACACCGATAGTTATCTGGTAACCGTAGAAAATTCCAATAAATTTTCAAAACATAACCCTCAATTCACTTTCTGAACATGCAGCACATTTTAGCTTTGTATTCCTAGTTGTTCCTAAGTTGTGATCCTCCGAAAATCACATCCCTGCCTCCTGTAGCAGTAGTGAAGAATTGTGCATTGTTAAAAAGCCCACAATTTAAAAGCCCTTCAAAATGGCATGACGATACTTTCGTGGAAAAAAAAAAACGTGGTGCACCTCATTTCATTTCCATTTAATTAAGTCAGCTAACCCGCCTAGTGGGAAGTCACTATTCAGAGCAATAAGTAAAACCATTTACAAGCATGCAGGCCAGTCTCAAGCAAAGGCTTATGAAGTGTTAAAGTAACTGTATCACACAGAGAGTCACTGCACACAAAAACAGCACTGTGTAGAGCAGTGAAGCGTGACCGAATCTGCCTGCATGCCCTGAGCTCAACCACACAAAAGAATTGTGCAGAGATTTGAAGTATTATCCATACTCCATAAAGTACTGAAGTGAATACGTCACGCGTATAAAATGTGTGTAAAAGACATTAGCGGGTGGTTCAGCCCGTGAACCAACATGCGCGCGTACTCCATTCTTTTGCACTACACTTCCCGGTTCAAAATGACGTCTCACTTTGGTACTCTATAGAAGATAACCTCACAGGAATTTGAAGTGTGGGCGCTACCTCTATGGGGAAAAATAGTTTTGTGAAGTGCAGAAGGCTAGGAGGGTTAATTCTTAAATTCAGTTGTCAGAGTTACAGTAAACTTAAAGTATCCCAAAATATCGCAACTGCCGCACGATAGGTGCTTACTTTTAAACGTAATTGTAATTTGACGCTGTGTATCAAGATTGGATTGTCTCAGTTTCATGTTAAGAATCATGAAAATGTGGCAGTATTACATCCCAAATCATTGGTAAGAGGCCTCAAAGATGTTCTCATTTTGTTTCTTCAGCGGCAACACCTTGAAGAAGTTGGAGAAGGACACGGGCACAAAGGTCATGATCAGAGGTAAAGGGTCGGTCAAGGAGGGCAAGGTGGGGCGCAAGGACGGCCAGCCGCTGCCTGGGGAGGACGAGCCACTCCACGCGTTGGTGACGGCCAACACCTCAGAAGCTGTCAAGAAGGCTGTGGATCAGGTAGGATGCTTTGAACTTTCAAACTGTTAGCCGAGTTGAATCGAGGACTGTCTGTTGAAGAGTGGTTGATTCTTGACTTTGTTTCACCCGAGTACTAATGATTAAAGTGCAACCATTTCTAGTCAAGCGACGGTTAAATGTCGTCACAAAAACTGGTTCCCTGCTGCACATTGCAAAATTTGCCCCTGTCGATAACCAGCTGTGGTAGGCGGGTACCAAATAGTTAATAGATCGATCTGCCTAGCCACGCCCCTTGGTATTTTAACTAATCGCAACCGTGACTATTGTCCCACATGCGCCTATGCAAATCTGACATGCATACGCACACGTTTGGTGCGCGCGGCTGGAAAGTACAGTGTAGCATTAGAGAAGCGCATGTGTTGTTGCCCACGTGCACAGTTGGCGGGTCCGAATGGATTGGTCAAACCTTTTTTGACCAGCGTGAGTTTGATGAATGTAAGTCGGCCATTGGTTGACCACAGTTCTACAGTTTGTCTCCCAAAAAAGTGTCCATCTGGGTATTTTTGAAATAACTACAAAACCATGAGTTCAGTTTTGGAAATATTTGGTTGTGCAGATACTCCAAAGCCTTGGCCTCAACCCCTATGAGTTTCATTTAATTTCAGTCACGCATCACTACACAATGGTCAATTGAGCACAAGAACATTTTTTGGACACTGTGACCAAGTTCCTTACCTTATGCAATCTCATACCGTGTTGAGTTAGCTGTGTAAAGTCCTTCATGTTGTGATAAGGGCTGCCGTTGGGATTGGAATCATTTGCCTGGCTATCAGTCATCATGGCAAGACCTCAGTTTAATGCTCAAGGGCAAATGATTCCAATCCCAAACCACATCAGCCTTTTTTTCACAACATCCAGGATTAAAGTTGAAATACTTTCCAACTTTATGTGTCATTTTGTTGTTGTTGCTCACTGTCAATTATTGCACTTCATTGCTATACCGAACACCGCTATACCGAAGTTTTGGCTATAACGAACATCGTTCTTGGCTGCCGATTTTTGTCTGCAAAACGTACCGAACATTGTTGTTAAAAACTGTCAAGAGAAGAGCGACAAGTGGCTATTATTTCGCCAAGGAATAGAAGGGGAAAGCCACCCATTGCTGTTGGTAGTAAGCTCAAAAACTGTGTAATGACATAATTCAATAGTCGGCATGTGTTCAAAGTCGTCTTTCGGTAACTACCAGGGTGCGAACGGAGTACCGGAGCACCGGCAGCTTAAAATGGTTATACCGAATGATCGCTATTAGGAACAATTTCTGTGGATCCCGCGATGTTCGTTACAGCGGCGTACCACTGTACTTGTTGCCAGAACATTTTGGTTGTTTTGTTTTTTTAGGTTTAATGCACATTCTGAAATGCACCATCCTGTTGTCTTCCTCAGCGGCCCATATATTATGTTGCTGATCACCCTCTTTGCTTCTTGCCCACAGACCGACGACCCCCTCAGAATGCATGATTCTTGCACCGTCTGATTCACCACAGTCAGTGCCCATTTGTTGTGTGTTTGTTTTGAGAGGGTTAGACAAGAACTGAAGTTTTGCAGCATGGTCCCGACCCTTTTTGGGGGGGGGGGGGGGCTGGTTATAGAGCAAATTTCAGCATTCTTTTAGATTAAACGTCAAGCGTTCCTCGACTCACCTCCAGTTGATGTCTAAATATGTTAATATCCTTCGTGTCTTTTGTCATTTGTATACACACACAAAGTCTGTGTAGTCTGTGGAGGCGAACCATGTGTTGATCTTGAATTGGCTGCTGTGCACGGCCTATTCTACAATTTACGCTCTGTTGCACACCCTGGAGCGGTGAAAAATATGAGGTTTCGGAAAGAAATATCGTGCAAAAACTCTTGCGATGACTCTTGCGAATCAATATTCGTGGAGTTTGGCTGTATATCAGAGGTTGGCTGCTATATTTTGCCTTTTTTTTGAAAATCAAAATAATACTGGCAAGAATAATACCGGCGCGAACTGGTTAAAAGAAGCTCCAAACTTGCCCTAGGTAGTTTATCAGTGGGTACCAACATTAATTTGATGGTTACCAACTCTCGGTGACGGGTCCCCCGTGTAATGCGAAGATGCCCATTCTACCGCCCGTGTACTAACCCCCTCTTGCTCCACAGTAACTCCGCCCCTTGTTCGCCAATATCTCTCCTTCCCAAAACCAGATCGGGTTCATCATCAGCAACGGCATCGAGGCGCCAGAGGGCCACAACGAGCTCAAACGCTCGCAGCTGCGCGAGCTCGCCGCCCTCAACGGGACCCTCCGCGATGCCGACGTCTCAAGGTACCTTGAGTGTCACGTGCTTCCAAAAAAAAAAAAAAAGTGGTGTGGACAGTCTGTGCTTGCGTACTTATCGTTGCCCCTTTTTTCTTTTTTCTTTCACTTCTTCCCTCTATCTTCACCCTCACTTGGATGTTTTGCCCATGTTTTGATGTTTCCCCCTACCCCCTTTTCCTTTCCGCCCTCTTTCTCCCCTCCTTTCGTCGCCTTGTGATGGTGGGTTTTTTGTAGATCCGCGAGATTATCAAGCAGGGGATTGAGACGCCCGAGGGTCAGAACGATTTGCGGAGGATGCAGCTGCGCGAGCTGGCCCGTCTGAACGGCACGCTGCGAGATGAGGACACGACAAGGTTTGTTAGAGACCAAGAAAGGTGGTGGTTAATTACTCCAAAAAAAATGGGAAAAGCCTTGAAAAAGTAAACAAGTGGATGTCGGTCTGAAAGTGTATAAGGTAGAGTGCATCATTTGTCATTTTTCGTTTGAAGCAACAAAAGTGCTCAAAATCTAACGAAGGGTGCTTAACAACTAACCTGATGAAGTTTTAGCTCAGTAAATGCTGTGTTCCGAGAAACCAATATTCTAGAATATAGCTTCCCACTTCAGCCTGCAAACAATTTGAAAAATGAACCAAAAACCCTTTTGATTTTTTTTTCAATTTCTAACTTTGGCATAACTCCAGATAAAATTATCGGAAGAAAATGGCATCAAAATGTCATGCACAAGAGGCAAACCAACCCTTTAAGCAAGCTGTTTGATTTCTGTTTCTGCTGGTGTTGAATTCTGTTGTGTTTAAGCAGTGTGGCTAGAAAGGGCTAAATGTCAATTCATAAATACCTCAGACAGTTTAGCTATTCCCATTGGTCGAGAGCCCGTCATGTGGCCGGTCTTAAATGGATGATAAAGACATGGCTAGCTGGTCTTAAACACTTTTCGAGTGTCACAATAAAATGTGGACTCCTAAAAATCCAGTGCCTCTTACCGTTTCATTGGTTGAACGTTCACAATCCTCACGTAGGCATGCGCAGAACATGCTATGCGCGCGTCAATCTCCATGAAAGGGTTGTTTACATCTTACTCGCCAGGTGAACACTCCATTAATTTGCTAGAGGGATGAAAGCATGAAGTGAACTTGATGAACAAAATCGGGATTTTTTGAACAAATTAGTTGATTTTTTTTACCGAAAAGGTATTTATGAATGGGAATAAATATGTGCTCGGTCGGTATTTATCACTCTGTTTAAGACCACTTAGAGTCTGGGAGCTGATAATTACCCTCGCCTCCGGCTCGGGTAATTATCAGCGCCCAGACTCTAAGTGATCTTAAACAGAGTGATAAAAACCTCCGGAGCACACATTTATTCCCTTATTAAGTATAAAGAAGTACTGTGTTGGATACCATTGAAACCTTGATAGAAAGTTTAGAATATGCACAGACTTATGATAATTAAATTTTCTTCGTAACAGGTGTTCCAACTGCGGCGCCCTCACCCATCGCACCTGGCAGTGCCCCGAGAAGCAGAACATCACGGGCACCATCGTCTGCACCATCTGCGGTGGCACGGGCCACATCGCGCAGGACTGTCGCGCCAAGTTTGACGGCAGTGATGAAATGGGAGGGCCCATGGGCGGTGGGCCCATGGGTGGGCCCAATGGCGGCCCCCCCAGAATGGCTGGCCCAAGTGCTGCCGAGAAGGCCAAGATGGATTCGGAGGTACGATGGATTGATTGACATTCATTGGCCCTTGAACTTCATTCACCTATGACCTCTGTTGACCTTTGACATTTAGTGGCCTTATTCTGGGACGTTATTCATTTCTACACTGCGTGACACCACAAGGGGAGTCAGGTTGGCGTAGCGGTACTTTCCTCGCCTTCCACCGCTGTGACCCGGGTTCGAATCCCGCCTGGGCCAATATGTGGAGTGGGTTTTCAGTCCCTACCTGATTCCGTGGGTTTCCCCCCAGAATATTCTTCTGTGCTTTTCCTCCCACCTCTAAAACTGTAACTTCTTCTCATTGTCTTCTCTCCATTTTTCCATCCTGTTATTGGCGCTTGCGCTGTTGGATATGGCTGAAATAAAATTAAAATAAAATACACCACAGTGCATTACAACATCAAGAAGGGCCATAATCGTTCCACCTCAACCAAAATGTGATCAATTAAAAAAAAAAAAATAAAAAAAAAAAAATTTTATAATTTGTTATAAACTTTTAAAAATTAGTTTTCCTGTCCTATCCTGCCTGTAGTACATGTGTCTGATGGCGGAGCTGGGCGAAGGGCCGCCCCCATCGGAACCCAAGATGAACATGCCGCCCCCTCTTCACAGCCAGCAAGGACCGCCCAATATGGGCGGGCCCAGGCCACTGCTGTCCACCCCGCCCAATCAGAACCCCCATCAGAATCATCAGAATCAGCCACGCCCGCTGGTGAGTGAATAATTGATTGGCACTTGTTGAAGAAAACAAATATTCGGATAGAGCTTGCTTAACCCTAACCGCCCTGAATCCTCCAAAATCCTTTTTGCAAATTGGAGGAATTTGCAGGATTGAGGTTACATGGCAAAAGTGCGTTGCTGATTTCGAAGTACGCACTGTGTCAAGGTCTTGGGCCGGACCTTGTGTTGTTTATGCTCAGCCATGCATAAAGTTAGCCCTTGATTATACTTGACATCCTCCGCACTGCTCCAGGATGTCACTGCCTCTGCCTCTGCCTCTGCCTCAGCCTATTGACAGTCATAGCCGGAGGATTTTGCAGGATTCAGGCAGTGGTCACCCCTCCATGGACCATATTCAAGAAATAGCGGAGGAATTTGCAGGATTGAGGCTATATGCTATTTTTCCATGAGGCCAATTGGAGGATTTTGCAGGATTGAGGCTACATCCTAGCAAAAAGGCCTAGGGAGTTAGGGTTAATACACAAGTTTGCTTAGTGCGGAGAAGGAAAATATTGTTCCTGGTAAACGTTTTTTTTCTGTCCTATCTTTCCCCAGATGGGCCAGAGTTTCCAGCCTCCATGGATGAGCAAGGATCACCACGGACCCCCGATGCCAAACAAGCCCCCTAGCCTCCTGGGCATGCCCCATCCTCATCACCACAGGGGACCCCCAGGGGGTGGGGGCGGTGGCCCCCCTGGTCCACCCGGTCCACCCCACCCCTCCGGTCCCCCACCCCCTAATTTTGGCGGGCCCCCGCCTCCTGGGGGACACCCAGGGGGACACCCAGGAGGACACCCAGGGGGACACCCAGGCGGACACCCAGGTGGACACCCAGGTGGGCACCCAGGCGGACCCCCAGGTGGGCACCCAGGGGGACACCCAGGGGGACACCCAGGGGGCCCCCAGGCCAGTTTAACATGAACCAGCCACCCCCTGGGTTGTTGCCCCCACCTATGATGCAGCCCCCACCAGGCATGATGAACATGCCTCCCCACGGCATGGGGGGAGGGAACCCACCCCCTTGGGGGATGCCCCCACCACCTCCCGCGTCGCAACAGCCAACGGCAACGAGTACGAACGTCACTTTAGCAACAGGTTAGTGTGCTCTTCACCATTTAACTCATGAATCTAAGTCTTTCAAGACCGACAGCCTTGGGTGAAATCTTGACCTTCAAAAGATGTTAGGCCCCATACAGGGGATTTAATAAAAAAAATTCACAAGATTCTTTTGGTGGGACATGAACCCAGAACCTCCCACAAACTAGCGCTCAACATCGAGCTTGCCAGGATTGGCTGGCCTTGTTTCAAATCCTCGGTGAAAGGCAAAGCTCAATATTGTATAAACATCTCCCTGATGCAAAAAAAAAAGAAATTAAAAAAAAAGAGAAAAAAAAAGAAAATTTGAAATATTTGTAAGTAAGGCTATGCCCAGAGTGCACAAAATTAACTATTTTCATTTGAAACACAATTGGCCTTATTTAGCCCATTCATTGGTGTTATGAGGTAATCCTATACGATAGCACTGCCAGGCTGGCTGGCCCTCTTGGACCAGCACGAAAATTCCACCATTGACTGTGAACCTCTCCATTGTTTTCAGCTTTGCCGACAATGGCCGAAATGCAAGCCCTGGCCATGCCCGTACCGCCACCCCCGACGTCCCTCCTGGCCGCGCCCCCTCCCCCACCCCCTAGCAGTGAGCCTCCCCCTCCACCCCTGCCGACATCTACCGCACCCTGGCAGGTTGCGACAAGTGCCGGTAAGTGCAACAAATTGATTTAAACTAAGTGTAACAGATAATGCACTGAAATAGAACGTTGAAATTTAGTGTTAAATATTATCATTTCAAGCAAAACTGAAGAACACCAGTGTGATATGTATCTCAAATATAATGATTGTGTTGGAAGGGGAATTTACTCTTCAATATAAAGTTTACCATGCATAACAACTTGCATTTTGTTTTGAAATTTTATTCATCAGTTTAGAGGGAACAGGGCACATTTGTTTATGGAAGGCCTGTTTGCTTTTGCACAGATCCTGATCCAGATTCAGGATCCGGATCCGGGACCCTGATCTAGATCCAGGATCCTGATCCGGATGCAGTATCCTGATCCAGATCCGGGATCCTGATCCAGATGCAGTATCCTGATCCAGATTCAGGTCCCAGATCTGGCTCCGGATCCGGGATCCTGATCCTGGATCCTGATCCTGGATCCTGATCCCGGGATCCTGATCCGGGATCCTGATCCGGATTCCTGATCCGGAATCCTGATCTGGGATCCTGATCCGGGATCCTGATCCGGATCCTGATCTGGATCTGGCATTCAATCATTGGTTTTGCTCAGATCCTGATCTGGATCACAGATCTGAGGGATCCTTCCGGAGAGGTGGATAAACACGAGATTGAAAAATGGAGACTAACGAAACGATGCACAATGTTAACCGTCTCCATGTGTATTTTTGGCCAGTCCCAGTTTTGTTTGTTATAGCACGGTTCTGGTTCCAAGGATCCTGATTGCACCGAAGCAAACTTGTCCTTAGTTTTTCAGGTTCTTAAGGGTCCGCCTCGATTCACATCCAGAACGAGTTCCGGACAAGTTGCAGGTAAAATCATCCACTTTGTCCGGAAGAAGCTCTGCATTTGTCCCGGACACGTTCCGGGGAAATTTTCATAAGCAACTGCTTGACTCACCAATGCTGATAACTTCATTGCGGGAAGATTGCGGGGAAGTTGCTCAGAATCCAGGCATGCAACTTTTCCTCGGATCAACTGATTTCCTTTTTTTTTTACTTCCCATGTGTGCCATTGAAAATAGAAAAACACTGTACAAAGTCTGGGAAAAATTTGAATTTCCTTTTTTTTTTGTGATTTCCCAGTTGCATGCCTGAGAATCCTGCACCTTATACCCGATGCAATGTCAATTTGTCTGGATTTCGTCCCCGATGTGAATTGCGACGGGCCCTAAGCATCCAAGCCAAAATCTACGCGCAACAATGATGATATTCAGTTTTAGCGTGTGAAGGCTTTTAAACACAGCATCCTTTTATCCGTAGGTGGGAGACCGGTGGTCACGAGCACCGGGCCGGTGACCACGCCGCCATGGCAACGCATCGCTCAAGGTATCAGACGTTGCCTTAATATCTGTTGAGATGCATGCATCTGCACGACCAAAAAAAACGACCTTCCTTTCCCACAATTGCTTTTTCTCTTGTGCTTGACTGATATTGCCTATTTTTTTCTGCAGTGTTACCAAAGATGTTCTTTCAAGGCCAAATTTTAACCTAAATTTGCATTGCTTTTGTGTGTGAAAAACAGTCTCCTGACTTCCTGGAGTAGACAAGTATGGTGTTGACAACCTAAGTAGCTAGTACCCGACTATTGGACAGAATGCGGGGCTTGTTTTAAATTCAAACATTTGGTGTTAATTTTTGACAAATCCAGCTGGCTCTGTTATAGGCTTCTAATAAAACCAAGATTTGCAGGGAGAGCGTTTTTCTTCTGTTGTGACGAGTTTGCAACACTGCCATTTGTTTGTTCTGTCTTTGAAAAAAAATTTCTTTAATAACTTTCATTTTACATTGTTGTGTGGCTGTGTGTTCTTTTGTTGTTGAAAAATGTGAAATGTACAGTTGTAGTGCTTGCATGATTCCAAAAATCCAAATTCAAAAACAAGCTGAAGCTAATTTATTAGTGCAGACATAATATGTTGATTCATTTTGGAATCATTAACATGTTTGTAAAGCATGACTCACCATTATTCATGTATCATCTGTGAAGGTCAGAGAAAATTCAGATCTAATTACTACAAACTCTCTAGGATATTTTGAACAAGTTTATAGGCATGCGAACTGATTTACATTCTGCTATTAGAGCAAATACACGTAGAATATCTGGATCTTTGCGCAATTGCTGAACGTCAAAACACGCAGAACACACTAGACATAACTTCCTGCAGTGCTCCTCACGATGTACGCACCAAGCTTGTAATTAAGGACTTCCTCTTTGCATTTCGGTACAATGCACCTTGAAAATATCTCTGGCTTTGCTATGAATCTGTTTTCCAAGTTAAAACTATAACGGTTCTGTTATTAACTTTGATGATAGCGGCTTTTCCCTGTTTTACAGGTCCTCAAATCATCATAGTTTTCACGCAGAGACACATTTAGTGTACTGAGGGAACAGGAAATTTGTCTCTTCGAGAAAACTGTGACGAAATCATCATAAAACTAATTTTGACTCACTTTTATTATAAGTCACTCCGATTCCCAAGTGTCTGGTTTTTTTTCAGTGGCTCAGTGTTCCTATTTTAGCCTTATATTTGCCCATTTCAAAATTAGATGATAACTTTGTTTTGCAGGGATCTGAGGTCAAAGGTCAATTTATTTTTGTCCTAACCCATGCCGCATTCTCTTCCTTTGTTCCAGAGGGAGGACTGGCAGTTGGCGTATCAATGGCAAATCTGCCTTGGCAACAGCCCACAGGTACCCTACTGCTGTTTGATGAACTGAGTTCTGCCATGTTTTTTTTGCCCTATTGCCATTTCATAAACTAATTTAAGTCTTTTTTTAAGGCTCTTTTGGTTGCAGATTTTTGTATGGTGTCTCAGTTGTTAATTATTCAGCACCTATGTTCTTTGAAAGTTTATTTCTACTTTTTTTAATTATAGATTTCAACTGAGAGTGAAAATCAATAACCAACAACTTGATTAGCATCTTCAAACTTAAAAGCAAACTTAATTTATATCTTGTGAATTATAGGAAATAACCTGAAGTGTGTGTCTCTTCGCCTTAAGATCTCCAGCGACTCAACTTTTCTTGGTGTTGAGAATATTCAAAGTCTCTACAATTATTTACAGCACAAAATTCAGAAGTTTGTATTTTTTTCTGCTTTTTTTTTTTTATTCATAGCACCAGCCACAACAGCAAGTGCCGTCACAGCAGCAGCATGGCAACAACTCCTCCAGCAACAGCAGCAAGCGCAGCAGCAGGTGCAGCAACAACCGCAGATTTCCACAATCACCACCCAAGCAACGAGCACCCAGGCGTCACTGACCATTCCCCCACCCCCGCTGCAGTGGGCCGCCTTGCCTCCCCCTCCACCGATGCAGTCCCCGCCCCCAATGGCCATGCCCCCGCAGTCGGCCCCCTTACCCACGTTCCAGCCCCCCATGCCCCAGGGCCCCCCACCCCCTCTGCCGGGGCAGTTGGCATTCAGCCAGCCCCCACCCCCGCTGTCACAAATGCCCTCTGCCCTGGGGCAGCCCCCTCCACCGCCACCCCCATCCTAGCTCAAACAATTGCACATAAAACAGTAGCAGGGTCTATGGTCACATCATTGGGGTTATATTACAAATTTACACGCAGGGCCAAATTACCTGTTAAGCAGAAAATAAATGCTGAGCAAACTTATGTAAGCACGATCAAGCGATAACCAGTCACAAGCAGTATACATAAGATGAACTTTTAGCTGGTAACCTGTCTTTGCTAAGCATGTATTTTCCGTGCTTACCAGCTCCATGACATATGCTTCGGAGTGAGATATTTGTATACTGAAAATTACCTTGTATTCAATATACCAGTAAATATTACTTGCATGTGTAAACTAATGTAAAAGGCCACAATGATAATCTGTATGGTTTTCTGGTTCTTTGAATGCATCAAAGACACAGACTATCGTTCACATTATGTGTGTAATCCAGAAATATAACGAGTCACTGAATTGTGTAAACTTGAGTCATTTTGAAGAAGTGACTTGAGTCGAGTCATTAGGTCAAGTAAGTCGAGTCGAGTCCCAGTGTGTAGTCGAGTTGAGTCAAATGTTTACCTTGAGTCAATTTGAGTCGCAAATATTTGAGCATTATATTACAAAAACGAAAGAGAAAGTTCAGCCTGAGTCGTCGAGTCCTTACAACTCAAACTCTTCGAATCAGCTGATTTCCTCTTCTTTTTTTAAAAATCTTAAAACTTAGACTTACAGAAAAAATTTTTTTTGTTGTTCTGCCTGTGACGTGGTAAGCTTTGGAAGAGCTCTGTTCATTAATCAAAAGGTTTATTATGTATTTTTTTTTTTTAGCTAATTAAAACTTGCATTTTTAAACTCCGTGCACAAATTCAAAATGGAGAGGAATGCCTTGCACAATCCTATTTAAATATTATTTTAGATATTTTTCCAAGGTCGCTCAATTTCAGACCTAGTTTTTCCGTTTTCCATTTATTAGTTTGAACACAGACCATCTAAAACATTATTTGTGTTTCCTGTACCACCAGGAAATTATTATTTGGGGAGGGGGGGGGGGCAAGGTTGTTTCCATTTTCTTTCTGTATGTTTGCTTTTTAACTTTCGTGTTTTTTTTGAGTTGCACAAATACAATGTATGTGTAAATAGATGCTTTTAAAACAAGTTCGATCGGATCTCGAAAGCTTCGGGCCAACGAATTCATGTTCATGCACGAGTCAAGCGATTGTGCCATGTAATATCTGGAAGGAGTAGAGTTTTGAGTAAAACACTCAGGTTTTTGACCCCAGTGACCCCATGATGACCTTTGACCCCAGTTTGGTCATGTGACATGTTGGGGCTGGGCTGCTGATACTTTTGACAAAGTTTGGGTTGAAATTGGTCAAAATATGCAGGAGCAATAGACAATGTCAACGTTTGTTACTAACTAACGGACTAACGGAGAGACATGATGATTTGTTGAGCTGTTATCCCGCAGCTAAAACAAAAAATTATGCAAGAATTTGTGAATCGAAAATGCATTTGATATCACAGAGGAATTGTGCTTTCAAATTCTCCATGAAATTGTTTCCAAGACCTCACTTGTAGCATAATGAGTGGTAAAATTATGGGTGTGTATTTGTAGCACCCTACATGCACTTAATATGTAAAAAGGACCCACTTCAAGCCAAGTTTAAGCATATTAATTTCTAGTCCAATGCTGTCAATATTGCAAATTCCCTTTTTGGCTTGATTATTGTGAGACTTAAATACTATTGCCAAAATTAATTAAAAAGACTGAAAAATATGAGTTTTGAGTTTGTTGTGTGTTGCTCGTTATAGAACACTAGTTTCTTTGCAAGACTCATTGGAATTTCTTTAGAGATCTCTTTGTGCCTTCTACATTTTGGTTGTTTTTTTCCTGCTAATATTTGTGGCGAGTTTTTTTCTATTGGAATTTGATTTATTAAGATGAGCTTGAGTTTTCAAATTTTAATTGTTAAATGAAACATGCAGAAAAAAACACTTATCCCTGAAATACAATGAACGTAAATTGTTAAGAATGATCAAGATTTGTCCAAATGTTCGTGTCAAAATAATTCCAATTTAATTTTCTTTGAATGATTAATTTGAACTTGTATACAGTCATGTATGAAATGTACAAATATTGGCCAATTGAAAATGGAATAAAAATACAGAAGACAGAATTTTAAAGAATGTTTCCCCTTTTTGTTGTTGATTGAGATTCACTTTTGGAGATGTGATTAAAAAAAAAACTCGGAAGGACTTTGCTGAAATGTCCGGTTCGTTAGTAAAAACGTCATACACGCACGCGCATCATTGATGACTAGCGCCCATTGGATAAACACTCAAGTTGCGTTAGCTTCTGGTTCCAATTGCTTTGTCATTTACAAATTGACTTATTTGTTTTTCCAATGCAAAATTTATATTTATTTTCCTTTAATGTATACGCTACATGAATTGTATTTTGTTCATGGTTGGGTACAAATAAATGTTATATTAAATTGAATTGAATGGCTTTATTTTATGCACAACAAAAATTATGTGGGATGGGATGAAAAGAATATCAAACTACGGGTTTGTCTGCAGAAATGGTTCGGGAGATTTTTTACTCTCTGACTTTGTGCAATGCAGCCCAATCCAGGCCGATGTTCTGTTTTGGGAACATAAAGCCATTGAATTTGAAGCCCCAAAGTAGGGCATTTTTATTTGGTTGGGACACTAAAACTAAAGCTTCTTAACCGTGGTATGAATCCCATGCTGCAGGCGAAACCGTGACTTGAATAACTGCACATGAAGGTGGCGCTCGTCAGATGGCACGTGCGCGTGGCGCGCCTTTATTGATATTTTGTTGGGTTTTTTTTAGCACCGCGGCTGTGGGTGTGACGTTGCGCTTGAGTAAACTTTGCTTTAGTTGGCATGTGACAGCAGGATTTCGATCTCATCAGCTATCAGTTGACGCTTTATATGGACGATGAACGGTGTATGTAGCTGGTTGTAATGACGGATTATTGGCTTTAATGCCCGCAAGTTGCACGACACCATGGCGGCGATTTACGATGGAGATACGGCCAAGCTTGTCGAACGTGAAAAGGTACGTGTGGTTTGGAGATGTCTACACTTCTGTCAACATGGTCAATGATGGTCATGGTCAAGTACATGTATGTAGTTAGCCCCATGTGGCCTATTTACTGGACTGCCTCCGTAAACATAGGCCACACATCCACATCATGTACAAAAAACGTGTCGACTTTGCCAAATTTGGATTTTCACATTTAGGCTTACTTTGTAGATTTTTTTTGCTTTAGTAGCATTCTCACCCTCTATTTTTATAGGCTAATCAGAAAGTGCTGCCTTTTTCAGATGTTTAATATTTTGTGAAATTTCATGTTGAAATTTTGATACGCAAACGTGTGCAAATGAAATTTCACGAAAAATGGACATCTGAAAAAGGCAGCACTTTCTGATTAGCCTATATAGAGGGTGAGAATGTTTCTAAAGTAAAAAAAACGTAAACAGTAAGCCTAAATGTGAAAATCAAAATTTGGCAAAGTCGACACGTTTTTTGTACATGTGGATGTGAGGCCTATGTTTACGGAGGCACTCCAGTAAATAGGCCACATTTATGGGGCTAGTATGTAGTCTGTTGTCGTGTTGACCACGTTGACATGCATAAGCTTCAGTAAATTCTGCACAGTGCAACAAATGCACAAAGATTTTACACTGAGTGAGAAGAAAATCCTATAAACTCAACCCAAAAAGAAAGTCCCCCTTCCATTTTCAAAACTTTTTTGTCTAACTAAAAAAAATACTGTCATTACTGAGCTAAGTCCATGGAGTCTGAGCGCCTCTTGCTCATGATCAGTGCAGAAATTCCTTAGCAATCCTGCCATACTCTTCATTTGGCCCAAAACAGTGATAATGTGTACAAATTTATGCAATTCATGACAAATGATACAAAAAAGGCACACGAACGGGCGCTGCCACAAAAAGGGCACTTGTTGTACTTGTTCAGCATGTTCAGAAAAAAAGGTACTTCTGTTCTACTACTTCTTAATAAAAAAAAAGGGGGCACGTTAAAAAATATTGAGGGGGGGGGGGGGGCACCGGAGGAAAAATGGCATTTCAATGGAAACGGGCAGTCTTTAGAAAATATCAGGGGGGGGGGGGGAAATGAATTCTTTCATAGTTTTTATGGTGATTTGCCTGAAGGCGTTTGTTGAAACTTCTAACTTCCAGAGTTGTTAAAATCAGTGTCTCTGTATGGAGTGTAAAACAAACTTGCCCTAGCTGTTTCATAGAACAAGGGCTGTTTGTAGCAGTCCTAAATGATGCGTAGCTGGTGGAATATTTGTACTGTGGAGGATTTTATTGCTACAGTGTTTTTGTGTTTTTGTTGTTAACCTTAGAACGCAGCTTGTTTGCTTTTCGACCTCTTGAACATTGGTCAATCCAGCCAGATAAGAAGAGTGCTGCAGTCAAAACCATTAAGTTGAATACTGAATTCACTAAATATAGTCAGGTGGAATTCACGTGACCCAACAATTGTTTTTTTATTGACGAAGCATTTTGTTCACTATTTTGTAATTCAAAGATACGCTATCTATAGAATTGTTGCATTTTGAATGAAAAGAGTATGCAGTACTGAAATCAGAAAAGAATCACTTTTTCATTCAACTTTTTCTGCGATAGCCTTGAATTTTTTTTGTTTTTCGCGACCCCAGCTGTTATGACCTTTTAGCCTGGAGCCTTGCGCATCTTTTGTTACCAAAAACATAAAAATCGGACCACGGGTTGCTGCGCAGCGAAAACAATTTTCGGAAAACTCGACTTTCCCATATATGTCGTGTACACAGAGCACAATTACCATTCGTACATATGAGTAATTAATTAGCCATAATTCTAAAATCCTTTGACCTATAGTCATGAAATTTCTTGGGTATGTTCATGATGATTTGCTCTATGCATACCGAGTTTCACAAATATTCGTCACTTGATGGCCGAGATCTTGGGGGGGGGGGGGCAGAATTGATGATTTAAGAAAACTTGAAACAGTGTATAGATTTGTATTTAATTGAACAGGGACAAACTTTCATCCGTTCACATTCACAATATTCATGCACATGGCAAACAACAATGAATTGTATGGAGGCCTGATCCATGCCATTTTATTGCTAATTGTTCAAGTTCACGTTAATAAACCAACTTTATAGGGCTTAATAATTTTGTTCATTGCAAGCACACGCATACTAAAATTTGTATCCTTGTGGAAACATTTCTTGGTTCTCGTGTAGTTAAGTTTTGGATTTTGAAAGTGTGGTTTCAAAATGCTCTTATTTTAACCAGAATTAATTTCCTTGGCTGAAAGTCAGACTTAATATCCCTTTTCTGAAACTCTTCCATTTGCGACAGACCAACCCACCTTGGAAATTCCTAGTTTTGGAGTAAAATCCATCTATTTCCTGAAAACCTTGTGGAGATGTATTCATTGCCCTGTGGAGACATATACAATACATGTATTTTGTTCCCTATTGTGTGCATGTCTCCAGAGGGCACGGTGTGTCAGATCATTTGTGTACACATTTTCTACGGTGCTGTGTTATTGTGTAAACGCATTTGACAGGTTTTGAAAAGGACAATAGTCGGCAAATTTGAAACTACATGTACATGTAAATCTGCAAAATCTGCAACAGCTTTTGCCAAATATTGCACATTTAAACCCTTGTTAATAAAAACAGGTATCATGAGGGTTTTTGGAAATGTCTTAAATTTGATAGTAGTGACTATTACAGTTGTATTTGATAATTGCATGATATTTGTAAAAACTTTGTGATCGTTCAGTTGTTTTTGCAGTGATTGTCTGAATTATATTTATTGCCAAAAATAAAAATACAAAGAAAAAAAAACTGCCAAAGGTCTAGTTTGGTATGTGGAAAGTTGTTGTGCGATGAATTGCGTATTGGGTTATTGAATGTAATCAGTGATATTTTATTTGTACATCTTGCAGGTCCCTGTCAAGAACGGCCAAGAAGGAACATTCAGGACCAAGATTGGCATCGCCCTGACCTGCATAGGATGTATGGTGGGTACCGGCAACATATGGCGGTTCCCCCGCATCCTAGCTAACAACGGCGGCAACAGCGGTAATGCCCTGAATTAGATGGTATACAAATAATGAACGTTTATGACTGCAATGGTGAGAATTGCAGGTGGCATGGGTGGCTTGTGCGTAAAGCACTCGCCTCTCGCCAAGGTGACCACGGTTCGAATCCTGGCCGCGGATCGCATATGAGTAGAGTAGTGCATTGGTTCTCTCCTGTGCCATGAGGGTTTTTCTCCGGGCCCTCCGGTTTTCCTCCCTCCGGAAAAATCAAACACTTTCGATCTCAGGCTGTGCTCCGTGGTCATATATGGGTCGATGTGGCCGGCAGCCATAGGCGCCTTTACGTGCCAGCGGCCCGACCACGTTGAAGCCGCATCCTTTGCAATTCAGCATACCAGCTGCGAGTAAGGATGATTAGCCTCCCAAATTATTATTATTATTATAATAATATTTTCAGGAATTGAAAGATTGAATGTTCCATTCAATGAGGCGAAGCCGAGTTGAATGGAACATTCCATCTTTCAATGAATGAAAATATTCCATCTTTCAATGAATGAAAATATTCTCACCTTTGCACCAATGCAAAACATTCATTATTTCTTTTATATAACATCAAAGTAGATCATTAGATTGAAGTATAAAACTTTAAGAACAAACAAAACTCACAATATTGTACATATCATATCCACTACTTTTTTTCAGCTTAACAAAGGTTTAAAAGTCAAATCATTGACAATAATAAAACTTGTAAGTTCTTAAACTAATGGCAAACAAAAAAAATCATGGCGACTGCATCAACTTCAAGGCAAGTTTTATACTTGATAACGCATGATATGGTCTAAATAGTGCAAAGATCATATAGTGTTGGCCCACTGCGCGTCTTAGCATGCGCGCGGCGTGCAATAGATCAAAAGAGATGGGACAAAAAGACACCATGAATGGAACCAAAAATGCACGGTTATGACGTAGGCCGTGCAATGGTTTGATTCATGAATGCCGCGTGACCTACAATCCTCCACTCGGATGACAAGGATTTACTTGGGTGTTATACAACCAATCTTTAATCAATTGACCTATTGCTGTTTGCGAGTTAGCGACGCCCCTTAGGCCAAAAAAAAAGTCTCCGGTTTCTGGTATGCGCGCGCGTCGCCGTAGCCATGCGCGTCGGCAAAATGAAAAAGTTTTTTTTTCAATGAAAGATGATGTCTCAAAACCGCCAAACTCACTGGTTTGACTGGAATCCTGCTGCTGCACAATTTTAACGTGTTTTTAGAAGGGGTTATGATCGAGAATAAGCTTTATGTGGCCTCTCTGGACTCCCATATATTTGCACTAAGTTTAGTCGGACACCATTTGCAGTCATCAGCCGACATTTGAAGCAAAAAAGTCAGGTAAAAAAAAAAAAAAAGCCACGTCGCCGCACCACTTTTTTGGCAAGCTCCATACCAGAAACCGGAGACTTTTTTTTTTGGCCTTAGACAACCCTACGGATTTTTTGTACAGTAATTTTTGTTTGTCTCAGATTTTGCGCGTTCCACGTCCATTTGTATCATGTATTTGGACAATATTCCACAAGCTGCGTTGACGCGATTCTAACGCGATTTTACCGCGATAGGTCAGTTGGGTACACCGGCACCAGTATTGTGCACTCTGGGACCAGCTTTGAGATACTTGCCTTGACTTGTTCGATAATATGAGAATATTTTTCTGAACATAATTCATTCCAAATGGCCAGTATTTATCCTTCAAATGGTAATCATTACCATATTGCAAGAATGAACTGTACATGTACCCTTATCATTGTAGCATCAATCTTTTGACGTAAAGCAGTGTGCAATTTGTATCATAAGTTCAGGGTATTTTTATAATTTATTCAAATTGCCATTATATATCCTTGGATTATCTACCAGTTTTGAAAGAATAACGGGTACCCTCATATATTACTGTAGCGTGACAGTTACACGTTGGCAGCACTTGCTATAAAGCTGTGTGCTAAAGTAATTAGCATAAGTTGAGGGTATGTGAAGAGAAATACATACATGTAACGGTGTTAGTCAAAAGCACCGGTACCAACAAAATTGCCAGAATTTTCATGATTATTTTTTTTCTAATAAACCACAAAACTAAATAGAGGAGAGAAAAAATCAAACTACTACATCCATTTAATTTCAAAACCAAGAGAATTACTCTTTTTTTTTCAAATTTTTCATTTATTTGTTTGTACCAGCAACAGGATTTAAAGATTAAAACTAAATGAACCAGAAATGTAAAAGACAATCCTTAATCAGCGATTTACCTTGAAAGGTCAGCGACTGACCATATGTCTCGCTTGTTTGAAACTTTAAATTTAATCCATCTACTTTTTGTACGCAGCATTTGTTTGGATCGGTATAGTTTGTAAGGGAATACGTGCTCGGCTGGGTTTAAACTAGTCTTTTTAAGAACGGCTGTGAGAGTGCACGCTGATAATAGATGAGCCATGCCTTTTCGGTCAAATTGTCCAAACAAGTTTAAAAAAAAACATATTCAATGATTTTGTTAAACAATTTCATGTTTTTTGAAAAACCACTCTAGCTACTGGTATGTTGTGGTATGTGCCTCTTGCAAGTAGTCGCAAACAACTCCTTAAATGGAGATTGGCATGCGGGTGGCGCTTACTGCGCGATGTGGCGCTTACTGCGCGATGTGGCGCAGAACGCAGCTGTGCCAGCGTAGTGTGAATTTAGAAGTATGAAATACTGACTCATTGGTATTGTATTGCGCATGCCGAAGTGAGGACTGTGAACGTTCAACCAATAAAAGTGTAAAAGCCACTGGATTTCACAGGAGTCTAAATTTCATGTGACACTGGAAAAGTGTTTATGACCAGCCAGCCGGTGTTTAATCTAACCATTTAAGACCGGCCTTTTTTTGTCGTTTGTAGGCTGTCTACAATTCCTAATGGTATGGCTCCTATTCCTCTTCATCTGGTCCATACCCATGCTGATCATTGAGTACGCCGTGGGGCGCTACACCAAACGGTCCACGATCGTCTCCTTCCAACGGATGATTGGCGACAACAACATGTGGGGCGGGGCCTGGATCGCCATGGTGACACTGGGCATAGCGTAAGTAAAAAAATTGCTTCAAAAGTCTCTCCCTGTGCTTTTTTTTAAAAAAATGTTCCCCAAAAATTTCAAATAATTTTTCTAGAATGCAAACAGTTATTCACTTTTGAATGAGACATCGAATGAAAACAACTTGGCCCGAGTTTAGTGACAAAATAATTATTTTAGAAATTTCCAATTATTTTCAGGGGAGTTTAAAACTTCAAACCATTTGTAAACTTTTGGGAATAAGTCCCTGTAGTGAAAGATTTTATTCAAGTAAACAATATTAAAAGTACATGTACGTCCAGTCTATCATTTGTAATTTGTACATTTTGTTCGTTTGAAGCAGCAAACGTGCTCAAAATCTAAAGAAGGGTGCTGAACAACTAACCTGATGAGCTTTCAGCCCAGCTTCAGCTGTATATTCCGAGAAATACAGCATTCTAGGATCTCGATTTCAAATCAAAAATTACTGAATCATGTTTTGAATTGAACCGGAGTTCAGCATCCGAGACACATTCTCACTGAGCCCATTGCAGCTACGCGATGTCGTGCACCGATCCAATGAATTACAGCAACCCCGTGCGCGTGTGTGTTGTGCCAACGCTTGCGCTTGCTTCGCCGAATAAAATAAATGAAATGCATATGTACTAACGAAAAATTACAATGGTGTTGGAAAGGCCTTCATTCGTTGATTTCTTCAAAATGACAGCTTGCCAGAAATAATAATTTCACAGGGAGTTTAGTCCCCTATCTTTCAACCAAGTACGTTTTTCAAAAATAATTACGTCAGTTACTTTTTGGATAGCTGCAAGTGATGGACTGTAGCTTTGAGAAAAGGCAGTAATATTCAGTTACATATTTTTCTCTACCCAGCTATGTACTTTCGTAAGACACTAAAAACCTAACAAATTCAAGTGCAAAGTCAATAAAAAATCTCAAATGCCTGCACATTGGATATCATCCCTAATTGTTTTTTTTTTTTTAATTTGGCATTGTGGCAAACTCATTTTCTTGTTCAATATTGTTGCTGGTTCGAAATTCAAGTACGTACACCGTAAACAGATATGCATACACATTTGTACACGTATCCATGAGCTTGTCTTACTTGGACTTCCGAACAAAAGACGTCCACATAATGTAGGTAGCAGCGACGAAGTGTGGACTTGCCCACGTCCACACAGTGTTTCCCCATTTCTGGAAAACAGGTTTAGAGGCATTTTTGGGTTAGGTTTATCTGTAGCAGAATGAAGAGAAACACTAAAGGGAATCATTGAAAAAAAATTGGGTTGTAAGAGTTTTCACAGTTTGAGAAAAATGAGTTTTTCCACTGGTGTTCCTTAACTACACGAAAAGAAAGGAAAGTCCACACTAGGTATGTGAAACAAGTCTGTGTGCACATACGTAAACATTATATAAATTGAAATGCTAACATAACTAATAAGTTTGCAACTGTTTTGTTCAAATATCATCGTTGTTTGCAAACTGGAAGATAATTTGGTTATACAAATAAATTGGCCATTTGTTTGTGCAGGTGTTGAGGATGGACCCTTAACGACTTGACCTTTGACCCAGTATTTTGCTTGGCTTTCAAGTAAATAAATTGCTGACAACAATAATGAAAATGCTTATTCCAAAAAAGTTAGGGTTTTAATGTATCCCCCACACACAAACAAATGATCCCTCCACTCCGAAGTAAATTTTGACAAAAATTTTATTCAAATTTCAGGCCTTATATGGGTCATTCTTTACATTTTCCTGTCCCTGCTTGGTACTTTGTAATTTCAATTGAAGTATCATTAAGAACTTGACTTTAAATGATTTTTTTATTTGTTGGGTAGCCAGTTTGCTATTCATAATCAGTCTTGGAGGACGGCTGCATTATTAAGGAATGCATCAGAATTATAAAATCACATAACCGGGACAGGAAAAAATGGCGGACTCCAGATTTATAAAATGAGCCATATCTGAGTTAAATCTGTAGACTGTACATAATTTAATAAAGGTGTGAATTCAGTATGGGATTAGTGTGTTTGTGTGTGCAATTTCACACTATAATGTAGTTTTAATAACATAATAAGTAATTATTTCAAATATTACTAAAATTAAGAGTGAAGGTGCACGTACCGGTATTTGCCAACAGATGTGTGTCAAATTAAAATACTCTGTGGAATTCCGACAGAATAAATATTTATCAGGAACAGCTGTTGCATTTAAAATTGCTTTCACAGCTGTCAAACAATTGATGTGGGCTCTTCAAATTCAATAACAAAATCCTCTTTTTATTTTACGACAAGGTCACTGGTTCAGTCGCATTTGTTGTAAAGAAATTGTATGCTCTGTTTCAAAAGAAGATGATTGATGCAATCTGGGCAACTCCATTGTTACATACGTTACTGAGCCTAAAACCAATTTGAAACAGCAAAGTAAAAGACTTTTATGAAATAAAGGTTCGCTCTATGAAAACACCAAGTTTTTTTACCAAAAGGTACTGTGATATCATGGAAACATCATGTTTTAGTTGTTCTAGATGTTGCATTATAAAGTTAAGGATGTAACGTGTCTGATATCAACTTCAAACACAAGACAAAAATAAAATAACAAAGTGTGCACTAAACTTTCCACATCAGTAATTAAACAAATCAATAGAATATGTAATATTTAAAGGTGGCAATCATAAACTTACATAAAATTAATATTTTTGAATCATGGGGGGAAAAAAGGTCTTGAAGATGATTTTTTGAAAGAATTGCAAAATATTGTCCACATTTAATAAGTTTGTTTCCCAGTTATTTTACAATGAATATTTCCACTTTGGTTTTATTTCTTGACAGTGCGTACTACTCCGTAATTGTGGGCTGGTGTCTCTACTATCTCTTCCATTTCATGGTCAACGAACTCCCGACGACATCTGTCGAAAGCAACCTCATATTTTATAATTTTGTCGAGGTATTTTAATTATTAAGAAAATGATCAAAAATGTTATTACAATTTATGGACGAAGTATGCTCGAAGTATTTGTGTGACTATTTTTTTATTCTGAGTGCGCATAAATCTTCGAAAATGCTGGAAAAAGCAAGAAAAACAAAAAACGTTCAAGTAGTCTGGTTCCCTGACTCCACTAAAGATAAAATGGATCAATTTCCAGATGCCGGGAAATTGTAAGGTAAGGGAACAAGTCTAGCTGGCCTGCACCCATTCATGAATATATAACCAATAGCAAACAAAATTTGAACTGAATAAAAAATGGTAAATTTTGAGCAGTAGTTGCACAATAGTTGGGTTTTTCCAACGGTGGTCAGCCGACCACCGCTGGAAACAGATACAAAAATGCCATTTTCTTGAAAATGACTTCACACCAGGTGCCATCATTTTACAGGATGCTTTAGACTGTCATTTTCCAACATCCTAGTAAGGTATTTCGTAAAAACTTGGTAGTTTTATTTTTCGATGTTTGCAAATGTTGTATATATTCCCTTTAAGAGATACTTTTTCCAATTGGAATCCACAGCATAATAGTTTGTACTTTTTTTTTTTTTTGCAGGATTCTTGGTGGCCCGTGCTCTGCCATTTTGTCGCCATCCTCTTCGGCGCCGTCTCGGTGGCCTGGGGCGTCAAGAGCATCGAGTTGGCCAACTGCATCATTGTGCCCATCTTCCTCCTACTCCTACTCTTCACGTTCATCTGGACCATGACGCTGGAGTACGCCGGACGGGGGCTGCAGTTCATGTTCTCGCCCGATTGGGGTCGGTGGGCCTCTGTTGGTTCCTGGAGGGTTAACCTAAAAAGGCTGGGGGGGGGGGAGGGACCAGAATTTAATGTTTGATGGCCTAAACTGCAAAGGGCATTGTTGAGCCTTGAACAATTAAGCAGGAAAAGTGACTACAAAAGTGGCCAACAGTAGTATATACAAAAAAATTGGTGTATACAAATTTGATAATATGGATTAAGTATGGAGTATTCCAGCAACAAAAAATTACGTACTACAGTGGAACGCCGCTATAATGAACGTCATGGGATCCACAGAAAGTGTTCGTAGTAACGATCGTTCGGTATAGCGATTTTAAACCGCCGGTATACCCTCTTTAGACCAATAGTGAAGTCACTGAACTGGCATTTTCACATCCCACCGCCGCACGAGAAGTTGTCACAAAACTTTAGCAAAGAGTGGTTTTCCCTTTCACTCCTTTGGGAAATAATAGTCATCTATCGCTCTTCGACATTCAAACACGATGTAACCATGGGTAGTTTGATGTTTGGGAATTAAAAGTGGCCCAAACAGTGTTTAATACATGTAACAACCGGTGTTTTTTTTATCTGTTGACTTTTTTCAACAACGATGTTTGGTACGTTTTGTACATTAAAACCGGGAGCCAAGGATGATGTTCGGTATTGCGGAATGTTCGGTATAGCGGTGTTCGGTATAGCGGTGTTCCACTGTATAATATCCTCTTTGTAAAAAAAAACCACTAGATTTGTCTCGTGTAAGAAACGCTTAGAGAAAATTGTGGTAAAATAAAGATCTTGGAAACAGCCTTCAGAATAAGACCCAGAAAGTTTTAAAAAAGTTTGGAAACTTAGATAAAAGCTTTTGATAGAAGCTTGAACTAATTGAAATGAACTTTCGTCGTCTTTTCCTATTTTTCAACGTAAAACAGCTCAGTTCAAGGAACCTCGGATGTGGGTGGACGCCATTACCCAGAATGCATTTGACACCGGGGCCGGTTCGGGGCTGTTCGTATCCTACGCCGCTTTCATGACCGCGCAAAACGGGATCGTGCGCTACGCCACCCTAGTGCCTATCTGCAACAATGTTATCAGGTATGCTGTAGCATTCATGAGTAACGCACTTATAATTTTCAAACAAAAGTCAAAAGCTTGTTGATATGTTGTAACATATGTGGCAGTTGTTTGGTTTTCGTAGAGTTAACGTTCCGTTAGACATCCTGAGTTCATTATTAGTACTAAAATTGCAGTATTTGTTGCATGCTATTGTTCACATACAGTGTGAGTCAAAAAGAATGTTACGGAATTAGAAAACTAGTTCTAAAAAGATACGTTTTCATAAAATAACGTAGGGATGAAGTAAATGTTATTGACTAGTAACTCTGAAAATTTCACGTCTTTTATTATTACATACTCTGTTCCCAAGTTATGTCTATTTTGATAAAGAGATTACATAATTCAGCTGTCCACCACTGATCGTTTACCATTCTACGAACTGATGAATACCCATTAAATACAATAAAACATGGAAGTTTTCCCACCTCCACGAATGAACAAAAAGATGCAAGGAAAACAGACAAAAATAGCCATCAATATTTCAGAGTTGACTTTTTAATAGTTGACATACATGTATTAAAAACACAACATAAACGATAGGCACGCCTGGCATACTGCAAATATTGGCATATCCAAAGTGAACACAGCATTTTAATTATTCCACAGTTTATGATTGATATTTTGCATAATCTCACACTCGCCATATTGCATGGGTAAAAAGAAATTATTCAAAAGATGGGGAAAAAAATCGTTTGCTTACAATTTTGTTTTAAAGGTAATTTAGGTTAATATTTTGCAGATTTGAAGACAAATTAAACTGTTATTTTCGTTCAGCTTGTTCAAATGACGTTAAATGCATAGCAGTTCACAATTCTTACCATGAAGATGTTTTTCCTGTGGTTTCACTCACTTATTTCTTTTAGAGAGTTTTTTGGGGAAAACAATAGGTTAAAAAAAAAATGAATGTGGCCACCGTAAAAGAAAAAGAAGAGGGATACCAGATGTATTTTCTACTTGGCCCAACATGTTGGTACCAGCATGTCGTTGTGCATAGTTTATTTTTTATTACCATTTGCCCATAGCGCAAGGAACATACCCATCTCATTAAAAGCATGTTCTGGATATTTTCCATTTTTTTTCCGATCTTTTATTCTTCAATAAAACAAGTTGAATTAAACCAGATGTTAGGTTTGATCTTACATCTGAAATTGTTTAAATGACAGTTGAATTTGTCGCATGTATCAGAACACAAACTTCAAAGTTCAAAGTTTAAAGGTTAGAAAATCTTTAAAAATTCAAAAGGGACAACAACAGACATATGACCAAAGGAGGCCCTACCATGCATGGGATTATATTTTTATGAAGAGAGATATGTCAATTATTCAGGTTTTTAATTCATTCGTTTCCTTGTTAGGCCAACAGCAAAAAAATCGGTCTCTGGTCAGACCAAAGTTCCGGAATTGATGAGGCGACGCGTTTTTTTTGTGTTTTTTTGGTGGCTTTTTTTTTTTTCAAGCTTGAATTGTACAGACAAGGTGGGTACTATTTTGCTTTTTTGTGTCCTCATTATACATTGGTGTCCTCCATAATTTGCCTTGGTACCCTTTATCATTTGCCTTGGTGCAATTTCCCCATTCCTTGGTGCTCCTTGGTACAAAAATTTGAGGAGGTGCGGCAATAGAGGGCGCTGTTGTAGGTTCCGTGTTAATTTGAAGAAAAAAAAAGGTTGACGTGCATGATTAAAATCGACGCGCGCGCTGACCAGAGACTGAGTATTTCTTTCTTTTGACCTTATAATTGTAATGTGTGACAAGTTGTCAAGAATTCCAAAAATTTTGTTTTAGAATTGTAATCGAGTCAATCACAGTTCAATCACAAGCCAATCACAGTTCAATCACAAGTCAATCACAAGTTAATCATAAGTTCAATCATAATCACAAGTTATTCACAAGTCAATCACAATCACAAGTTAATCAGAACTTCAGTCACAAGTCAATCACAATTCAAATCACAAGGCAGTCACGAATAACGGAGCTGAATATGAATGACAAAGGAATGCCTTTGTCGTGGTTAATTCTAATTGCTTGCGACTTGACTTGAGACTCCCTTCTGTTGGCTTGTGATGGACTTCTGGTGGCTAATGATGACTTGTGACAACTTACATAGAGCAGCTGTGATATCTAATGCTTACGTGGTTTGCAACAATGCACCTCAATTTAATGCCATTTTCACCTGTTTCTTTGCAGTCTTTTCTGTGGAATGCTGACCTTTTCCACGGTTTTTGCGACGGAAGTCAAGAATGGGTCATCAACGGAGGAAATCGTTGCGCTTCTGAAAGAGAACGGACCGGGAAATACAGGCCTTACTTTTGTTTGGTAAAATATAAATGAAAAAAAAAATAGAATAGAAATAACATCTTATTTTGCATTTGTTTTAAATAATGTGATGTGATCAAGCTAAATGAGTCGTTTGTCGGGAATTTTCATTTGGAGATTTTGGCCAAAATAGGGCCTCTTCGTCACATCACCTCATCACATTTCTTGGTGTTCCGACTTCCATAAATTTTGAACTAAAGATGGTATCAGCATGCGGTTTTCACAACAGTTATGCTGAGATTGTGCTCTTTTCAAATCTGTAAAAAAAAAATTGACCATGGTCAACAAACGACTCATGTAGCTTGATCGCATCACATATGAAAATAATAATGGAAAGATTGAAATTATGAAAATGTGTTGGTTCCTTCATTATTTCACTTTTGTTTCCCGCAGGATGCCGATTCTTTACAACCAAATCAACGGTGGCCGCGTCTTGACGGTGATTTTCTTTTTTTCGCTCCTGCTTGCGGGCTTCAGTTCCCTTGTGGCACAGCTGGAGTTGTTTGTCCACAACGTCAAAGATTTTGGAGGTACATGTATTCTTCTCATTTTCAAGGCACTTTATTGTGATGGGTCACAAGTCCATCACAAGTCCGGTCACAAATATATCACAATTTAAGTCTGAATTCCAGTCACAAATTAAGGGGGATAACCAGTAACAAACCATTTTCATCCACAGAAAACAATTCCAGTCCGCCTAAACGTTCAAACAAAAGCAAACCTCTGAGCCAGGGATGTACATATATTCCAGTCTATCGCAAGTCCCTTCAAGTTCATTACAAAGTCCTCCAGTCCCAATTCAACTCGCAAGCTATTCACATGAGCTTTGACAAAGGCATTCCTTTGTTATTGTTTATCCACTGTTACTTGAGACTGAACTTGTGATGTACTTGTGACTGGACTTGTGATGTACTTGTAACTGGACTTGTGATTGGACTTGTGACTGGATTTGTAACTGGATTTGTGATGGACTCGACTCCATTCCTTCTTTGAGCCCTTATAAGTCGAGGCCTTTTCACACTAGATAAATGTCAGGGTTGATGCAGGGTTGATGCAGGGTTGCAACCCTGCGTTGATTTCGCCCCGAGCTGAACTCAAGCCCTGCTCCAAACCCAGGTTGAGACTTTCAACCCGGGTTGAAACTCTCACCAGGGTTCAATACTATAACCGAGCGAAGTAAGCTGGGTTTGCACGAAACAGGTTTGAAACGATGCAGGGTTGAACACGGGGTTGAAAAATAAAAAAACTCAACCCGGGGCGGCACTGGGTTTGCCCAGAGTTCAACCTGGGTTGAGAGGCTCTAGTGTGAACAGGCAGTTTATGATATCAAATACCATCAATTTATATCCTTTTTGTTCACAGATTACGCTTATAAACATAAGGCCTTTTCACACTATCTCCGTTTCGAACCGTGTTGAAACCAACCCGGATCCAACCCGGTTCAGCCCGAGTTGTTTTCGACACGGATCGGAGAGACGCGACGTTCACACTGTCCTTTACGGGAACGGCCGCTACCCGGAGATTTTGGACAGTGTGAAAAGGCCTATACATGTAGGTAACCTGTCTACTCTGAAGGGAGAGCTAACAGTTCATTGAAGTTCAAAGACAATTCTTTAACAATCTTTCTTCTCTTCCAGTGTTTTATTTCAGCAATTGAAGGAGTAAACGTGAAGGTGGGGTCACATTTGTTATGTTGCTAATTGTGACTTCCAGTGATTTTTGTTGCATTTTATGGTGGCATGCGTGTGATATTGTTTTCACCAAAATGTTGAAATCTATTTCTGTCCAAACTTTGCTGCAACTCATACACATTGCCTCCCCAGAAATGCATTTTGCATCGGCATCTAATAATAGTTAAATGACCAAAACAAATAAAACAAACCAAAAAAAGGATTTGCAACATTTGCTGTTCAATCAAGAGAGATTTTAGCGTTGGTTGCCTAGGCAACAAGGAAAGGCCCTACATGCTGTTTCTAATTGAACTAGAATATGTGTAAAATATGAGCCATGTGCATGATATAGGTGGTTTTCGTTAAGATATTGCATATGTTGTAGTGAATAGCCGCCATTAATTTGTTGATGTGTTTAATTGCATACTGTGAAACATGTGTCGTATACTTAATTATTTGTACTAGCAGAAATTGTCAATTGCTCATGTATTGAGACTTTTTAGAATCTTTGTCTATCCGTGCTATCTCTAGACTTTTATATTTTTCTGGGACCTGTAAATTGTTTGTTCGGCAAGTTTAACTTAGTTCACATCTTATGTGTTTGGTGCCCCTTTATGTGGTATCCACAATGACCATATAAGATGGAATTATTTTTGCAAAATAGAACGAGGAAATTGACTGGAGCGGGGTTTGAACCTGCAACCTCCGGATTTCCGTTCCGGTGCTCTACCAACTGAGCTATCCCGCCCTATGTTGGCGGTACCCCAATTCGTCAATGTAATTTGTTCAAGGGCGAATTTTGACACTAATATGACAATACAAAAATGTATTGACCTTTTGATCTTTTGCTTTTTCAGTATCGAGAAAGAAGGCAACGCTAGCCGTGACCGTTTTGGTGTTTCTTCTGGGCCTGGGGTCTGCTCTTAGCCTGGACTTTCTCGTTAACCAGGTAAATTGGTGATGTAACCAGTTAAGTGACCACTAGTTGATTAAACTGTCAGTTCAACCCAGCAGGTTCATAAACGTAACCTATTATAGTTAGTAGTTTATACCATGACTGTGTGGACAAAATAAATTATACCAAACAGAGCCTGAGTTATTATTAAACTAATTAACCAGGTACTTGTTAACTTTAACTAACTTTATGATTATAACTATAACTAAAAACACTTAGTTATCAATAAAACAGATTAGTTTATTTTGTTATGTATATGAACTCTGCAATGGCAACTTTTGCACTGAACACTGTGAAAATTCCAGTGTGAGAATTTTGAACAAAAGAGCCTGCACATTTCTTCAAAACGTTCTTGAATATTAACTTTTAACAACAGACGGAACCTTACAAGTTTTTAAAAGATCCCTCATCTGCGTACATGTAGACGTAAGGCATACTATACTTTCATCTCCTACAGGTTACTATAGAATCCCATAGGATACCTATTGGCATACTATAGGATCCCTATGGGTTTTTCATCATCTCCTACAGGTTACTATGGAATCCCATAGGATACCTATTGGCATATTATAGGATCCATATGGGTTTTTCATCATCTCCTACATGTTACTATAGAATCCTATAGGATACCTATTGTCCTATGGTCCTATCTTATAAACTTATTTGGGACCACCTATAGGATCCTATAGGATGTGAGGGAAACCCTATAAGAAACCTATGGGATCTTATAGGATTTTTTTATAGGATTCCTGAAAGCCTTTTGGTAATAATTGTTGACTTGTTATAACACTTCTGCTATCTGAACAGTCACAGACAGTCAAAAAATCAATCCTCTTCCCCTGCCATGCATTTTACACAGGCTAGTCACCAACAGTCAGATCATATTTCAAGCAAGCACTGTGACTAGTCAAATTCAGTCAACAAAAAAAAAGCAGACAAGTGGTAGGCACAGCTGTCTTATCAATCACCTACAGTCAAAGCACAGCTGTATCAAGTTTAACAGGCACAGCCAGTCAATCCTAGTTTATGTAGGCTGGGAGCTCTGAACTGTTGAAAAGAGTCACTTGATTGATTTTAACTGAAAAGGACAACTTGGCACAGACTGTATGTTTGCAAAGGAGGGTTAAATTTGATTTTTTTTTTCCCCTCTGTGACAGGATTTTGTCTGGGGTTTTGCGCTTCTTCTGTCAGGGATGGCCTTGCAGTATCTGGTTATCCGCTTCGGCGCCAAACGTTTCCGCCAAGAACTGGCCAACAATTTCAGCGAGAGCGACTGGCCGCTACCTGTTATCTGGGAATGGATCGTAAAGTGAGTTTTTTTTTTACATTTGATACATTTCATTGATATTTCTTTAAAAAAATTGTGATTACGGTAAGTTTATACGTCACACAGATGCAATAGAGCATGTGAACATCTTGGGGCAGGTTCGCGCAACAACCATTAGTCAACCAATGGTTGGTTGGTGTCAAACAGTGCGCATGCGCTGTAACATTAAAGTGCGAACGACTCTAGTCGAACCATTGTCATCATATGGTGGTCACCAGTATATGTTTGGATTGTTAACATTCTTTGACCTGGAGTTGGGGGCTCTGGTCCAATGGTTACGGTGTTCGACTCGTGTGCATGGTACATGGGTTCGAATCCTGATGGGGAACATGGTGCTTGTGCTCTTGGGCAAGGCACTTTACCATTATTGCCTCGTCCTTCGGATGGGACGTAAAGCCGTAGGTCCTGTGTGTTGTGTAATGCACGTTAAAGAACCCAGTAACACTTAGCGTTAAGAGAAGGGGTTCGCCCCAGTGTTTCTTGCAGTGGCTGCAATATGCGTCACAGCACTCTTATCAATGGTTCCCTCTGCACTTAAGTAATGAAACGAGGCTATTGATAACCAGCGATGCGACCAGGCCCAGTAGGCTGGTTCCAAATAGTCGACTAGCATAGTCCAATCATCGTCAACTAGACAGAGTTCAGGCTAACTTTGTCAAACTTTGGCATTCCTTTGTTATTTTTCATCCACTGTTTCCTGTGACTGGACTTGTGACTGGACTTGTGATGGACTTGTGATGCACTTGTGATGGACTTGTGATGGACTTGTGATGGACTTGTGATGGACTCGACTACGTCCCTGCAGTTTACTCTAGACATCTCCAACAAATCCTGAAGTGTGTTTCTTTTCTCAGATTTATTGCACCGTTGGAGGCTGTAGCGCTGATTATCTGGTGGATCGTCACGACGATACAGGAGTCCAATCCCTGGTATGGTTTTTCTAACGAGAGTTTCATGATCACGATCGTACAGGTAAGAACAATAATTTAAAGAAAAACTGTAAAATTTGGAGGAAAGCATTCAATCGATAGTCAATAATTAATTTTGAAGAAATCAATTTTGAGTAATTATAATTAAACCATATTTTCTGGTTAAAATAACCGAAGAATGGGTTGGAATTGTTTGATTAATTAATTTCATTTCAAGTATAATGTCAGTTGCTTTTAAGTAAATCCAAATTTAATTGATAATTTATGAGCTCATGTCCAAGTACATGTTTATTAAAATACAACTTGAAAAATTCAGTGAAAGCAAAAATAAAAAAAAAATGAAAGGAAAAAAAAAACATAAAATGTGTACAAGAGCATGAGAAGACAGCAAACTAAAATAAAAATACAATCCAAGGCCAAAAAAAAGTCTTCCATTTCTGGAATGGAGCTTGCCCCAAAAGTGGTGCAGTGACGCGGCTTTTTTTGTTGTACTTTTTTTCCCTTCAAATGTCGGCTTATGACTGCAAATGGTGCCCGACTACATTTTGTGCAAAATGTATGGGAGCCCAGAGAGGCCACAGAAAGCTTATACTCGATCGTAACCCCATCTAAAAACACATTAAAATTGTGCAGCAGCAGGATTCCAGTCAAACCAGTGAGTTTGGCGGTTTTGAGACGTCATCTTATATTGAAAAAAAATCCTTTTAATTTTGCCGACGCGCATGGCTACGGCGACACGCGCGCAGACCGGAAACCGGAGCCTTTTTTTTTTGGCCTACAGCTAACTTGTATTTCCTACTGGGCATTCTTTTCAAATTTGGCATCTGAAAGAGAATTGGCAACAAGATAAGAATCCAAAAATTACTACTTTAACATAAGTTTCGTTTTATTCTTCATTTTACAGTGGATTGGCTTTTTCGGTCTTATACTACTCTTGAATTTGCTGTACGTGAAGTTCATCAAACGTTTCGCCCCTATACCAAACGACGACATTGCGTTACCCTTGCCAGCATCAGACGGCACAGACAAGGGATCTGAGGGAAGGTACAAGACGTTCAACGAAGAAACACCACAGTGATCATGTGATGTACTTTTAGTGGGTCCGTGCATGAACGTGCGAGGGCCCCCTTAGGGCACTAGCTTAGTGAACGAACAATCTGCTGATAACTCATTGAAATACTTTGAAATGGAAATTCAGGGAACCAGTGAAATGCTATATTTAATGTGCCATTTTGGCTGGTAACCCTTTTAGCTTTCTTTATGCAGTATTGGACAGTAATTAGGTCCAAAATGCCAGTACTCTTAAAGGTATCGCAATTTCAAAAATGGCGTTTAAATCTGATATATAACTTTAAAATAGTTTTGTGTCTTCCAAAAATTGTGTGAGAGAGGTTGGTATATATCCAAAGCAAACGATTTTATTCTGAAATGTAGGAAAATGCAATAAAGTTTTACTTAAACCAAATGCCTGAAAGAAATGCAATGTACCAGGGGCGTAGCAAGGTCATTTTTATTGGGGGGGGGGGAGTTTGTGAAAAAAGGCTAGTACATCTGTGCAGAAATATAGACGGTTTTTTTCTCTGGACTCTTGGCCTCCATAAAGTCAAATAGTGGGTGGGTGGGTGGGTGGGGCACCATCTTTCAATGGGCGCACTATTCAACCGGACAATCATGCCGACTATCAGACAATAGATGGCGCTTTTCAGGGCGGCACAACATTCGACAGTCGCAGTCAACAGCCGACAGTCGCATGAAATTACAAAAAGGTCACTTGTAAAAGGCCGCTGGTAAAAAAAAAGGCACTTGAATGGAAAAGGCCAGTCTTTACAAAATCAAGATATTGGAGGTAAATACCAACTTTCCCCACCCTGGCTACGCCTCTGCATATTATGAAGATCAATTTTAGAAATTGACCCAAAAACTTAAGCTTTGTTCAATTATTCAACTGTGTGTAATTCAAATCCAAATGTATATGGTTACTTGCCACAAAAACCGAGTGTGTTTAAAGTTGTTCTGCGTTAATTTTTTCTCATAGGGTGGAATTTTTTCCCCTTTTAATTAAAAAATCATAGGAAATCTCTAGTTATCCAAAAGAACATAGACATTGACAAAATTGGATGCCGTAAAAATACTGGTAGCCTGAGCGATGGAAGTTGTTCAGTTGGTGAACAAATTTTTTTGTTGGATTGAAACCATTCCAGTTATTTGTCTTTGTTCAACTAAATTTAATCCCCTTGTATCAAAATGAAATATTATTTTTATCCTTTTTTTTCTTTTTCTGAGGTATTACTCGTGGTGGTGAAACAAGCACAAATTTGGTTTGTTTCTCCTCCCCTTAATTTATGTGTGTGCTAATCTGTTCATTCATTCAAAAAAATCATTTCGTATGCTACTTTACAAGAGTATAAATATATATTTGTAGATTTTGAAATATCTGTTTCTTGAAAAAACAAACATCGGTTTTCTTGAAAATCACTTAATATCTCATATTTTTTAATAACGAAATATGGCAAAGAGCTTACGGGAGCACAATATCTAAAGAATTTTCCAATTTTGGAATGTGGGTTAAAAATGCAATGTTTTTTTGTTGTTTTTTTGTGTTTTTTAAATGAAATGATACGAAAATCAAAAGGTACAAAAACCAATATTTATTATATTCCTATATTTAATGAGACTATATGTGTATATCTTGTAAACAGATTTTTGTGTCCACAACAAGTTGTGTCAAAATCATCGACACTGAGACAAATTAAAATGTGAATGATGGAACGACGTACTGTTTTGTATTTCTGTTCTTTTGATTCGAGTTGAGGTATACATGTATGTGCACTGACGTGTTCTTTTCTGAGAATAGTTCAGTCCAATTCTTCTTTCGTTAGCCATCTGCTAATAATTATAACTTTTGTTGTTATTTTCTATTAAAAGTTTAAAGGACTTTTTTTATTGGATAATTTTATTTGTCTCTTATGGAAAGAGATGTTTTTGTAAAGAAAAATAGCTGTATTTATTTAGAGGAGGGTGATTGAGAACCATGCTTTGCATTGACCATTTAAATTTTGCGCTGCCAAAATCAAAGACCGCCCTCTGCTGTTTAGAAACGTTCAATAATATTGGTAGTTTCTTAACAACAGAGGGCGCCCTTTGATTTTAACGGCACAACTATTTAAACAGCGCCCTCTGTTGTTTAGAATGCTAACATTTTTTGTGCCGTTAAAATCAAAGAGCGCCCTCTGTCGTTCAAAAACTACCAACATTCGTCCTGTCAAAATCAAAGAGCGCCCTCTGATGAATAGAAACTACCAACAACATTGACCCTTGACCTCTACATGCCAGTTTGTTGTCAAACAGCAACCGCATTGCATTGTCTGAACATTTCAGCTCGATTTCAACGCGAATTTTACCCTTAAATGCGTCAATATGGATGGACCTGGTAGCTGAAGTATTACAGTTGACATTCATAGATATTTCTCTATTGATTCTCACGGGAACCAGTGTTCTAATTTTGTAAGTATTGTTATTGTAAGAGATTAAACATTATGAAAAAAAAAAATCAACGCGAAGCCGCGCCCACCATGCAGCTACGCGTCAATAATGCCTAGAGCTGAATACCCTAAGGCTTAGGCAGTGAGTTGACCGTAAACTGGTCCCAGATTATTTTTGCTACTTTAAGTGTTTTCCAACTAAATATTTTAATATTTTCCCTGCTAAATTTCATTTTTTTTAGAACATTTGTTATCCAATGAAAAATACAAAATGAAAAGGCCCTCATCCTTCTCTTTAAAAAAAAAAAACCTGGACGATCCACCGGTGTTCTTTTTTACTTTGCTTTAGTCTCAAAATCTCCTCAACAAATCACATGGCAACTAGATATTTGAGAATGCCTTGTAACAAACCAAACCAAAAAATTGAAGTTGTAAACATGTATTCATTGCATAGCAAACATTGCAAAAGAGAAAGTTTTCCACATGTCTTTCAACATTTGATTTTGTTTTTGCCCCACAGAATTTCATATGTCCAGTATCCACTAATCCCCTGGAAATGACATCTTTAAGCAATCGGCCGGACAGCGGCCGGGAGACAAGCCTCAGTGTATCTGGCGAGACCATGCGCACCGGCACCCCACTCAACAAAGCCAAGAAATCCTACAAGTACCGCAAGGTCTCCAACAGCGGCTCGGCCGATGAGACGTTGTTTACCTCTCAGCGTGAGCACTATCTCCAAACCCGGAACAGTCCCTCCAACGCCCGACCTAAATCAGCCGGGGGCGGCGAGTGGCACGTTCACGGGGAACAACATCCAGCCCCGACCCCGACCCTAATTGGGCAGACAAAACGAACCCCATCTGGGGCCCCTCCCATCAAATCGCCTCTGGTGAAAGTCGGAGGAGCGCCACGGACTCGGTCCAGATTGTACAAGCCAACGCCGAGCTACGTGGACGAATCGCTCTTCGGTCCAAAACTCCAGGAACCTGATTTCCTAGCGCCTTGGGAGAAGCCCGAAGATTCGCGGAAGGGGCCCATGTTAACTTGGAGCCCGCCGGTCGTGGGGAGTCTGTCCTGTACGCCGAGGTCCACACCGCCTAGCCGGCCACCGTCGAGTGCAGGGAGCCGGCCAGGATCTGCCAAAGGTAGCAGGCCGGGATCGGCTGCAGGGGACCAGCGGCACGGCAGCCGACCCCCGACGCCTAACAGACCGGTGTGGAAATGAATATTCATGACATCCGTCCTTTGGCAAAAGTTTTCATTGTATGAAGGCAGGAAGGATGCATGGACTAGGTATCGCTGGAAAATGTTAAAAAGTGGAGTGTACAAGCTGGCAAAGTTTCTTCTAAGAAGAAAATATGGGCAGCAAATTTATATGCTCATCAAAACTTATCCGAGAATCAGCCGCAAGGAATGGCATGAAATTATGGCTGCTAAATATTTTTTGCTGAGCACATTTTTTCTGACCGTGGCCAAATTACTGTGCTGAATATTTCACTGAAATTGGCCAGCACCTATGTTGCTGTTGCTCCACGTTACTTCAAACACTGAGAACTATGGTTATGGATTGTTGCACTGACTTAGAAGTTGGAGAAAACCTGTCAGCATTGAATGGTTTGACTACTGTACATATATGTGGCGTAGTGGTTAGGGTTTGTGACTCGTGATCATGCCTGATTCTTGCTGCAGTTCGTAGATTGTGTCTATGAGCAAGCCACTTTACCCAAACTTGCCTCTACCTAGGAGTATCAAATGGGTACTCACAGTAATTTGTTAGCATCCCGTCTAGCAAAGAAATGGCTAAATGAATTTGGTCAGTTTTTTTTTCAAAATGTAGGGTTAACCCCCGAAAGGTAACTTTTTCAAAAGGTTCATTCAAAAATGTTGGGTAAACCCCTAGCAAATTATTTTATTCACATTTAAAATGTAAGGTTAACCCGGTGCAAATTAATTAGGTCAAATTTTCACACAAAATGTAAGGTTAACCCCTTTCCAATTCATTATGTCCAATTTTATTGAAAATGTTAAGGTTAACCCCTTTGAAATTATGTTATTCAAAAAATTTCAAATTTTATTCAACATTGAAAATAAACCCCTTTAATTAATGTTGTCCAATTTAATTCAAAATGCAAGATAAACGCCTTGTAAATTAAGTTATTCAATATTTTTAAATTAATTAATTTCGCAACATTTTTATTCATAATGTAAGGTTTCAGCCTGTCGCCTTTATTTGGTCAGATTTTCTTCAAAATGCAAGTAAAGTTATTCAAATTTTATTCAAAACGTAAGCTTAACCCCTTGCAAATTAACTCATTAAAATTCAAGGGTTTACCCCTTGCAACCTAATTTGGTCAAAACTTTTACTCAATATGTAAGGTTCACCTCTTGAAAAATATATTTGGTCAGATTTTCACTCAAAAATGTAAGGTTAACCCCTTATTGCGAAGTGATTGGGTCGAATTTTTTATAAAATGCAAAGCTACCTCCCCCCCCCCCCTTGCAAATTAAGTTATTCAAATTTCATTCAAAACGTCAGCTCAACTCCTTACAATTTGGGTGTGAAAACAGATGTACCTTTGAAGAGAAAATTTGGGGTAAAAACAGTCAAAATTCTGGTTTCTTTTGACTAAATCTGCCAAAATTTGGGTGTTTGAATATCGATTCATGCTCCACCCGTCTCCAAAGGAATTTCTGCGTTGTTTGGAGAAAAGTCATTTGATGGCAAAATTTTGTTAAAAATGTAAGACTAACCCCTTGTATTGTTTTCAATTTTGGCCAAAAAAAAAGAAATTCCTTGAAACTTGCAGGAAATATGCCTAAGGTCACCCTGAAGACATTCCAATTGGATTTAGGAACAGATATGCCTTCACAAAGATAATTTGGCTGAAAATTTGGGGTAAAAACAGTCAAAATTATGATTTTTCTTTACATGTATTTCCTCCCAGAAAAATAGATGATTTCTGCCTAGATCTGCCAAAATGTGGGTGTTTGAATATTGATTCATGCTCCTACCGTCTCCAGAGGAATTTCTGCGTTGTTTGGAGAAAAGTCATTTTTTGGCCAAATTTTGATAAAAATGTAAGGCTAACCCCTTTTTTTTTTCAATTTTGGCCAAAAAATGAAATTCCTTGAAACTTGCAGGAAAGATGCCTAAGGTCACCCTGAACACATTCCAATTGGATTTAGGAACAGATGTGCCTTCGCAAAGAAAATTTGGCCGAAAATTTGGGGTAAAAACAGTCAAAATTATGATTTTTACTTACATGTATTTCCTCCCAGAAAAAATGGATGATTTCTGCCTAGATCTGCCAAAATGTGGGTATTTGAATATTGATTCATGCTCCAACTGTCTCCAGAGGAATTTCTGCGTTGTTTGGAGAAAAGTCATTTTTTGGCCAAATTTTGATAAAAAATGAAATTCCTTGAAACTTGCAGGAAAGATGCCTAAGGTCACCCTGAACACATTCCAATTGGATTTAGGAACAGATGTGCCTTCTCAAAGAAAATTTCGCCGAAAATTGGGGTAAAAACAGTCGAAATTATGATTTTTATTTGCATGTATTTCCTCCCAGAAAAATGGATGATTTCTGCCTAGATCTGCCAAAATGTGGGTGTTTGAATATTGATTCATGCTCCTACCGTCTCCAGAGGAATTTCTGCGTTGTTTGGAGAAAAGTCATTTTTTTGGCCAAATTTTGATAAAAATGTAAGGCTAACCCCTTGTTTTTTTACAATTTTGGCCAAAAAATGAAATTCCTTGAAACTTGCAGGAAAGATGCCTAAGGTCACCCTGAACACATTCCAATTGGATTTAGGAACAGATGTGCCTTCGCAAAGAAAATTTGGCCGAAAATTTGGGGTAAAAACAGTCAAAATTATGATTTTTATTTACATGTATTTCCTCCCAGGAAAATGGATGATTTCTGCCTAGATCTGCCAAAATGTGGGTGTTTGAATATTGATTCATGCTCCACCCGTCTCCAGAGGAATTTCTGCGTTGTTTGGAGAAAAGTTATTTTTTGGCCAAATTTTGATAAAAATGTAAGGCTAACCCCTTGTTTTTTTTTCAATTTTGGCCAAAAAATGAAGTTCCTTGAAACTTGCAGGAAAGATGCATCAGGTCACCCTGAACACATTCCAATTGGATTTAGGAACAGATATGCCTTCGCAAAGAAAATTTGGCCGAAAATTTGGGGTAAAAACAGTCAAAATTATGATTTTTATTTACATGTATTTCCTCCCAGAAAAAATGGATGATTTCTGCCTAGATCTGCCAAAATGTGGGTGTTTGAATATTGATTCATGCTCCACCCGTCTCCAGAGGAGTTTCTGCGTTGTTTGGAGAAAAGTTATTTTTTGGCCAAATTTTGATAAAAATGTAAGGCTAACCCCTTGTTTTTTTTTCAATTTTGGCCAAAAAATGAAATTCCTTGAAACTTGCAGGAAAGATGCCTAAGGTCACCCTGAACACATTCCAATTGGATTTAGGAACAGATGTACCTTCTCAAAGAAAATGGGGTAAAAACAGTCAAAATTATGATTTTTATTTGCATGTATTTCCTCCCAGAAAAATGGATGATTTCTGCCTAGATCTGCCAAAATGTGGGTGTTTGAATATTGATTCATGCTCCTACCGTCTCCAGAGGAATTTCTGCGTTGTTTGGAGAAAAGTCATTTTTTTGGCCAAATTTTGATAAAAATGTAAGGCTAACCCCTTGTTTTTTTTCAATTTTGGCCAAAAAATGAAATTCCTTGAAACTTGCAGGAAAGATGCCTAAGGTCACCCTGAACACATTCCAATTGGATTTAGGAACAGATGTGCCTTCGCAAAGAAAATTTGGCCGAAAATTTGGGGTAAAAACAGTCAAAATTATGATTTTTATTTACATGTATTTCCTCCCAGAAAAATGGATGATTTCTGCCTAGATCTGCCAAAATGTGGGTGTTTGAATATTGATTCATGCTCCTACCGTCTCCAGAGGAATTTCTGCGTTGTTTGGAGAAAAGTCATTTTTTTGGCCAAATTTTGATAAAAATGTAAGGCTAACCCCTTGTTTTTTTTCAATTTTGGCCAAAAAATGAAATTCCTTGAAACCTGCAGGAAAGATGCCTAAGGTCACCCTGAACACATTCCAATTGGATTTAGGAACAGATGTGCCTTCGCAAAGAAAATTTGGCCGAAAATTTGGGGTAAAAACAGTCGAAATTATGATTTTTATTTGCATGTATTTCCTCCCAGAAAAATGGATGATTTCTGCCTAGATCTGCCAAAATGTGGGTGTTTGAATATTGATTCATGCTCCTACCGTCTCCAGAGGAATTTCTGCGTTGTTTGGAGAAAAGTCATTTTTTTGGCCAAATTTTGATAAAAATGTAAGGCTAACCCCTTGTTTTTTTTACAATTTTGGCCAAAAAATGAAATTCCTTGAAACTTGCAGGAAAGATGCCTAAGGTCACCCTGAACACATTCCAATTGGATTTAGGAACAGATGTGCCTTCGCAAAGATAATTTGGCCGAAAATTTGGGGTAAAAACAGTCAAAATTATGATTTTTATTTACATGTATTTCCTCCCATAAAAATGGATGATTTCTGCCTAGATCTGCCAAAATGTGGGTGTTTGAATATTGATTCATGCTCCTACCGTCTCCAGAGGAATTTCTGCGTTGTTTGGAGAAAAGTCATTTTTTTGGCCAAATTTTGATAAAAATGTAAGGCTAACCCCTTGTTTTTTTTCAATTTTGGCCAAAAAATGAAATTCCTTGAAACTTGCAGGAAAGATGCCTAAGGTCACCCTGAACACATTCCAATTGGATTTAGGAACAGATGTGCCTTCGCAAAGAAAATTTGGCCGAAAATTTGGGGTAAAAACAGTCGAAATTATGATTTTTATTTGCATGTATTTCCTCCCAGAAAAATGGATGATTTCTGCCTAGATCTGCCAAAATGTGGGTGTTTGAATATTGATTCATGCTCCTACCGTCTCCAGAGGAATTTCTGCGTTGTTTGGAGAAAAGTCATTTTTTGGGCCAAATTTTGATAAAAATGTAAGGCTAACCCCTTGTTTTTTTACAATTTTGGCCAAAAAATGAAATTCCTTGAAACTTGCAGGAAAGATGCCTAAGGTCACCCTGAACACATTCCAATTGGATTTAGGAACAGATGTGCCTTCGCAAAGAAAATTTGGCCGAAAATTTGGGGTAAAAACAGTCAAAATTATGATTTCTTTTTACATGTATTTCCTCCCAGGAAAATGGATGATTTCTGCCTAGATCTGCCAAAATGTGGGTGTTTGAATATTGATTCATGCTCCACCCGTCTCCAGAGGAATTTCTGCGTTGTTTGGAGAAAAGTTATTTTTTGGCCAAATTTTGATAAAAATGTAAGGCTAACCCCTTGTTTTTTTTCAATTTTGGCCAAAAAATGAAGTTCCTTGAAACTTGCAGGAAAGATGCATCAGGTCACCCTGAACACATTCCAATTGGATTTAGGAACAGATGTACCTTCTCAAAGAAAATGGGGTAAAAACAGTCAAAATTATGATATCTTTTTACATGTATTTCCTCCCAGGAAAATGGATGATTTCTGCCTAGATCTGCCAAAATGTGGGTATTTGAATATTGATTCATGCTCCACCCGTCTCCAGAGGAATTTCTGCGTTGTTTGGAGAAAAGTTATTTTTTGGCCAAATTTTGATAAAAATGTAAGGCTAACCCCTTGTTTTTTTTCAATTTTGGCCAAAAAATGAAGTTCCTTGAAACTTGCAGGAAAGATGCCTAAGGTCACCCTGAACACATTCCAATTGGATTTAGGAACAGATGTGCCTTCGCAAAGAAAATTTGGCCGAAAATTTGGGGTAAAAACAGTCAAAATTATGATTTTTATTTACATGTATTTCCTCCCAGAAAAATGGATGATTTCTGCCTAGATCTGCCAAAATGTGGGTGTTTGAATATTGATTCATGCTCCTACCGTCTCCAGAGGAATTTCTGCGTTGTTTGGAGAAAAGTCATTTTTTTGGCCAAATTTTGATAAAAATGTAAGGCTAACCCCTTGTTTTTTTCAATTTTGGCCAAAAAATGAAATTCCTTGAAACCTGCAGGAAAGATGCCTAAGGTCACCCTGAACACATTCCAATTGGATTTAGGAACAGATGTGCCTTCGCAAAGAAAATTTGGCCGAAAATTTGGGGTAAAAACAGTCAAAATTATGATTTTTATTTACATGTATTTCCTCCCAGAAAAATGGATGATTTCTGCCTAGATCTGCCAAAATGTGGGTGTTTGAATATTGATTCATGCTCCTACCGTCTCCAGAGGAATTTCTGCGTTGTTTGGAGAAAAGTCA